TCCCTATTTTTTTCTTTATTTGCAGATACGAAATTTGTGTGTACAAATTTCTGGCACCTCCTCTGCCTTTCATCTTTTTCTCCTGCATTAAATCTTCAACAAATTATCATCGTCCCATTGGGCGTGCCAGAAATTTGTACACACAAATTTCGTATATGCAAATAAAGAACGAAATAGAGAGCAAATAATAATTTATTGATTTATGAAAATTGATGAGTACAATATTCTTTACTGAAGAAATAAAATATCCTCTTATTCGATTTCCTTTGTTAGTTGGATCCAAGGGCTATCGGGACTTGATCTTCAATTAGGTTATTGACAATCTTCTTCAAGTATTTGTAGTTGAAGGAAGACCGCCAATCATTTTTGATCGAGGGCTGACGAAACTTGATCTCGAACAGTATTGTTTGGTGATTTTTCAAACTTGTTGAATTACGGATAAAGAACGGCACGATTTTGATGTGCTTGTTATTCTTTGTTGAATTGGAGAAAGAACGGCACGGTTTTGAATTGGATGTGCTTGTTGTTCTTCATCTTCAGAGAATTTGTTAAATTTGTGGAAGAACGGCACGACTTTAGTTGTGCTTATTGCTCTTCTTCTTCAATTGGGTGGTTGGGGATGAATGTTGACAGAACTTCTGTATTTTTTTCTGTAATTCTGGATTTCTAGAATTCGAAATTTCTATACTCCTTCCTCCATGTCTCTATTTATAGGCTTCTTGAATTAATAGGATGATGACATGTATCCTCTCCAGATAAGGACATAATCATAACTGGACCGGACCGATTATATTATGATAATTATCTATAAAAATAATTATTCTAAATATAATTTATTATGAATAATTATCTTTTTATTTAATCATATGAGCTAAGCTAATTAAATAATTTAAGTGGACCGAGTTTTGGTTAATTAAATAATTTAATTAAACATGTGACTCATATTTGATGGGTCAATTTGTTAAAACAAAAGTGCATGAAATTTTAGTGTTTACACTATCCTCTAGATTTAATTGAACAGTGTGTACTCTGATGTATTAGAGCCTTGGTTAACGATTCTATATCCCTGATACTCATTATCTTAAGATCGGTTATCTTTTAATAAGAATAAAAAAATTAAAAATGGGATTATCTAAAAAAAAGGTTAAGAATATAATTGTTATTAATCTAGAGATAACAAAACGGAGATGAAAAAACTCAAAAATCAAAGGCCATTACCAAGTTTTTGTCCCGCTTAGCAAGGTCAGAGTGGTTGATGGGATATAGATCTAGGCTTTAGCACTATATGTACAAGTTACTGCTCTTCTTGATGCAGGATGCAGGATGCAGTAGGGGTTGCTTCAATATTAAAATTCAAATCAACAGCCAGTGCAGTGGCGGTATCAATTTTTTACTTCTTAAAAGAATGTCAGAATGTGCATGTAAATCACTGTAATATATTCAATATTGGATCATAAAAAGGTGCCTTAATAATGTTATCAACCGCCATCAAGTAAAAAACCCTAATCAAATCCTAAAATACTAAGTTACGTACTAGGACATCCCTAAAATAAAAAAATATTAATATAATAGTAACACTATTATTAAATGAAAATCAACCCTAATTATCTATCTTTGCCACGTCTCCAATAATAGAGGCGACACACGCGCGTGCACTTCAAGATTTCGCGCCAAGTCCCATCCTCACACTTTTTACAAACCAAGCAATGGTGAAAACTTGGCGATCAATACAGTAGTAAAAAGCTATGTTGCAGCCAATAAAGAATAATGGGAATTTATTATTCACGGCCTATTAAAGCAACTGAAAAAAATCTGTGACATGATTTTTAGAATTTAAATAAATTATTCCACCAAAACTTCACTACAAAGAATTAAGAACAATATCTACATCAATGAACATGATTTTTAGAATTTAAATAATTTATCTCATCAAAACTTCACTAAAAAGAAAAGCTACGGTCTAAAAACATGCCAATTATTGTAAAAAAATAAAAAAGAAAAGCTAGGGTTTAAGAGCAAGACTGAAAAATTTATCACAGCTGAAAGAAAATTGAAAAACATAACGATTAGAATCAAAGGGACTTCAATAACTCACCGATTTGAAAATTTTTAGAGCTCTGGCGATTTCTTTCTGTTAATAGTCATGCTGTTGGAGCATCGATTAACTTTCCTCTCTAGCAATAATAATCTAGGTGGTCTCTATTTATAGAAAGACCAAAATACCAATTTCTGTGTGTCCAAGGGAGGAAAGTGGAAACCTAATTATTAATAAAATATATATATTAAAAAAAAAAGAGGAGTGCTAATTACAGTTGCAACTGTAACTGTGTAAAGACAGTCTCATTTGTGATTGGTTACAAAAATAGTTATAATTAATACACTTTTCTTATTTTTATGAAACATTAAAATTTAATTTTATAAGACAATATTACCGCCTTTTTTGAATTTTATTCTCTCTCCTCTCTTGTGTTTGTGTGTGAATATATATATATATATATATATATATATATATATATCTTTCTTCTTTCTAACTTTTTTTCTTTTCTTTTTCTTTTTTTTTTTTTTGTTAAATGTATGTTTAAACTGATTCATTCTTTACTTTGTTGTTTGTTATTTTTTTATTTTATTTATAAAAAAAAAAAAAACCAATCATTTATCCTTTGTTATCATCCATAATTATCTATCATTCATCAAACCATCTTATCTCTAAAGTGCGACTATCTCATCACCACTACTATACTTCTCTCTTAGTCTTTACTAAATCATTCAATTTTATCATTTACAAATAATAAAAACTCAATTATGTAATTTTATTTCAACTAAAATTCAATAAGTTTGATTATTCCATCACCAATACAGTATTATTCCATCCCCAATATAGTTCTTTCTCCCTCTGTCTTTACTAAACCATTCATTTTTATGTTTTACAAATAAACTAAACTCAATTATATAATTTTACTTCAACGAAAATTCAATTCTATAATTTACTTCAATTAAAATTTATAGTCTTAAAAATTCACATCTAAAGTATAAATAAATAATATTTAATATATACATAATCCATCAACGAAAAAAAAAAAAAAAATGCAATTGAGAAAAGAAAGAAAAAGCGAAGAAGGAAAAAATGAATCCATTTAAAGACAATTCAAACAAAAAGAAGAAAAGGAAATAATGGTTAGCTATATATATTTTAGGGTGAATCGCAAAAAAAAAAAAAAAAAAAAAAAAAAAAAAAAAAAAAAAAAACCCTTGACTTTTATCCGTTTGCAAAAAAACCCACTTATGAATATGTTTAGCAATTAATCCCCCCTCAACTATAATGAGGGGATCATTTAACTAACATTTATTAGAGTGATTGTGTGATAAAATTTTCGGACGAAATTACCTTCAAAATCAAAACAATACATTAGTATTACTAAAGTACCCACTGCTCACTTTATTTTTAATTTTTTAACTGCATAAAATACAAAAACAAAGCCTCTTATTATGAAACGAGGCCTTTGATTTTTTCTTTCGAAATATTCGTGCATTTGGAATATATATAGTTTTATGGTAGTTATTTATCAAATGTCAACTTAAATTGATTTTGGTGAAAAAAAAAAAACTTGTACCATGATTTTTTATAAAATTTAAAAATAAAAATTTATAAGATTCTAAAAAATTATAGATATAGGATACCCAAAAAAAAATCAAATGGCGTCCACCATAATATCAAAACAAAACCCCCCTCCCCTATCCCACAAAAACATATTTCACACTTGTTTTTATTTTTATTTTTTATAGTCAAAAGATATTTCACTTAAATAAAAAATATTTGTTTGGATCAACTATCTTTAATTATTTATTTATTCTATAGAAAAAGCGTTTATTATGACATAAAATTTGATTTATTTCAATATCATGAATCTTAATTCCAATACTTTTCTATTAAATTGTGATATGCTACACACACTCACACACACATATATATATTTGTATAGATGAAAAAAGCCACTTTCTCCTAATTATGAGATGATTTTGCCACATATTTTGATAAATTTCTACTTCTAAATTTTATAAAAAAATCATGATACTAATATTTTTGGATCTCTCTTATATATCTTTTTCTTTATCTTATTTTATAAATAAAAAAAATCATGGTCCAAGTTTTTTTTTTTTTTTTTTCACCAAAATTAATTTAAGTTGACATTTGATAAATAATTACCATATTACTACATATATTCCAAATGCAAGAACATTTTGAAAGAAAAAATCAAAGGTTTTCAAAATCAGAGGCCTCGTTTTAGTGTTTTATGCAATTAAAAAAAAAAAAAAAAAAAAAAAAGGTGAGTGGTGGGTACTTTAGTAATACTAATGTAATATTTTGATTTTAAGGGTAATTTCGTTCGAAAATTTTATCACACAATCACTCAAACGGATGTTTCATGTTAAGGGTAATTTTGTCCAAAAAATTTCCTCACACAATCACTCTAACAGAAGTTAGTTAAAATGACCCCCTCATGATAGTTGATGGGAGTTAATTACTAAAGATATTCATAAGGAGGTTTTTTGCAAACGGGTGAAAGTCAAGGAGGGGTTTTTTGCAATTCGCCCTATATTTTATATATATAGACAGGGATGGAAAAAGAAGAGAGAATAATAGTTAACAAATAAAAGAGGGTAATTTCGTCTTACAAAATTAAATTTTAATACTCTATAAAAATATGATCAGTGTATTAATTATAGTTATTTTTTTAACCAATCGCAACCGCCACTGCAATTAGCAGTCCTTTAAAAAAGATTAGTAAAAGAAAGCAAATTGACCACATAGAGATAAAATAATTTTAAAAGACTACAATGTAATATGATATTAAATTAGTAGATATTAATGTCTTTTGAGCTATCGCCACATAGATTCAAAATCAAATCTCCAGCTTTAATTTTGAGTTGTGTAGCACTGCTCTTTAACAAATTTGTTACATTTTTTAGACTTCTTGATATCATTCGTTACTCATAATTCAAAAAACATCATAATTAGGATGACATAATTCATTTATTTCTTTTCTTCCTGATTTTACAAATCAACATCACATAATTTAAAAGAGTACTAAAAACCAAATTCAAATGCATCGTGATATCGAAAAAGATGCTTGAGCATAACACCTAGGAAGCCAGAAATCAGTGAGATAGATTTCCTGCACCATCTTAAACCCGCCATAGTGCCTCACAATTCACATTACCGTTTCCACAAGCTTCGCAGTGGAGCCCAAGAATTTCTGTAAAAACATCTCAATGATTCAATCAACCCTGTGTCAAAACAAAAACCTATATATAAGAACGAGCAGCGATCTTCAGTCAATGTGCAACAAAAATCAAGCAACTGGTTTGATTGTCTATGAGCCTCGGAACATTGATGAGCATTGATAAAGCCATGGCACATTCACAATGCGCTGAGCTAGTCAAAAATCCTCTCCCCGGTTGCAAATAGTAAAAACACGACAGAACTGAAAATGCAGAGCAAGCCCGGTATGAAAAACACAGCTCTCCAGCTTTCCGGACTTGTAATATCCGAATTAGCAGTTCTAGCAGCTTCAAGAAGCTTGCCGGTAAGGTCAACCCCAACAATGCCGGCTAATGTACCAGCTGTGTTAGAAACTCCCATCACAATTCCAGCATACCTCGGAGCGATATCCATGTGATTCACAGCAAAACCAGCTCTTCCTAGTGCCAAGAAACCAAGGGCCACGGAAGAACAAAACACCGTTCCACCAGACGTCCTGAATAGGGGAAGTGCCATCAACGCAAAAGCAGCCACTATGAATCCTACCGTGTTCAAGAACTTCCTGGTTTTAGTTACGGAAAAGATTCTCCTGGTGATCAAGTGATCTGCAACCACCCCACCAATATTCGAGAATATGAACATGTTGAGATAAGGTATCATCTTAGAAGAACCCATTTCCTGGAGACTAAGCTGGAGACTCTGTTCAAAGTATGTGGGTAGCCAATTCATGAGCACGTATAAGGCATAGTGAAAAGTGAAACTATTCACCACAATTGCCCAAACTCGCAAGCTGAGAATAATTCTCTTCCATGGAATTTTGGCAGTTTCGATGGAGTGTCCTCCATTCTCCACCTTTACCTTCTGACTCCCCTTCATTGGCAACAAAGATTCCTCAAAGCCAGCAGCGGTCGCTTTTGGAAGGTCAGAACGAGGTGGGTCACTTGCATATTTGACCCAAAGAATAGACCACATGGCACCTAAAGCAGCTTCTGCGAGAAATATAGATTGGGGACCCCTGAACTTCACCAGGCTTGGTATCAAAAGCATACCTGCAGCAGCACCTAGATACATTCCAGACATAGTAAGAGAAACAGATCTTGACCTTTCACGCGGCGGGACCCACTGTGCTAGGACTGTGTGGATGGAGGGGAAGATGAACCCTTGTGCCACTCCAACAAGCAAGCGAGCTAATACCAAAGTCATTACTTTGTTTGGGTCTAGTGGTACTAAAACACAAGTTACAGACCATAATACAAATGACAGGAGGAGAACCCGCCTCCCCCCTATTTTCTGAGCTGCCCATCCTCCAGGCACCTGTGAACAGGCATACCCATAATAGAATGTTGAGAGTATAGTGCCTTTGCTTGACTGATTTACCCCCACAGCATCAGCAGCTACAGTATACCCAATCGAGAACCCCATACGTTCAATATAGCATATACATGTGCAGATGAAGGTTAGAATGACAATCACATAGCGCTTTGGGAAATTCATCCCCCTCATGCTTCACGTTGTCGATTTTCTTCTGATGAGCCCAACTTTCTCACACTTTTTTTGGGCAAGTCACTTTCTGTCACTTCATCTTTTTCTTCAACCTGTACTACCAAAGCTGGAGAAACCAAGACAAATAAAGGTTAATAGATCATGCATTCCACATACAGAACAAGATGTACAACACCAAATTAACTTGCAAACCAGTTTCAAAGTATTGAAAGGGAATGTCTACTATAAAGAGTTATGACTCTACTGTAGAGTAGGTATAGGAGGTATAATGTAGATGCCACAGGCGTGGAGGAGGAACCAACCAAAAGATGCAAATCGGATTATATCATATGATTTTGAAATTTCTTTCTACAATAAATGGTCCAAGAAGTGTCATGTGCTAACAGACTTTATAACCAAAAAGATGGATTCTAATTTGTTGCATTCTCAGTGGGGATTCATTCACTGTGTTCAGTACTGCATTATTGGCAAAACTTTAGTGGAATGAGGGCATTAATTCAGTTGCTTTATATTAGTTAGGGTAAAAATATCCATATTTTTTCTAATCTCCGAGAGATTTCAATTTTCAATGAGAAGAATATAAGAAAAACATAATTTCCACAATCCATTCCATTTCCAAATCCAAAAATCCCAATTCATTCCTCGAAAGCTGATTTAAATTCCCTGCAGATGTTCAATCTCTCAAGATATATCCACATCTCTCTCTCTCTCTCTCTCTCTCTCTCTCTCTTTCTATATATATATATATAAATATCGTCACATTGTTCTCGCTCTTCAGCATCGGCTCCAGATCAATTTTTGAAGTCTCTTTCACAGTCGATTATTTTTCCCCCTCTGCAGTTGTTTGATTCTTCTGAATTCTGATTTGGGAATTTTTGGTGCTTGAGGTTCGATTGCTTTTGATGGAAATTTTTTTTTTCTTTTTAAATTTCTAATAATGATCTTGATTATACATATTGGTGGTTTTTGAAGTACAAAAATAGTTGTTTTAACATTTATTATAAATGACCTTTTAAGATTTTTTTATTTTGATCAGAAGTGCTAGAGTTGGCGAAGTTTTGTGACTTGAAGCGAATTAGTTCATTCAGTTACAGTTGGTTAGGGAATTCTTTTGAGAGCTCTAATTTATTTTGTTTTGTACGTGAAAATGTGTGCTCTAATTTGTTTTGTAGGTAATTCTTTTGAGAGCTCTAATTTATTCACTGTTTTTTGTACGTGTTGAAGTAGTGTCCGTTGTATATGTGTTCACTTCCTTTCTCATATGCATTTTGAATATAGAAATGAAGAAGATTAAAGTTTTATCCATTATATTAAAATTACTCTTAATTAATAATATAGTTAAAAGGTTGTTTTCTAGATCCAATGATAATGAGTGCAAGGGTACTTTACTCCGACCTAATTGATCGGAATGGGAAAATTAAAAGAATTTTATCAAACATAATCAACATCTCTGGCAAAGCTCAATATAGTAGCATTAATTATTTATTACAGTAAAAATATATATATAAAACAATTTTCAGAAGATATGAATACAGTAATGATGAAGACATGCTTCACAATGTAAATGTTGAATTCAATCCACATTTTCAGTTTCAACACTCAATCAGACAACTAAGCCCTGCAAACACAAAAAAGAGAAAACTAGGTTTTGAAGACAATCGATTACATACCGGATCAGGCCCGCCTTCAAAACCTTCAACATCCTGAACAATTTTATGCATTGAAATAATCAGAAAATCTCAAAAATTCATTAAGAAATTTCAAGACATAGAGACTAAATTGAGCATCATACACTGCTTCGTTCTAGTTTTTTTCTTTACTTTTCTTTGAAAACCAAAATGACACAGAGCATAACTATTCAACATTTCAGTACTTCAATTTCTCTGGTGTTTTATCAGCATTCAACCAGATATAACCTCTTTCTAATGCATCAAACACTATACATTAATCTGAGAATTACATATATATATATATATATATATATATATAGAGAGAGAGAGAGAGAGAGAGAGAGAGAGAGTGGAAATTGCAAAAAGATTGTACTTGGGGTTGCTGAGGAGAAGCAGATCGAGCTCGTCCTTGAATGCAGATGAGGGGTTAGATGAGTGAATTTTCTTTTCTTGTTCAGTGAATAAAACCTGTTGCTGTTCTGTTCATCTACAAGAGAACACCAAGTTTGACAAAGAAAGAACAAACAAGGACTCTGCTGCGAGGAAACCATGTTCTTTCTTTTAAATTCTTGGGTTCATTTCACTTTTCTAGTGACGGATTTTTTATATTATTTTTTTATGTAAGCTGTGCCAAACCTGTTCTCCAATGTCCATGCATTAATGATGCATATCAAGGGCAATAGAGACATTTGGTATTTTTTTAAGCCTATTACTGTATTACCAACCCAAGTCACCTCTCACGCTTCGCGCGTTCTAATTCAAATTCTTATTTCTCATAACTTAATTATGCCCCTTTCTCGCTCATCTCACGCTTTGCGCGTTCTAACTCAAATTCTTATTTCTCATAACTTAATTATGCCCCTTTCTCGCTCTATGTGACTTGGTTACAAACTTATGTAAAATCTCAAAATTTTGTTAAATTAACTTCCCTTGACACATATGCTTAATGAAACTTTTCATTAGATTTCTTTTATAAAATGGCCATGTTGCCCTTCAATGAGTGGAACTGTTTTTTAATAATGTTGGACAAAATAATAAATTTTCATCAAAAAAAATTAAAATATAAAAGGCATTATTTACATTTATGAAAGGAAAGAAATTTATCTTTATCCTAACTAGAGTCCTTACGCACCTATTGTACTTTTCAAGTGCATACCTAATGGATGTGGTACGCTACATCTAGTTACACCATCTCAAAACGACCTTGTTTGGATGCAATAACATCTTAACATGTGAACTTGCAAAACCCTTTATTTATGTTTACAGCCACCTTTGTTTAAAGTTGCAACATCCATTAATTCAAAGTTACAACTCCATTAGTTCAAGTTTGCTACACTCTTAGTTCGAAGTTGCAACAAGTTTATTATATTTTGAAGATCGTGCCTCTAAATGAGACTTAATAAAAAGACCCAACTCAAAGACGACAAAACAAAACCATGGAAAATCAACCAAATCAATTTTATGAACTTTACAAATACAAAATTCATTAAACAATAATTCATTTCACAATGCAGTACGAACTCCGGCAGGGAACTGGAGAAGAAATGGAAGTAGCAGTATCACTGGTGCTGCCTGTAAAAAGATATTTGCACTTGTATACGAGCATCTACCTCCATTGCAGTCGAAAAAAGGGACAGTTCCCTGATTCAGTTAAAATAAAACTACTCATGCAGTCCCATTTACTCGCACATGAAATGGTGCCCCACGACAGAAGATTGGCTCGTCAGGAGAATTAGTTCTTGCGCGAGCTCTGAGAACGTCATTAGCATCATCTATAACAGCAGCAGCTGAGAGTGTATACTCACCCGGGACCATGAAATACAGGGAAAACGAATGTTTAATTTCCTTAAGTGGCGGAACTGCCATGCTAATACCAGTCAGAACACCTAGGAAGAAAACAAAAATTACACCCATAAACAAGCTCATCCATGTAAATGTCAACCAGAAAACCAAATAATAATAATAAATTGCAAAACCAGAATCAAGTAAAAAGTTGGGGGATGGTTAAAAGAATAAATAGCTAATGATATCAAGAAAATATTTCGTTTAGTTAAGAAATGTTCTATTGGAAACTATTCATACCAATGGTGTTACAAGGAATAATTTAGTATTTAATTACATTGACCTCCACAAGGTTTCTAAAGTTTTAAGCAACCTCATGTCGCTTTTGAAATTACACTGCACTGCTGCCATTGAGGGTAATACTAGGGGAAGGGGAAGACCAAAGTTAACGTAGGTCAAGTTAATAAGGAAGGATATGCAAGCATGTGGATTGACAAAGGACCTAGGGGTATGGCCTTAAATAGAGCGGAATGAAAACATAGAATTCATGTAACCGACCCCGAGTAGTTGGAAAAAGACTGTGATGGTTGTTGTTGTTGAATGTTAGTAGAATTACTTCTAATGAAAAAGTCAAATCTCTCATTCCTTTCTCATGGAGACCAAAATCAGAGGCTGCGCGGTATGAGGGATAGACAAAGTCGTCGTGTGACCTATTGAAAATAGGGAATAATGAAGTGGAACAGAGAGAAGTTTATGGCAAGGTTCAGGTGGTGGTCTAGAATAATTCCAACACACAACAACAGTAGGTGGGCTAGGACCATCCCATAGCATAACACACCGCCATCCTTGATCCACCATCAGCACCTAAGAACCTGCCATCTTTTCTCCACTAAAACCAACAAAATCACACTTAACCACCACCATCCACCACTACCAAGCCCTCAACCAACTAAGCCCTAAGCCACCAGGCCCACCACCTCCTTTCCATGGCACACATTCTTGACAGCCATGTAACAACGATCATAAATCGTCTGTTTATTGTCATAAATCAAACCCTAACTGTTCATTGCTGATAGTCTCTCTCCCTATTACTACATACTGAAATGACATGGCAATCGTAAAAGCGCTGTGTATACAAACCTCAAACCTCACTCAAACAGTTATAGGATCTGGCCAATAATAACTTATTCCATTACGGGCATATTTGGCATTTCAGTTCTTCCTAATGGACCTTTAGGAGAGGTGGAATGGAGGATTACTAAAAACTAAACCAAACCAAGTGCAATGTAATTTCAGAAACAAGAGGGAACACAATCTGCTGAGAAATAACTGAAGAAAGACATCATACTAGATCCTTACCTGCCCATAAGACAGTTGCCTTTTCACCTTCAATGCAGTTCTCCCCTGCTACATCTCTGCATGTAATGCTAAGACTCATGCGGATAATTTCTTTAGTATTATTGCAAACTAGAACTTCCATAGGAGTCATGTCATGTGCCAGTACAGAACCTTTCAACGAAGGGGAAGGATATCGATCACTGGATTCTTTAGGTGAATCGAGTTTCACTTCGTGTCCCAAACAAGAATCAGAAAGCCTAAAGCCAAACGTCAACGGATCCGGTAGCAGTACATCCATAACAGATGTCTGAAGAGCTGCCTGTATTGCATCCTTGATATTTAATTCTCCAGAGCTGTTCCGTCCAGATTGCCACCTTACATTAATTCTAGAAATCAAGTTCTTGATAGAAGCACTTAATTCAGCCTTGGCAGTCTTCTCAGAGAAGCTTGAACTTCTACTACTAGTAGCCCCATTTGTCTGGGAATCCTTCAAAAAGAATGAACCATCAAGAATAGGTAGTTTAAAATGCTCCAGTGGTATCAGTACCCTTGCAGTGTAATCTCGATCGATTCTTGTTTTAGGATAACCAAATTCAGCAGCAGCACTATTGACGGAAGGACTATCCTTGTTACTAGAGTTCTCTAGTTGGACTGAAACGCTAATCTCAAACACAACATCAGTTGGATTAGTCAACTCAAGTTCAAGAAACCGTAGTCCCCAACTTCCCCTGTAAGGATCAATCTTTACTAATCTCTCGTTCCTGCTTTCAGAACCAGTAACCTCTTCAGTAGAACTATTCTCCACAAAAATTTGTTTAGAAGGATTTTCACCAACATGTGCAGGAATTTCCATCGACAGTAAACGAGCCTTGACAAAGGACAAGCTCTGCAAAACACAGATGTTCAGGGGCACAACCAAACGTCTACCAGGAGGCACAGCAGACCCATTTGTTGGTGGTTCTCCAGAATTTACAGCAGGCCCTGATAGGAAAATTGATGAGAGCAAGTGAATAGATATGTCAATTTGAAAACTCAATGTCAAAGAATTTGCGAGCGGTTCAAGTTATGCCGTGCAAATATATATATAAGAGAGAGAGAGAAAAAAAATAGTGCTTTGAGTCATTACTTTAACAATCAACATAATAGATCTGAGGTGACTTCAAAAAAGAAAAAGGGAAAAAAAAGGAGGGTGTCCCCAGCCCCTTTGAGGACGGAACTAATCCCTTTGGATACCTGCAAAGGCTGCAATCACCCCAAAAACATGGCATCGGCTAAACCTAGGGAGGGTGTCTTTGATGCCCCCAGAAGTTGAGCACAAGACCTCTGGGTAATGCCCAGAGGCCTTATGCCAACTCAGCTACACCGTGGCCCGACGGGGTTGGGGTGACAATTTCATCATAGAATAAATGGTCAATGCTGTGATATCCAAGGTAAATGCACAATTGGGAGCTTAGGACTGATACTTTTGAGTGTATCTCCCATTAAAACTTTTCAACCAAAAATTTGGATCAATGACACCCTAAGCATCTGATTCATCAAATTTCAGAAACTTCAGAGGGATCTTAGAGTATGACAAGTACTAGAAAGGGGGAAGCCTACAGGATGTTCAGATTAAGTTACCCCACTTTTGCAGAAGAAGAAAAAAGCAGGGTCCACAAATTACTGAAACGTGTCAACTTTATAGTTATCGCAGCACATCAGTAGCTTGTCTGCGGGAAAAGATATATTGTCAAGATCCAGGTTTATAATATACCATTGGTGTTAGATTACAGAGCTACTAACTCATTGCCTTATCCGAACAATTTAGAGAGTTTACAACACAAATCATGCACCAGAAATTCAATTTTCTAAAAGGAAGATCTTAAACACGAAGTATGATGACTTCAAATATCTCCGCAGGGATCATTTTCGGCCTTCATAGCACAAGCAACAGATGCATTCTCCAACAGCAGCAGTAGATCTTTGTTGGATATGTCAAAACAATCTAAATCAACATCCTTATTTTATTATGAGTTCGTAAACTACTCTTTTCATCATCTTTTCGTTGCTCAAAGTTTCAGTCATGTAGCATGGCTGCCCTTATTGTTACTTTGTAAAAAAACAGAAAATAAATAAATAAATAAAAGACAAAAAAATCTTTTAGCATCCTATGAATATTGTGATTAATTACCGGGATGCATTAAAATAATAGTTAAACCTATGTCTCTCAAATTTCACCCATATCCTTGAATAAATGAGCTAGAACAATAGGCAAGGCTACACATCAAACCCAACCAACAACCAACCATGACTAAAACCTCAAGATATCAGGTAAAATCTAAGTTAAAAAAAAAAAAAAAAAAAAAAAAAAAAAAAAATATCCTGACCTGAACTCAGGCGAGGTTCAATTTAGGTTGAGGCCTTTGGAAACGAGACCCATTCCAAATCTAGTCAATTTATACTTAAATTATGGGATCAACATTGCATGACTGCATGTATATGGGATCAACTATGATGGTCATTGTTTATAAACTTAAAAAAGTCTCAACTTTAAACAATCAGAAATAAGTAAAATGCCTAACTTCAATTGGTCTCAAATGCTGCAGGTTTTCTATAGAAGTTATTTGAAATACATAAATTGATTAATTTAAAAATAAAAAATAAAAAAAATAAAAAAGAGAAATCCAAACATCCTATGTCACATTCGCTTCTATGGATTGTAGATGCCAAAAATTATCCCTAACAGTGTTTATAATCACCGGAAATTGTGATGATGATATTTTAAAAGCACAGAAGATATAAAACAAAAAGTAAATAATCCACGCAGACTTAAAAAAAATCCAACCGAACAAATTTAACATAAGATGGTCAAGCACCCTGAATCCAATACAGGTTTGGTTGGACTTCAGGTGGCATACCAAACCATTGGTTTTCAGTCGGTATCTAATAACCAGCCAGCCAATTCCTCAGTCCCAAAAATAACTTTGTCAGTATGAATTCTACCTCCTATTAATATTCTGTTTGACAATCATTCCAGAAACCTAAATTTTGAGAATCACCTCCAAAATTCTAAGTTCTTTCCTGTAGAGGCATCACATATTTAGCTGACATTCATGCAGCCAACATGGTATGCAGTTTCATTTCACCATTGGAGGCACAAACCCTCTGCATTGCCCACCATGCCAGAATTAAGATCAATCAAAGGATCAGCCATTTGATTCAGGTGACTTTTTGACTGGATCACTATGGTGGTGTGATGACATATATTATACGATGAACATAAGATGTTGGATGACCCAGATTGTTGGAAGTAATAAATAAAATAAATAAATAAAAGCTACTTGAATTTTGGGAATGGGCTTTTGCATGTCTTCCTGCCAACATTAACTACACTGTTCTTATTCTTTCATTTTTTAAAATTACTCTCCCAATAACACCACAAAATGCAACTTGTCTATGTTACATGGACTCTTCCCCGTCAAGTGACGTACAAGGTATTACACCTGAGTAGTATGGGATGCATGTCTAACGTGCTTGGTTGGAAATGCATCTAACGAATTATAAATCTCTCATATTATATTCCTTCCCAGTTTTCCATTACACTATTACTTCAAAATGGGTGAAGTGCCTATGTTGAACACTCCATATTACATAAAAGCACCATGTAGTCTAAGGAAACAAAAGAAGAATATGCATATATATATATATATATATATATATATATATCTACCTTTGTACTTGGATTTTAAATTTTTAGATAACTTGGGACTTAGACACATATTCACACTTGATACATGCACTGTACTATATAGTAAGATATCAGAATGACTGTATTATAATTATACCCAAGAAACCTACATACTATTTATATACGTTTGCCGTAATATACTGACATAGCTTTTCCTTAACCCACCAACCCGCATAAACTAGTCTAAAATGATATAGGTTTAGCCCCACAGAACCAGACAAACTTTTATTCAATCCAACCAAACTATTGATTAGATTAGTCCACCAACGAGAACAATCTATTATGCAAATCCAATGAAATGATAAGTTTCTAATTATATCTAACTCGTTTTAGTATTAAATGCATTATATCCATAAATTTTAATGTTTTTTTGTCATGGTGATAAGAATTGATAACATGCAAGTACTTTTACCATTACACATAATGACACTGGCATTTTATACAATGTAATACTGTTTCATATATTTAATCTGTATGAGTGAGCAAGCAGGGGAGCACAGCTTCTAGAAATAACCCGGAGGTCCAATTCTCTCTTCCCCCGTCCCATTCCTATTCTTTAAGTCCTTGTCATGGTTGCACCATCATTTGGATTTGTGCTTCATTTCAGACACACTTAAAACTAGGTTGAGGTTGGATTAACTTTGGGGCGTCGGTTACTTTTTTTGGCTTGGAATCCTTCCTTCCCATCAATCCTTAGACTTCACTGCCATTGTTGTAGTTGATGTCGACATATTTCAACTGACCTTCAGGTCAGAGGTTCTCTTTGATGCTGCTGGGGTTCAGTTCGAGGAATAGCCATTGATGATGACAATGGCCTTTTATGGTTCTCCCTTGTCGAGAAGCTGTAATCAGCCGGAATATGGTTTTTCTGTGATGAGAGTTGCATTGAGAACTAATGAGCATTTTGTGGTTCAGATTTTCTAATGTTACCCTGGGTACTTAATTGATGAATATTTTCACTGGAATTTGGTTTCTCTATGCTTCATCTTTTTAAATGTATCTCTCCATCTAATCTAGTCTGCCAACATGGCTTATATGGGTGTCACTGCCTTTGTCATTTTGCTGATACTAATAGGAGTAGCGGCTAATTTAATATATTGCTTAATCTTGTTGCAGTCAGTTTGTTATTCACTTTGTTGTTCCTGAAGAAGATGGCATTATAGGACTGAGTGCCTAAGAGAGTTAGAGATCTGCCCTTGAATCTCAATCTGGAGTGTTCATAGTGAGTGGCAGAGTTGACGATGATGTGTGTTATACACAAGTGGATGGGATATGTTTTACCCTGTCCATGTGAGGTGTGGGCTATTTTTGTGCAGAAAGAGGCACATTCCAGTACATCTCGTCCAGATTGGTTGTGAGCAGTGACTCGATCAAAGTGTTGAGGCATGTAGGCTGTAATGCATATGATACTGATGTTTGTCATATTCGCGGCAGTTCGAATTTGATGTTTGGCTGACGCAGGAAAAATGGAACCTGTTTTTAACAAGTCCACCAGATGTCTAAGGCAGGTCTATTGATCTTCTTTACTTCAACCAATTAAACATGACAGCAAAAATTATGCTGTCCCAGCTACTGACATGTCTGCTTGTGGAAAATGGGGTTTTTTTTAACGTCTTCTGCTTACAGTGTGCTTGGGTCGCTTTCCTGTCTTATTCTTCTCAGGTTATAATAGGTGCCTCGATGTGCCATTGAGCATGTGTTGAATTTCGATGTTGTACCTTATCTACGACAGTTTACCAACCGGGGAGAACAAAAAACAAATTTAGTGGGTAGACTCAGTTTTGACAAAATTGAATTTTCCTGATCCACCAACATCTACTATCATTTCAAAGTGGAACGTGGAGGGTTCAAACTTCCCCAAGAGCATTGTGGAAGTTATTTGCCAGGAAAAATGAATTCTAGATCCATCTGCCTTCAACCCGAACCAAAGCCTCCCAAGACCTAAGTCATTCCTAGCAAAGACGCATGGCAATGTGGCCACTCAGTGGAGAGGTCACACCAGCTCCTTTGATACAAATTATAGAAGTAAGATGGGTTATGTGAGGGCCATATAATAAGGCTTAACATCCCAGATCACAAAAAAAATTAAAGGTAAAAGATCTCTATGCTCCTTTTCTCATTGAGTATCTAATAGACAAACTTTAAAATGCCATTAGAATTCAGAATAATACGACAATATCAACCATAATCACTGGAAGATGAGAAATGATTATTGCAATTATGGCCAAATAATTACCTGCATAGTGAATCAACAACATGGGGCTGGTTCCATCCTTGGCTTGCCTCCCTGGGTTACCAGATAAATTCTTGCTAGCAGCAGTATCAGTGTCCACCAAGCCAAGCTGCCAAGCTTTTAAGGTTACTGGTACAGTCACTTCTGCACCAGGCTTCAGGGGAAGGGCAGATTTTAAAGTTTCATAAGTAAATGATATAACAGCATCTTGGTTCTTTCCTGATAGTGATACATGTGCCTGCTCAATTGGAACTGTACCTGCATTAGCCAATCTAATCCATACATCACGAATCTCACCTTCATATAAAATGACAGCACCATCACCACCTACAACATTTGAAACAAGCAACGGCAGTGGGGGCACCACAGAAATATTTGGAACCAAAACATTTTTCAACTTTGCAGATCCACAGCAGCGGAAAGGATCAGAAAGCACAAGTCCTTGTGCTGCTCCAAGTAGCAGATTATCAACATCCTTGAAAAGGTGTTCAGTAATTACACCAAAACAATGGACAGTACATCCAGGAATCACCACTGGCCCCACTTTAGTTGGAATTCCTGATAACGTAATCACCTTCGAAGAATTAGGAGGGAGGTTCACACTAATTGGAAAAGCGTCAAAATTTCCGGAATGCACAGAGAGATAGATACTATCAACCATTAAGTCAAAACCACAAGGGTTTGCCAATTCTACCAACACCTGGACTGGTTCTCCAACAATCCATATGAGCTCCTGCTTACTGTTATTACTAGGCTCGCCTTTGCTAAACGGTGTATAAATAAAAGGCCCGGAAGGAGCAGATCCTGCCCACCAATCTTCTCTTGCTGGATTGCGTTTTATAATGTCCATTTGTGAGGGATGGAGAGGAAAAGAATACAACCTGGAAGCATTTAAAGAGAATCATCATCAAGAGCTCAGAATTTTTTAGAATAAATGTAAAAATGTTGCAGCAGGCATCAAGCAGAATCCAACCTAAAAAAAAAAAAAAGACATTTTGAAGAAGCTCCAGCATCCTCAAGATATAGAAGTTCCTCTCAAAAAATATCAAGTATATCCACCTCTCATTTTTTGTACTCCTTTTTAGTTATTTATTTATTTATTTGTTTCATCTTCTCTATATATATCACATAATTTATCCTGAATTTGCAGTAAATTAAACCTGTTAGTGTTACTGAGAAAAGCTCTAAAAAGTAAAATTAGAAGTGTAAATATATTTGTGCCTTTAGTTATGGACCGTGTAATGTAATTGTTATAACTTAAATTCAGGAGGATAGAGGAGGAACAAGAAGATGTTACAGGCTTAGCTGGTGAACAATAATAACACAATTTCAGTAATTCCCAAAACCATGATGATTGTCATTATGAACCCGGCATATTTTCTATGACCTGGCTAGTCAAATTTCATGTATCCATGGACCATGCCCAAGTAGTAAGCACTATTCTCTCAAATGATGCAGGATTGTGCAAGAAAAATTATTCTCACACCTCCCAATGATTCTTTATAAGATTTGTTTTTGTTAATCCAACTGTCAGGTTGAATTTCATTCTAACACTAATCCATGTATGCCAAAATCAAATTAATTGATAATTCAGAACTCTCCATCAACATCACACTTCAAAATAGAGATTTATTCTAATATATTAATAAAATAAATTTGAGTTCATGGACCAGATACTTACCCATATCCAATTAACTTCGTATTTGATGCACATGATGAGCACAATAAAGGAAAATAAATTGAAAAATGGTCCATCCAACAAAAGTTAATGAGGGGGTTAAGAATACACTGGGTGAGTTGATCCTTGCCCTTCCCAAATACTTTAGCAATACATTAAAACAGAATTTGCAGTTCAAATATAAAAATTTATTCCACTATTTTTAGTAATTGACAGATCAATTTGAGTTACACCATGAGTGTAAAATATAATTTAAAGACTGCAGTAAATTTTGATTAACATGAAGTAGGTGTTGTGCCTTTAGATTTCCACAATTCTCAGGAACAATCCAACAAAATATACTTCAAATGTTAATATTCTCAAATTTTTGAAAAGAAACAAATAGGCAGACAGGGAAAGGGTTTCTGGTCATGCTATCCCTTTTCTTTTTGAAACAAAATTAAATTTCCCAAACATCCCTGTAGCTGCTATAATGGGGTGTTAAAAAGATATAGGCAATTTTTCTAGATGAAATACATTGGTATCTCTCTTTTTCCTTTTTTTCTGACATAATATACGTCAGTTTAAACTCTAACCTAAATGTCTTTTCTTTCCTTCTTCTTCTTCCTCTTCTTTTTATTTATTTTTTATTTTTTTATTTTTTTCCTGGAGAGAACATATGATAGTATAGCCTATCTAACTTTTTCATCACAATCAGATTTTTCCAGAAAAACACGGGAACCTCAACTAAGTTTTGCCCAAAAGAACCTAGAAACCAAACTGCAGTCAGTTCTCTTGGTATAACAAATGTCAAGGCTTTTAACAAATGACTTTTCAGGAGGTCTTAACCATGCTCTTCCAATTATTTTATAGACACACGCACTTGTAGATGTATCTGGGAAAGTGCTGTAGACACACCACTCTTAAATTCTTGCACTCACATTGTCAGTGCATGGAATTTTTAGAAATGGCATGCAGGAAAAAAAGTATAGTGCTGATGGAGCTACACCATATATAGATGACACTCAATATCATCTTATATCAAAGGCAGCTTTGTGGCTATAATTAGATGTAAGCTTCTACTGATCGAGTGATCAATTCCCGTAACCACAGGTTTAAGGAGGATTGGGGCATTTTAGCATCAGGCACAGAAACTTGGTGAAATAAGTAAAAAAATTAAACTCATAAAAAAATAAAAAAAAATAAAAAAAGTAACACGATTACTGCAATAAACATGCATAGAATAAAACTTGATTTTGTTTGAAGTTAGAGAAAATGATATTTAATTACTGGCAAATACCTTACGAAAGGTAAGGCAGGATCAGCACAGCGAGTTCCTGAAGGAAGCCTCTCCGCTGAATTTGTAAGTGCACTTGCAAGACCATTTTGCCCAGCAGGAGTAATTAGGGGATAGTAAGATCTTAGCAGACGTGCTGCTGCACTCCATGCAGTAAGAGGATCACCAGCACGGACAGAAGACAACAGTATCTCTCTTAGTACAACCATCTGCAGGGTGCTCCATTGGGACTCAAATAGTGATACTACTGAGTGATGATGCATTTTCCCACCATCAGTATAGGATGATACAGTTTCCTTCCATAAAGAAAGAATCCGAAATGAAACATGAAAAACTTAAACAAACTAAAAAGAAAAAGAAAACGAAAAAAGAAAGAAAGAATACAACCCAAAAAAAGAATTACGTTCTGAATCCATACAAAACAAATGTAAATCATTACATGCCTGCAATCATGCTCTCAACCTGACTTCGTATTTCAATTCCAGATATACCCTCTAGAACATAACTAAAAGCATGACCAAGAACCAACACTTAAGAGATTCAGTCATTATACTGCACTTAAAGAAGAGCTCAAAACCAATTATCGCTTAATTTCTGGGATCCCTCTGCAGATAGGGGGCTAAATAATGCAAGTCCTGGCATCATGGTTGTGCATCATCTTTCTTAAAATTTACAGCACACCCATTTTCCATCGTAGTAAGATCAAGGTTAAAACAGGAAAACTCCGGCACAGGGAAATAACTAAAAAGAGTCAAATAATGAACAGAAAATAACATCAACAAAAAGGTCTAACAAAAAGAGTGAGGTCATAATCAACTTCATTATAAAATAAGAAATCATTTGCATGCATTTGTACAGTGGTATGTCATGTCTGTAATCCTCTGCCAATTTAATATCTCCAGGAGACTTAAGTGCAAGTTTCTAGTATTAGTCACTTTAAAAGACTGGGCTGATTCGAAGTTATTTATTTTAGTCTTCTGTGCTTTCACAATTGTGAATGTACAAAATGATTTATTGGATAATAATTTGTGGGCATGTCTATTGCCTGTATATGAAGGCAGCACCTAGTACTTAATTATTTCCCATTTGTGTATTTCTGAAAAAATCTTTGCATTTGAATCTTCCATATGCCAGCAACATGAAGACGGGATTTAATTTTCATATTTTCATTTTTACCCTTTCTCCGGAAAAGCTGTTACATTTTACTTCCCTTTCTGCCCATATAGTCACATTTCTCTTGCACTTCAACCCTGCAGCTGGTTAAATATTACTTCATATACGCTCTTTAAAATTCATCATGTTGGTTATTTAAGTCCCCACAAATGATTCAAGAAATCTCAACTATCTGAACCAAGCTGACGCCTCATGATCATCTTTGCAGCAAGACTTGCTGCAGTAGTGCTGTTAGGTAAAAATAAAAAATGAAACAATTCCCCTTTCACCTTTTCAATAATTGAGTTAGAATTTAAAATGCTCCACAACCCGTCAGAGTTGAATTCCCAATTGGCAAATAAATGAGCAGATTTCCAAATCCCAATCCAACACCTAATAAATACTAATTTGATCATATTTCATTACATTCTTTTCTTCAGCTCTCCTAACTAGATGGATTCTTCTAAAATTGTGAAGTTTTGGAGTCGGACAAAACAAAATGTCGGTGTTTTAATTAAAATAAAATAAAGTACTTGCTTAGCATTTTCCCTTTTTCCTTAACAAACATTTAACACTATGTTAAGACCATCTGTTAAATTGAGTGATATCTCTAGCAAACTCCAAGGTAGAAGGTGTAGGGTTCATGACTCAGTTGGTAGTTGGTAAATAAATATGCAAGTAGTAATCATCCAAATAATAACTAAATGCTAAGCAAATGTTAAATAAACATACCCTTAACTAGTAAAAAAGGATGACGATTAAATAAATTGAACAGTTAGTTGTGTTCCCATATCCTTGAATCTCAGGCTTAGATAAATCTCACTAAATGTTAGACATAACGAAGTCCATACAACATAAGAATTTGCAGCTCAGGAGAGTCTTGCAATGATATCCTTGCAAACAGAAGAAGGAGAAGGAGAAATTACAGGAGAACAAGAATTATTTTATGATTGGAAATTCAGGATACCAACTTCAGTGACTGGAGATAATGGAAAGAAAAAAGAAGTGAGAGACTGAGAGTAAACATGGGATTACGCCTCACGGTTTAACTGACACCGACAACAGAACCGGAAAAGGATTTGAATTTTTTATTTTTTATTTTATTTTTGGAGTGCATGTTGTTGTGTAGGGGGTGGTGGTTTGGAGGTTGAATAGAAACTCATTATTGCATTCAATATACTCATTCTGAAATTATGACCTTATGCTTTATGAATAAAATCTTATTTTCACACTTCCAATATTTTCCTTAAATTCTAGAACAAAAAAAAGTTATAAATATGATTGAAGGGTGTAATGGTTGTCACAGATCATTATTGCCTGGTTTTTATACTGTTATAGAGATCCATCAGAATTTCACGGATTTAATGGTCATTACAGTTCCAGATGATAGTTTAGAATCATGATTTTTTTTTTTTTTTTTTATAAGTAAAAGTCAATTAGAAAAGCGTTCAAAAGGGGAATGCGTCCCTAGTACAGAAAACGAAAATTGAACCTAAGGAATAGTTTAGAATCATGAATATAAAACCCCTTTATTATCATTTTCTTATTCAATTTTCCCTCCTCTACAAAAACACTCCATATACGTAGATCTACTCTTCAAAACTTACTGAACACAAGGTCTAGGCTTAGATCTAAAATCAAGAGCTTGTGGAATTTCCTTCAATCAGTAAATTTTCAAAAAAATCGTACTCTTTTCATTTTTCACATCATTTACGCTAGCTCTCACCTAAATTTGTCATTTGATTAAAAATCTTCTGAGGTTGTTAATGCCATATATTTATCCATGTTTTAAGTGAATTTGTGGTCATAAAAGGCGGAAAACTAAAATTAGAAAGCTTTTGTTGCCAACAATGACTTGAAAATTCAAAATCCACTACTTGTATTAAATCATCTCTATAAATTCAATAAAATCATCATCTAAAATCCATCAAAACCCTACAGCAATTAAATTGACATGGTATAGCTACATCAAAATGCAACTCAGCCTCTGCATCTGACCTGTGTTACTTCATTTGACCAACTGGAAGCTGACGTTGTATTCTTTAAGCAAATAAAAATACAATTCAAATTTTTTCTCCTGCTATCCAAAGGCAAGCTGCTCCCTCACCCCTCTAATACGCAGTAGCTGATAGTCCAAGAAAGTGATAATTTGATCTTTTCACTAAAATCACCTCACATTTCAATTAATCTGGACAAAGCATCAGAAAAGATCTTTCCAGTTTCTTCTCATGAAGTTGTTGTTCATTGAATGCTACAGTAACAGTTATATATGTTGTTTCTGCCTTCTTTCTTCTTCTTTTTATTTTCTATTTTATTTTTTATTATTATAATTTTTTTGCTCTCTCTATCACTTACGCCCAAGGGGGTTGGCTCAAGTGGTAACTCACTTGGGCTTGATGCCTCATGAAGTATCAAGTCTAAGGTTTGACCCTCCTTGAGTGCAAACAATTCCTTGGAGCCATGCCCGCAGGTAAAAGCCCGAGCTTTACCCAACGTGCGTGGAGGGGGTGCTTTGCATGGTGTCCCGGGATTGGTCGGGGCAAAACCCTGAATATCCCAGTTACCTTAAAAAAAAAAAAGTTCTATCACTTCCAATCTCTTCTGCATATGTGCCCACAACTATAGGAGTTAGGGTAAGGTGAGCTCAGTGCAGGTATCTATGCTCTTACTGCAAAATAAAGGCAACAATGTATGACTCCAATACTTAAATGACATTTTCTCAGGTAAATACAGCCATGATTTTTTTTTCTTCTTCAGCATATATCTGTAAGCATTTTCTGTATATCTAGAAGCTCAGACTTGATTATGAATTGATTTTTATGTCATGAAATTTCACATCTTGCTTCTTCCTTTTATTCCTTAAAAGTACTCATGAGTTGATGTAATCATTAAAGCACTCGTGTTTATATTTTCTTTGCGAGTTTATAAGAAAGTTTTGGTTGGCTAAATTGTAGTATTTATTGGTGAAATCTTATGATTTTCTTCCACCGGAGTTCGTATCCTTCCCTTTACCGACTCGTAATTAATGCCTATTATTTTATCCTAATGGTTGCTTGCAAGTGCATTTCACATGCCTCTTTAGTCTTCCACCACAAAATTTTCGAGAAGTTCAGATTGCAACTCTCTCACGCTAATTTAATTTGAGGAAGTACTCACATCAATGACCTAAACAGGGTCATAAATATATAATAGAACACATTGTCAGACAGAATTTGTCAACCGCGAGTCAACATGTAAGACTGAAATGCTTTAAAATTAATTTAAAAGAAAGCAATAACAATATGAGATACAGAAACGTAGACAGCAAACTGCAAGTAGAAATGTTATGAGCACGAAAATAAAAAAATATTATCATGAATGCAGCCAAAAGTTCATCTTGAATGCAAAAAATAATGTCAGCAGTTCCAATAAACATATATTCAAATAATCCCAGATATTTCTTTATTCCTCCATTCTTTAAAACTCACATTGGAAAGAGAATATTTGGCAATGGATGCTCTACTTTGAACACGATATGCTTTTGTGGTCATTGCCAACACTTGCATGGCACTCATAGCAGCCAATCTGTTTTCTTGTTGCAAGTACAACTGAGCCACCTGCCTAGAAAAGAAAGCAGCTTTCCGTTGATAACCAAGTGTTCCAAACAATCGAGCTATTTCAATATATAATATCAGCCGATCATTGGCATCAATCAAGGATTTAGCTCCATCTGCAGCAGCTGTCAACAATTCCACTACTTCCTTGGCCAACTCACGTCTGTAGAAACAACAAAAATAAAAATCATATGACAAAATGATTTCAGAAAGAACATCAAAATTAGGATGCTTATCTCATGCCTTGCTTTTCAAGTTGCTCCAAACCTTCCTAATCCAAATATGAGGAAAAATGGACAGAACATATAAAGATCCAAATCCATAATTTGAGTTTCAGACTGCATGAATGACTGTTGATGTAACATTCATGCAATTATAAAAGCATGAAAGGTGAGACAAGAGTTAATAGTAACATATTAGAAAGATTATAAGATTAAAATATACAAACTGAACAACTTTATCTACAAGGTTAACTGGAATCAAGGTTTTGAAATCACAAAGTTCATGTCAATTTTGGAAGTCCAATTTGAATCCATATTTCAACCTTTTTTTCAACAAAATGATTTGTGGCTATTTTTACTTTTAATTTTTTGTATTGAGCGGCCTCATTTCCCAAAACTACACCAAATTTTAATTAAATACTAGAAAATTGAGCCAAATGCCAGCCAAGGTAATAAAATAAATAAAGATGGCCACTGTTTAGTGAATCCAAAATTTCCCAATTTATACAAATATCAGCTTCAGCAGAGCTTTTTAATCCAAATTTATCCAATACAAATACGGGTGTCCAACCTGTCACCAAATTAGCACGAATACATGGCAATTCTAGAAGAAATAAAAAGCAATGACCAGTAGAAATATTTAAACTAATGTTTTATTTAATCTTTTGCTACAACATAAGCATCAATACAATTCACTAGTTGATAGAAATGATAACAAAAGATGCAGTCAGAACTGTACAAACATATACTTATTCACTTATTGTCATTGAAGCAATATATAAATCTCATCTTTGGGCATGCCTCTCTCTACTATTGAGCACCAGCCTCAAAGATTGTTTGGATATTCTCTAAGGAGGATCCTACTAGCTGAATCTAAACAATCATAAGAACATAGTGAACCGTTGCAATATAAAATCGGCTTTAACAGTTATACCTGCAAAGAAATCTTGCCAATTTCAAAGTAGCCTCAAGTTCAAAGCTTAGGGGTGAAACTCTGCACACAAATTATTGAGAAATAATAAACTTCAAGAGAAATTCAAATATGAAGAAGAGAATAAAAGGCAAAAGGCAAAAGGCAAAAAATTTCAAGCATTAATAAACTTGGAAAGAACAAGATTACGCCACTGCAAGTTTTGTTACTTGTGCAGCAGTCTACCTCAAGCACATATATCATACATCACATCAATATTCAACGATATAGCGTGACGCATGACAAGATGGTAAAAAAAAATGTAGTTGTTACTTTACTCTAGATAGAAACCACTGTTTGTTTGCACAAAATTGAACACTGAATCAGGTTTGAAATAATAGACACAAGAAACATGCATTGCCTCAACACAATTATTTAGACAACAAAAGAGATAGAGCCAATCACACGGAGTACAAATGATGAAGGGGGATACAGTGTACCATCGTAAGGCTTAAGGCCACTAAAGTCACTACACCCCTGAAATGCTTATCCAAAGTCCCAGCTTTGGTTAGCCATTTGTTTCCTCCCCCTCATACAGTTTCCCATCACCTATAATCCATTGTAAACTGATCCAGCTCCTAATTCATGCTAGGGAAGACAAATATGTCCTCCCTCTAATATGGGAATAACATTTCCTGTACATTCTACGAGTGTCAAAACGTCATACTTGACTATAGAATGGATTTTTAGTGTTAAACACCATCCATGCACAATGAATTTACCTATCATGGAATCGCCAAAAACAGATCAGGAACTTAAAAGTTCAAGAAAAGACCAAAAAAAAATACAATTTAAGAAGCAAGCGAACGGCTGTACAACAAAATATTAATAATGACAGTAAACTTAGGAATGAGTGTAAAGTAGTAAATGGTTTTTCATGCAATTCTATGAAGCTCTTTTGCAAGGTCTCTCAACTCTCTTCAAAAGCAATTTATATGTGAGTGTGAACTATGAAGAAATTGAAAAATGTGGGTACCATGTGAATTTGTTTATGGCAAGATGGATTAATTACATGTTTCTGTACCATTGTGGAGCAAAAAGACGAGAAGGCTTCTGCAAGAGATCTATCAGAAAGAAGGAACAGATGGGAAAGAGAAAAGCTGCTGTATTTACGGTTCAGGCATTCACATCCAAAGCCAAACACAAGCAGCAGTGTACCCATGAGGCCAGTATACACGTGAAATTTAGATGTAAGATACTCACTTAGATGAGACAATTATTGCATTCATAATCTCCCTCCTCTTTTATGGTGCTATACTGTCATATGGTATTGCCAAAACAGGTCCGTGGAAAGTTAGTTTGTAGAACGATTAGTGCCATGACTGGAATGTGAAGCATTAGTTCAGAAAAGCTGCTGTATTTACAGTTTAGGCATTCACATCCAAAGCCAAACACAAGCAGCAGTGACAAACCCACGAGGCCATTATAGACATGAAATTTAGTGACCACTGTGGAAAGTTAGTTTGTAGAACAATTAGCGCCATAACTGGAATGTTAAGCACTAGTTCATTTGAGGAAGGCTTTTTTGTCCTTTAATGTGAGAGAAAAGGATGACCTTGGGTTTGATAAGCATTCAAAACTTGAAACGATTTATAATTTATTAAGTTTAAAAAGGCCATTAGTTAGAACACAAAATATTTACTGTAAAGATCCCAGCAAAGTTTACAGAATTTTCTTGCAACCTGCCACTTCTAAAGATCCCAGCAAACTTTACAGACTTTGCACTATTCACTAGCTAATCACATTAATTCAACTTTATGATAGATGTATACCTCTAAAATTGAAAGGTAAATTCTACAAAATATTTCTTAGACCAGCCAAATTTAGAAAATAGAATGTTGGACAGCTGAAAACAATATATTCTTAAAATGAGTATGTGTGACAGAAATGCATATATTGAGACGGATTTGAAGCAAGATAAGAAAAGATAAAACTATAAATGATTCAAATGAACAATTTCGAGAATTGAGAGGTAGTTAAAGATTAATTGAAGATGGCTGGACCATGTTCAACAAAGAACAATAAATGAACCTGTGAGGAAGAGTAATGTGGTTCACATTTATGATATAATACCATGTGGTTGACCAAGGTTATGGCATAAGATAGAGCAGATTACTAAAACAGGTTCGCAATGAAGACCACGAATAGTTGAAGAAAAAATACATATTTTCTTCAAGTTGAATAGTTTCTTTACTTTCAATTTATCCAAAAATAAAATAAAATATTTTCTATTTAGGCTCTGTTTGTTTCAAAGAAAAATATTTTCTTCTTTTTTAGATAAAATATATTTTATTTTTTTATTTTTTGGTGTTTGGCAAAGGTCTAGGACGAGTCCATCGGGCAGAACGTGTAAAAAACTTACCAAAAATGGATAAATTATTTTCGTTAGATTTTAATTTTTTTTTTCTTTGTAAAATATTTTATGACAACCAAACACCAGAAAATAAAAAAATATTTTCTGAAAAATATTTTACATCTAAACAGACAAAGCCTAATATGCTCTTGGAAAGAAATCTTTCACCCAGACACACACTCAAAGTCAATTTGTACTTGCTGTAAGTCTTATTATTTTCATCCCCTCAACAAAATTGTGTTATATCCATGGTCTACTCCTATATCGAACGCAGAATTGGATTACATGTTATTCCTAGGTCCATCATGCTTACCAAATGCCCAGTTAATTGTACGAACTACCTCATCTCTACAGTGTTCCAAATTAAACTTTATGTAAACATTTTATATCATATAAAAGAAAATGTAAACATTTTGATCTTTAGATCCTTATAGACAATCAATGCAAACATTCACATGCAAGACACACAACGGGTTACTTGTAAAAGGATTAGTAGAAATAAAAATCCGAAGAAACCTCGCGAAGGCCATTGCTAATCTAAGTTTTTATACCGGCTGTACTTTGATTCTAACTCCAGTAACTATATTACGAATGTATAATATATCCACATATTTTTTGTTAACTGAATCCTGCAAGTGATTTATGTTCTAAAACTATTATAATTTATAACTTTTTAAAAAATAATGCCGTGTTCTGATATTACAGAATGTGCCTACTTTTATACAGCTATATATTGACACTATTTAGATGAGGCACCGAGGTGAACTCTTTGTGATACCAAGGGAAGGGAAATCCAGCAATATCACAGATAAATACCTTAACCAACGACACCGTTGACAAACTCATTTGTCTCCATAGTCCACCATCCACAGTTGCCTCCTCCCTCAACCCCATTTCCATAAACACCATCATTGCCACAGCCATCATAATCAGCATTTCAAGTTACCAACACCCATTTCAGAGTCTGCCAACTCCCTCCCTAATATATATATATATATATATATATATATATATATATATATATATATTTTCCTGACAAATCCTTTCCTAAAGATTTACTAAATTATTCTTTAAGTGCAACTGATACCCATCTAAAATAGGTTAGATAGGACCTAACCACAATGAGCAATCATTTAGAGTTGATAACAGTAACAGTAATGGAATCTTCATAATTTCTTCATAGGAGGTCAGGACTTCATGTCACGGTTTACAAAACAGGTTCGGAATCCCCAAGGAAGAGCACTGATTAGTTGGGTTGCAAATTTTGAAACCAAAACCTTAAAACAGGAATAAAATATTAGAGAAAATTCTGCAACAGATAAAAGACCAATGAACTAAACATGTGAAATGTAATAGTTCATTCTTCTTCAGAGAAAATTTTTAAAGACGTTCATAGAGTCCTAGTAGTGTTTTAACTAGGGCTGCTTGTTTAATATGTTATGAAATTAAATTTAAAGAAAATGACAATAATATAATCACTGCAAATTACAAATAATATATAGACTGTAAATACCTCTAACATGCAATGTCAAGTTTTTAATCATCCCCTAACCGTGGACATTAACAATGAATCACTAACTTAAGTATTTTGCACATAATCTCTATACCTTTTAATGAGGCTGCAATAGCCATCATACAGAATGCAAATATAGCAGTTTAATAATTCATTGCATTGCGGAAGAAAAGCTTTTCATTGCCGTATAAGTTACCTCACTAGCTATCAGTTCATGATCCATAGAGAGATGGGGAAGGGTATTATCTACGGCACATGTAAAAGGCCATTGTGCAGCGTGATCTCTTTGATCAAGGGTGGTTGGAGAAAAGGATTGGATACAAGCTAACCATTGGCATTATTTGCACAAAGTGACCCCCTCAGCAGAAACTGTGTCCTAACACCTGACAACCCAAAGTTTTTACAACTGAATTACAGAAAGCTATGTATACGTTGCCCACATGTGACATGTTAATAGGTCGTCAATAAGTTCACGCCCTAGGGTCAATGCCAGATGTCAATCAGACAACAATTGAAGCATCACAATTACTCTGAAGCAAATCCATCAAAAAGATTAAATTGAAAACAGTTACCTCTGAGCATTGTCTTGTATAAATGACTTTCTGTAATGCACGATGACACTATTGTACCGGTACTTAACCTCCTCCTCTAAAACCGGATCCTTCTGGCCCATTCGATCTATCTAATAACATGAGAAATTTAACAAATTAGAGTGTCCATAATACATACAATAAATTAAGGGAATATAAGGCACGGTCCAAGAACATCATGAAATAGTTCATAGGTTTTTTGTCATTAAAACCACATCAAACTTTATTTTCTTTTCTTTTTTCATAATAAACAGTTACATGAATAAAAATTAAAGAGCACAATAACCAGAAATAGAACTCTCCCAAGCGTGATAGAAATGGCCCTTAACAATTGACCACAAGTTTAGCTAAACAATGTGATTCCTGATTAGTCAATCAATCCCCCCAATCAACAGAAGAGGAAATGTTTTGAGATATGTCAATAATCTCTTGTGTAAGATAAGCATGCATCCAAAAAAAAAAACTTGAGATTTTCTTTTCACCCAGTTTATTACAATGCTAGCTTCTCGCAGAAAGATATTAACAAGTATCTTGGTATTTTATCGAGTAATGAATCAGTCCAGAATTATATGTGGTGAACTATAATCCAAAATAACAGAGGAAAATAGTTTCCATCATTGGCGAAGGATTCAAGACCACGCTATGAGCATTTGGCAAATTGAGTACAAATATCCATCTCACTATTATAGTCTTATCAAAATGAGACCTAGTTTTTATCTCGGCTCATATGGTATGCTTACCAGCAAGGCACAAACGCTTCCCTCCAACGCCCCAGCATACCAGAAATAATCAGTGGTCAACCGGGCAAGTTCTAACGCAGTAGAATAATGAGCATTGGCATCAACAGGTGATCCAGCCAACAAACAGTAATCTCCTATAGTTTTCTGTGCACGGGCAAGCCTCCGTTTTTTTGCCTTGATCACCTGCAGCATGTGTGACATTCAAAATGATTAAGTTGCAATGTTCCACTGTAGCTTCAAAGTAGATGTTAAGCAATAGAAAAGAAACACTAAATCAAATCCTTAGGACACCTAAAACATAAACCTCCTCTGAGCTGAGACTGGCTTGAGAATCTAAAGGTGTCTTGAGAATGGTTCCAGCAGATTCTGCTTGAAGAACCCACTTTTCAAATTCCATTAGCAATGAAGCAGCAACGTCTTGCATCATTGTGTGCAAATGGAATTCCTGAGTTTGCCGATCAGCAGGAGGAAACAGAATTAAGTTCTCTGCCTTCTTGCTTCCATCCTCTAACTGCATACCACAGAGCAATAAATTAAGATATACCGAAATTGGGGAGTCAAATGTATTCATTCAACTAAGTGATCATCTTTCCAATGAATCGAACCTGAGAATCACCAGGAGAAAACGCGAAGCAACGCTGAACAAGAGAGGAAGCGTAACCTTTACACGCAGTGGAGAATTGCTCGACGACGGAGTCGAGATCTGGCGAAGCCGGACAATGGCATATTCCGATAACGGCGAGAATTTTGCGATTGGACTGGAAATCCTCCCACGGGCTGGGCGGCGATCCGCCGACCATGAACTGGAAGCAGAGGCTGCCGGAGTCCCAGGGCTGCTGTGAGAAGGGGCTCTTTTGGTGTTCGGTGTAGAAAGAACTGATTGTGGAGAGTTCGATCTTGTGGTGGCGGAAGAGCATCGATACGTAGTCTCTGAACTGAGGCGGTTGGATCGCTCCGATCGGGAGGACAGCCACCCGTATCATGCAACTGGTTTCGATGCTCACGTCTGGCTCCATCGCCGCCGCGGACGGTGGCCGGAAAAATACTCTAGTGTGCGGTGGAGAGAGAAGATAGATCACAGACTTGAGAACTCAACGACCACGAGCTACGCTCTTTCTCACATCCTATATTCTCTCTCCTCTTTCCTTTCTAAAATCCCAGAAATGAAGATCTTGAGATGAATATAAGTTAAATTTAGATAAAATATGAAGAGAAACGAAAAGAAAATATGAGTGAGACAGAAAATGTGTTTATATTTCGCCCAAAATTTTAAATTATCACTTTCTTTTTCTACTACTAAATCAAGTAATATTACTAATCACTCTTTCTCAACTTAGATAAAGAGGAGGCTTGAATCTATTTTTTTCATTTTCTTTTTCTTTTTTTGGTTAAGAAAACCCTACATTATTGTTTATTTCTAATAGTAATAGTTTGAAACTTGTCAAAAATATTATGAAATTATCAAATCTTTAGAATTCCTTTGATATACTACAATAGTGTTCTTGATTTTCACCATACAAATTTTCATTATAGCAAAGAAGTCCATACGAGATGACAAATACAGTACATATCTACATTTGGACTAAAAGAATTGCTCTTTCACCTGAACTTTGTAGTTCTTAATTGTGCCATTCGATTCAGTCATGTATCATCTTTGTTAAAATTGTATATTAAATATTTTGTTACAACGAAATTAGTAAATGATAAAGTTGTAAATCATACTGAAAGAATATTTCAAAATGCTCATTATACTATGTAATTATGTATGTATAAAGATAAATATTTATCAACGGTCTGTTTGACAATCGCTTCTCTTTTATGATTTTTATTTCAAATAATGTATTGTAACAAAGCAAAAGCATGAATCTTAGTTAGTTGAATCGTATTTAGTAAAGTTTGCTGGACTTCTGTTAAAAAAAAAAAAAAAAAAAAACTCTAAAATGACAATTTTAACTAATAATTTAATTTTTCAAACTTTTAACACTTTTTTAACAAAATTTTTATGCTTTTGCTTCAAAAAATTTTGCAACAAATTACTAAACATGCTTCCAAATAGTATTGAACACACTCCAAAATAGAAACATTACTTCTGTTTCGAATCAAAGTAAAAACACAAAACAATTACTGTTTAAAATAGTGAAATTTTAAAGTAAATGTGGTTGAGACTGCATGAGCGTCCTTGAAAATAGTGTTGTCAAGAGGATTTTGATTCTTCCTACTGGTACTAAATGGTGCATGAATTCCTCTCAGTTTTGGTGCACTCTAAATCAACTGTGCATTGATAAATTTGTTGTTCCTAGCACTTAAACAACACTACACCATATGATAAATGCTTGGACAACAAAATCAGAAGAAATGAACTCAGCCCCATAGGGGTATACGGCCCCTTACATACAACATGTTGATCACATAATACAAGCACACACCATCTCGCTATTCAACTTTCTAAGTGAAACATGTATTGTGTTCATAATATCAAGCATAAGGTGGCATGGAGTTACCAATTATGAACGATTGCAAAAGTAAAATTTATGAAGACACACGAAACCAAAACCTGATACCGCAAATTTTGAACCAATTGATATTCAAAGTTCAGTGTGGCTCCATGACTTCACACACACAGCTAAACTCCGTTGCTCTATCAAATCCGATAAGAAAACCCAATCATTTTAAGTATATACTTCTTGGATTAGTAACAAATAATATTCCAAACCATTCAATACAAGGGATACTTGAATAACAGTCGTCAACATTTCCATCCATTCAATTTGAGGTCTTCTAGGATGATGAGTATATTTGCCAAGCAGTAGTAGGAATGCAGAATAGGTCAGAGCTTGTTCGGTTAAAGCTACTTATAGTTGCAGGAGTAAAACGAATCTGCGTGATACATTTAAAAGTTAAATCACTCGTCAGACAATTTGAAAAAAATAAATACGTAAATTTAACAATTTGCACTCACCATATGAACAGTATCACAGTATATATACCTCAGATCCATCATCTACAGTCATCCCCATGCCATGGAACAAGCATAGTTAACCACCAGTTTACCATCAAAACCAAAATTCTGCAATACCAAAGCCTTATAGTTAATGATGAAGAAATGTAAACAAAGCCAACTACAATGGACAATTATAATGCAGATTTAAGGGATCCAAGGGTTTAAGAAGTTATGGAATCTTACTCAAAAGTTCGAGGAACAGCAACTTAGTCACTAAAATACTATCTCAAGGTAGTAATATTTACATTTAACAGCTTATCTGGCAAAAAGAGGAAATCACCCAAAGATCTCAGGAAGTCTATATTCCCAAACTCCAAACTGTTTCCTTGATTCTTTTTTATCGCCAATCACTTTAAAGATGACCAAATAGTTTTAACATACAATTCTTAATGTGTATTACGTAGAAAGTAATAATTACAATTGTTTTCTCCACCCCAGTAGAACTCCTAAAATTCCCAATATCACCTTCCCAAACACAAAGGATATATTTGAAAGAGTAAAAATAATGACTGATAAATATATAACATCAAACTTTGAAGATCAGAGCTTTTCTAGGCCAACCCCTTTTGGGCATTGGTCATCTAGGAATTTGCAGGGCTACCTTTGAGTTTGATCATGAGAGACTGGGTTTCGGCTGCTTAACATGTGTTGGGGCTTGAAGATCCATAAAAAGGGCCAAAGGGCTAGCCTAGTGCACGAGGTTCTCAACATTGCGGGGTCTAGGAGGGTCAGATACACAACCTTAACCCGCTTGAAGACCCAATAGTGTGGAATCAAATTTAACTTTGATGGATCTGCTCTTGGTAGCCCGGCCAGGTCAGATTGGGATTGGAGGTATTAGTGGAGATCCCTATATAACAATATCTTCTCCTTTTCAAAACTTGAGGGAAGAGTTGCCATTAATGCAGAAGCCCTATCACTCCTTAAAGGCCTTCACGATGTCTTTTTCAAGGGCATGCACAACTTGATGATTCAAGGAGATTCCAAAGTTGTCGTAGATTGAGTGAAAGCCTGAATTTTTTGATCTTGGAGATCATTGGTTAGATAACCTTGTTGGAGGCAGAGATCAAGTGGGTTCCTGGACTAAGTGATGAAAGAGCTTTTTGTTTAAACTGTGAGTTATTACAATAGTTCCTTTCAAAGGACGCTTTTAACCCCTGTGAGAGGGAATTGGGTTTTGTCTGGGTTTGTATGGGATTTCGGTTTTCCTTTTCCTTGGGAGTTGGTAATTTTGTTCAATGAAGCATTTATCATCCATCCCCATTTGCATTTACTTGTCTTCCCATTTCCATTTCCCTTTCAGTCTTTGGATCAAGAACAGTATTCTCAGTATAACAACTACTTTGCAGTTTATAATGTCAATATTAAATGTGGTGCTCTATTCCTGTAAATCAACTAAAAGGTAACAAAATGCAACATGTTTGAGGGTGTCCGGTATCTTGTAATCTCAATCTTGGTCATATCTAAAGATTCTAAAGACAACAAACAGATTGACAGCAGTAGATCCTGTCATGTTTAAATCAATACCATTTTCCTGGTTTACTGGCATCTAAGAAGACGGACACTTCTACGAAGATGCCATGTCCTTGTCAGACACCGACACTTAGTGAATACTCCTAGACACGTGTCCCACACTTCATGGCCGTGTTCAAAATTTACAATAGTTTTTATTATTTAAGACACTTGGTTGACACATTCCAAACACTCGACCAACACATTCCACACTCTCCATCTTATACAAAAGTTTAAAACAAACAATGACAGTCATTTAAACAATATTATGAACATACATCAAAGTCTCCAAGCTATTTTTAAAAAAATAATAAAAAAATAATAATAATAAAAAAAAATTGACATTAAGAACGTCACAGTACATAAAGAACAAAAGCATATCTATAATAGCAAGATAGGAGAGTCATATCATATATAATATAATATATATATTTTTTATTCGAATAGCTTCATCTTCTAACTTATGTAACTTCAGTATGAAAATTATAAATTAATTAAAGTTCTATAATTGTATTATTCAATAGATAAATAAGAGAAAATTTATGTTATCAAAAATATATATATATAAGAGAAAATTTATGTCCCTTTAGGGATATCCGATATAACTGGAACGATACAAAGAAGATATCAATAAAAATTTATATTTTTATTAGTCGTGTCCATGTCGTTATGCGTCCTACTTTTTTAGAATTTAGCACATCGGCATATCCGTGTCATATCGTGTCGGCATCCCATATCCATGTCCATGCTTCTTAGATCGGCATAATTGATGTTCATTATGTTTTTTCTCCTTATCATCATATTCAGAAACATATAAAAGAAAAGTTCAATTTAGATACTCATTGGAATGTTTAACTAATTTTGAATTTTTTTTTAAATGAATAATGCAATGTCAAACAGATATAACTCCTTACATTATACAGATCAATCACCAATTCATCTGGGTTTGGTGAGAAGGCACTGTTGACATAAACAAACTACAAAACAATAGAGAGAGAGAGAGAGAGAGAGATTAGTTAGCAACCCTCACTGATCTAGAAAACTCACAAATAAACCATTAAAAAAATTATTTACCAATGTCTCCCTGTGAAGTTGGCGACGGAGAAAGTCAATCACTTTAGCAAATTTATCATTTCCTGCAATCTGCAAGTTTAAGAGTGTCAAGCACAAAAACATAAAGTAACATGTGATGCCACACAAGATATAACTAAACCAGAAAAGGAGATTTAAGTAAAAATAGCTATGATAACATTGGCTAACACCACGAAACTTTAAAGTCATCTGCCACTTTATAATTTATTTCTAAGTAAATTTTTTGAGAACTTGTAAACCATGAACAACATTGCACTCCCATTAATCACTGCATTTAAGTTGCAAACTTGCAACTAATTCGTTATGCAGCCAAATTGTATAAAGGATAGATATTTTTGAAATTCCCATTAATCATGCTGAATTTTGACATCTGCTATATCTGACCCTCAAGTATGGGTCTCACACCATTAATCATGGTTTATCTTATTGTTTTGATGTATATCAATTTAGATTGGTCTCTGTGAATGAGTTTTTGGTGTCTCTTGTGGCCTTTGCTGATTTGGTGGACTTCGGGTTTCCATGACCTTTGTAATGGGCTTTTGCCAGTTTGTTAAATAAAATGCTTTCCGTTTTCTTATCAAAATAATAAAAATAATGTCATTTCACTTTTACTTAACAAATATTACTCCTACTTTTGAATGAGCAAAATGGTAGGCCTGTCCTCCGATTATTCCTCTCCCTCCTACCAAAAATGGAAGTATGTTACATCCCTCCTCTCTTCTCTCGCTCCTACCACACAGACTTAATTTCTCTGAAAGATTTGTACATGTATTCACACACACACACACACACACACACACACTCTTACATGAATTCGTAGATAACAACTATCTTATATATAATTTATCTCACTATTTATATATATACACACTCTTACATGAATTTGTAGTTAAAATTACCTTATATATGAACGTGAGATTGAGACACAGACATTAAAACTCACGTGATAAAGGTCATAGATATTTCCTAGGCAATTTGTTATCATATGTATTAAACTTTCTTTTATAAAGAAATCAGCTAAAAGTTTCAGGGGTAATGCAAACAAAAATACAAGATAAACTACAACAACAAAACCCCAATAACAAAAACCTACAACTACTAAAAAAGAGAAAAGAGAAAAGAGAAGATCTCTTCCTATAAAATAAAACTGGGATGAACAACTATAACCTGACCTCTACTACCAAACACCAAACTCAACCTATACCTCTACTAAGCCACAACCTGCCAAAACATCTCCCGTGAACACAGTAACTGCTCAACAACTTACAGTTCTCAGCACTTGAGGCACAACCCAACCCCATTCCCTGCCTCCTCTCCCTTCACAAGCAATGGAACTTTGCAAAATTTGATCTACAGAAAGTTACTGTGCATTGGAGCGTAAATCTTATATCATGCTAGCATGATTGACTGATATTTTACTTAAATGAATATAATGAAATACCCATTGGTTACTAAAAACTTATCTGGAAAAGGATTATTGTTAAAAGGGAGCAAAAGATAACTTAGAGTCAACTTTGCTCCATTCTGGATTTAAATATATAGTACAAATATAGATAAAATCACTAAGTAGTATGCAATTCACATTTTGAGCATTCGAAAACATATATTTTAAGCAAACCCATAAAACGAGAGGTGAAAAATTTGGCAATCCAAGTGTACCCAACCATAAATTGGCAAGCGTACCAAACTATAAATTGGCAATTTTAATATTCAATCACTGATCAAAACTCAATACAACCCAAGTGTACCCAAACTGTAAATTGGCAATATCACTAAATACTAATCTAGTGTCATACACTTGCACCATAAATTGGCAATTTCTTCCATGCTTCTGCCATGAGACGGAGGAGACGAAATGAAATTACAGGGTCAGAGGTGATCAGAGGTATGGTAGAGTCCTATTTTTCAGATGTATAGGCCCTGTTTGGTAAAGCTGTGATTTTTATTTTTGGTCGTGCTTTCATTTTTGTGAAAATGAAAAGTTTTGAAAAGTTGTGCAGTCATTTTTATTAAAAGCAAAACAGTTTGGTAACTTCCATCTACTGTGAAATTTTTTAAAACAAAAAAAAGAAACATGTTTGGTAACCAAAAAAAAATATATATATATATATATAAATATATAGATAAAAAATAAACATATTATATATAAATATATATATATATATATATATGTATGTATGTATGATAAGTGTATACATAAGCCACAGGAGGAAAAGACAACCACAATCAGACTCATCTCCACCACAAACCACCAGCAAATCCTCCTTCGACGATGGTGATCACAGCCCCTCCACCAAATTCAGACTTATCTCCGCCATAAACCACCGCCAAACCCTCCGCCGACGATACAGCCTCTCCGCTTCTAGCGGTGTCAGGGTGACCTATTGGTGCTCCGCGAGAGAGAGAGTAGGGGCTTCTGGGTTCTTGTTCTTCAGATACTACAAACATTAGAAAGAGAAGATTCCTGTAATTGCTGAGAGAAGTACCTTTCCCGCGTGGTGGAGGGGACATTCGATGGCGAGATGTGAGAAATTCCCACGATGACGGTGCAGACGGTACTCCAGCAAAGACCCTCTTCTGCCCTCCTCCAGTCGTTTAAGACATTATTACCATATTGTTTGAGTGGTCCACACCATCCTTTTGGAGTTGCCAAATTCCTTAACAAATTCGCAACCAGTTTTGAAAATTGTTGGGTTTTTTTTAGTTGTGAGAAAACAAAACTAAGTTTACCAAACACTTTTTTGTGGTGGTTTCTCAAATTTTGAAAATGGCAACCAAAAATGAAAGTGTTACCAAACAAGGCCATATAGTTCACAGGTGTTATTGAAGATGAAGGTTTTTGAGATTTGTGGCAACAAAGTATATCCGATTCTATCAATATCAGCATTGAAGCCAGCGGTGACAAAAATGGGACCTATGACTATGAATGCTGCTGGCCTAGATGGTATTACTCCTGGCCTTTTCTCAAGTTAATTGGGATCTAGTAAAAGGTGATTTGGTTGCAGCGACTTCGTGCGGAATGCAAATTTACCATGGAGCTTGAACTATACCAACCTGGTTTTGGTTCCTAAGATGATAATGACTTGATCAATTTGAAAAGAATTCTAACTCTCACTGGAAGCATTACTGAATATGAAAATTGGCAAGCTACCTATGATATATCTGGGACTATGTATGGTGGAAAAGAAGCTGAGAGATGCTGGCTGCACTGATCTCATGGATAAATTTTCATGTAAGATTAACAACAAAAATTCTGCTAGTTTATCCCTGGCTGGTAGATTGGAGTTAGTGAGTACTGTAATTTCCTCATTTTTTTACCACTGGTGCTTTGCTTTTACTCTCCCTACTCAATTAATTATAAAAGCAGAGAAAATGCAGAAAGCATTCATATTGGGTAGCAAGGAGAATTCTATAAAAATTCACTTTACGTAGTGAAGCCAAGTGACAAAACCTAAATCAGGAGGAGGTTTGGGAATTAGAAAAATAAAGGAGATTGATAAGAGCTGCAAAAGTTGTTCTATTTTGGGACTTTATACAAGAGAAAGATAGACTTTGGATAGCAGGGTTTAAAGCTTTCGGGGCTAACAAGCCATCAATATGGTGCTGTCTCTATAAAAATAAATTCTCACAGTTTTGGAAAATTTTGTTGGATGTAAGGGAAATTTTCATTCCTAATATCCAATTCAGAATTGGGGATGGTCAGGGCACCAAAATGTTTATGGATCCTTGGTGGCATGGTCAGACTCTGATCCAAGTTTTTGGTCACAGAAAGGTAAGGCATCTTGATCTATCAAAAGCAGCAAATTTGAGTGAAGTAATTCAGGAAGGTAGATGGAGTAAACCAAGATATTTAACATTCGAGGCAGAAGGCATGTGGAATAAGATTTCAGCTTGTAGATTACCTCAAGGGTCAGACAAAATTGTTTGGAAGCATGGTGAATTCTTGTTCAAAGAGGCCTGGAAGAAAATGAGGGGTATGCACAATAAAAAGGAATGGCATAAACTCTGCTGGAATCAAGGAAGACCTGCAGCCTGTCTAAATACTTGTCTTGTCCTCCAGAATAAAATTCCTTCATTGACAAACCTGCAGCTAAGAGGAATCTGTTTAACTCCAATTGCTTCAAGGATGGGGATACTGTGGAGCATTTATTTTTTGGATGCTCTTGTGCTCTTTTGATTAGGGAATGGACGTTCGATACTCTCCATTGGAACTGGTCTCAAATTTCTACTAGGGAATGGATGTTCAATACTCTCCATTGGAACTGGTCTCAAATTTCTACATGGAATATACTGATAGATTGGTTCAAATCCAAATTTAATCAAGATATAAAGAATAAACTCTGTAGAATGATTTTTACAGCAGCTATATGGGGCATTTGGAGAAGTAGGAACTGAACCTACACCAAGGTGAAGCTCCTCCAGCCACTCAGGTAGCCAGAATGGTAATCTGGGAGGTAATTGATATAGGGGTATGCATGTCAATGATATTAAAGGATGATTGAATGAGTAACTTTAATTTTATTGATGTATTGTGGCCTTGCAATGCCCTTGATGTGCTTTAAGGGAGGAGAAATATTTTAGCTTGGGTGAGTAATTGTGAGTGTACTGGTTGGGGGAGTAATATGGTGACTGGCTTGGATAATTGGGTGAAATTCTTTGTCAACTTATTTTTCATTATTTCTGGTTTTTGGAAATGGGTCTATTCAATAGATAATGTAATCGGAGGGTATGCCCTCTTGTGTTCTTGCATGGTTCTGTTTTTTGGCTTTAAGACAATCACATTTAGGGGGAAAAATATGGATAAAAACACTTAGTAGTATGCAATTCACATTGTGTGCATTTGAAAACATATATTTTAACCCAGGACCGTGTTTAAAGCAAACCCATAAAGCAAGTGTACCCCAACCATAAATTGGCAAGGGTATCTGAACTATAAATTGGCAATCTTAATATTCAATCACTGATCAAAATTCAAACTCAATACAACAGAAGTGTACTCAAACGATAAATTGGCAATATCACTAAATACTAATCCAAGGTCATACACACAAAAATACATATACCTATGTGTATGTATACATATATTTCAAAATCTAACCTAACTGTATATACACAAATATAGGTAAATATGCGTAAATGGATGAATCAATACGTGAACAACTAGGATTTCAAATATGATTCTTACAACCAGCAATTCCAAAAGGTAGCATACGAATTTAAATCGAAATAGTGGTAAAAAATAAGTAACCAGTATAAAATATAAACCCTAATCAAGTAATCAAAAGACATGCCTTGAACTTTGCTTGCTTGAGAATTGGTGCATCACCAGTTGCTCTCAGATGTACAACAACTGCATCAAAAAATTAAGCATTGGAGTATCTCAGAAACCTAATTTGACAGCTTGATCAATTAAAAAGAAACTTAATTAAGAAATAATTACAATAGCTTATCATGGTAAAACACCGACTGACCTTTACGAGCAGACCCCGAAGATTCCAAAGCCATACCTTTCTGTGTGTGTGTGAGATCGAGAGAGAGGGATATAAAGATTATTTCAATTTCAACAACATATTCGACAGAGAAATAGACCCGATTATGGAGAAGTTGACGGTGGCGGAGGGAGGAGGATGTGTTGGTGGTCGTCGGTAGATGACTTGGAACTGATACGGCATGTATTTTCTATACTGACGTGGAGAACAAACCCCACTAAGCCCACAAGCTCACTGAGCCTGAGTTTCCCAACTAGGCCCAACTCATGAAATCACGTGACAGCTAGCTTAAAGTTGGAAGTCAGAAATTTCTTTCAGTGGACTAAACGTTTTGACAATATGATAAAAATAAATAAACCAAAATAATAAATAAAATACATTTTCTATCACAGTCTTAAAAATTGAGTTCAGGTAGTCCAATCAACTTAAGAATTCATTTTTAATGTTAACTACTAGTAAGAGCAAGTGGTGTGGGCAAACATGCTTCTTTATTATTTAGAATATCTGAGGCGCTATCAAAATAGAGAGAGGTGTCAGTATAGAGAGAGAATGGAACGATATGCTGAAAGAATTTGACCAACTTTATTGTGGGCACTACAACCACACTCTACATCATGCTCCACAGACGGAGAACCATTTAGACAATACTCTACAATTTTTTTTTCTTTGTTTAAAGCAAAAGGCAGCTTCAACGGAAATAAAACAAAAAAATGCTCCAACGGTCAATAACATTTCAAACGGTAAATTACTTTCAAACGGTAATAAAACGGCTATATTATTAGCCTATAAAAACCAATTTCATCTTCAATAATTCTCTTTCTCAATATTTTTTTTAACATTCATCTCTATGGATCCTCAACCTCCATTCTATCGCCCCCATCTCAACCAATCTCATAACTCTGAATTACCACCGCAATCCAATTATAATTTGGATTCTTCAATTTTTTTTTCAATCCGAAAATCCATCTCAACCCCAATACTCATTCCAACCTTCTCAATACCAACCCATACCGCATCCCCAATTCCAACCTTCTCAATACCAACCATCTCAGTTCCAACCATCTCAATCCCAATCATCTCGGTTCCAACCATCTCAATCACAACCTTCTCAATTTCATCCTTCTCAATCCCAACCATCTAAAACCCAACGTAAATCTAGGCTTTCGAAAACAAATTGGTCCATTGAAGAAGATGAAGCATTATGCAAAGCATGGGTTGACATTGGGGAAGATCCAATAACGGGTTCGGATTAGAAGCAAATCATGTATTAAGAACGAGTTTGTGAAAATTTTATTCAACAACCAGGGGGCACGACGTCCCGAAATGTACCAGGTTTGCAAAATCGTTTCTCACACATTAAAAAAGTTGTTAACAAAATTTCTAGATATTACAAACAGATCCAACATCATATTCCTAGTGGCTTCAACGTTGAAGATGCAGTAAGTTTTTTTCTTTATAATTTTTTTAAATTTTTATTTATTTTAATTGGCAATCTAACTAATTTCATTTATTTTTTACTTTTTTATAGCTCAATGAAGCAAGAAATGTATTTAATACGTCAGAAAATGAGCCATTTAAGTTGGATCACTGTTGGTGTATTTTAAAGAATTCGTCAAAATGGAATTCAAGCTCCAACAGCAATGATAAAGGGAACAAAAGAGCAGTGGAGATCGATATGAATGAGCCTGGGAATTGGCCAGAAACTGTTCAACCTACTTCGTCAACAGCCCAAACCAATCCATCTACTCCGTCAACACCTGGAGTATCAACACCAGGTTCAGTAAACCTTGGCGACGACGATTCACCTGCAATTAGTGTTGAAAGTTCGCATGGCATTGTACGACCCCCTGGACGAAAAGCATTTAAGAAAGGTCGCAAAAAAAGTAAAGAAGAGGTACAACATAACTTATTTCTATAACAATTTAAAAATTTTACCTATCAAAGTGAGTTGATGAATGCCTTGACAGTTGAATCTTAAAAAATGAAATTGAAAGCTACATTCGATTTAGGCTTAGAGCAAGAACGTACAAAAGAATGGACATTGAGGTGCAAAAAGAATTGAAAAGGTTGAAATTTGAGGTGCGAAAAGAAATGAAAAAATTGGAATTTGAGCAAAAGCAACTTAATTTCGAAAGAGAAATGATGCTTAAAAACAAATGATGCTCCAACAGCAGCAACAAAGCATGGATCATTGATCAACAAAATGAAATTTATGCACGTTTCACTAAAAGGGGTAGTTTGTGAAGCTATGTAATGTAATTTCCTTTTTCTACCTATGGGAAGCTAATGCAATGTAATTTTCTTTTTCTATCTCTGGGAAGTTAATGTAATGTAATTTTCTTTTTCTATCTCTGTGTAATGTAATTTTTATTTATATATGTAATGGATATTTCTTTAAATAATAGTTTATTTAAATTTCTTAACAAATATAATTGAAACAAATATTTTTAAAAATATTTTTTATTCTTCAGCAATATGAAAATTACATTTTATTCGATTACAACAAATTTAAACATCTTCATTACCAAATTGATTCCACAAATGTTCCATGAGATCTCTCTTAAGATCAGCATTGTCTGATCTACTGCGAATCCTACTTAGGCGAGAGGAAATATGTGCTGCCAACATTGATGGGTTTCGAACATAATGTGGAAGGGAGATTGGGTCATCTGTCGGAGGTGTCCATTGCAAAATGTGTTCGCCTTCGTCTTCAATGATCATATTGTGTAATATGATACACGTTCTCATTATCTTGTTTAAATCTTCTGTATTCCAATAAAGTACCGGTTGATGCGTTATAACCCACCTCATCTGCAACACACCGAACGCCCGTTCTACATCATTCCTAACAGCTTCTTGTTTGTTAGCAAATAATTTCCTCTTGACTGTTGTTGGGTGCGGGATGGTCTGCATCAAAGTTGCCCACTTAAGATATATACCATCAGATAGGTAATACCCCATTGTACGCCGATGCCCATTTACCACATAATTAACTGGAGGCATTGAACCATTAATCATGCTTTTGAATACTGGGGAATGATCGAGAACATTAAAGTCATTGTGTGAATCAGCCATACCAAAGAAAGCATGCCAGATCTACAGATTTTTCGATGCAACGATGTGATACCCCTCAATTCTAGAGCCACGGGTGATCAAGTCCGAGCACAAAATATAAGGGATATCAAACAATTAATATTTAAACAAGCATTTGAATACAAAAATAATAATAAAGAATAAATAAATAACAAGCTGAAGGAAACTAAATAATAAATCCCTATTTTAAAATCCTCAAATAAATAATAATTAAAAATCCAATAATAAAATCCTCCAATCTTCGGATACTAGTAATTAATTAAACTACAACTCGGGAATCCATCCTATGAACCCCTAATAATATCCTAACTGAAATAACTGAACCGAAATAAAAATAATAAGTAACTAATGAAGACGAGTCCTACGTAGAGTCGGAAGAGTGAATGACTATCTCTGCTCGGCACGGGCGATCTCTAAGACTGGAACTGACGAACACCTGAAAAATAATGGTGGGTCAGGCTCACAAACAAGTTCTAATCTACTACATCTCAAACAGAGACCCGATACACGTACACATCCTAATTAATTCAACAATAACTAAATAGTCCATATGTAGATATATACACACTAAATGAACCTCACTAGACTATAGAGTTGTCTCGACCTGAATAGTAAGCAACATGCAAAACGCACATATAGTGGGCATGAGTACCTAAACCTACCAGGGTACACAACTACGCTATATCTAGCTACACATCCCTGGCAATATACGCACCCTAACCACTGACCTGAGACTCAAGCTCATATCATGGTGTATAATTATATATTTAAAATCCGTCATATCCAACCATCAAAAATAAACTATCCAATTATTATTTTAATAATATGTCATCCAACTATTCCGTTGACCTGACACGAATAAGTATGACTTAACACTATGGTTAATCCGTTCCCTTATTAAAAATAGGTAGGACTTAACTTTTAAGTTAATCCGTCCCTAATATGCCCCCATCCCATAATGGTGCATTAATTCACATCATAACCAAAGAGAAGTTTCCAATCCAAAGATAATGTAAATAATATTTACATATAAACATTATGTTAATCATATATACATTCTTTGCATTTACTCGAGCAAAAATATCAATTCTAAGTATCATGCATTTAATTTTTCATTACACGAAATTAAAATGCATCTCAACTAAATTGTACATCTCCATATTTTGATTAAATTAATTTAAATCTAAGCAATAGATTAAAATAATTTAATCCAGCAATATCTAATTAATTTATTCTTTCAAAATTAATTAAATTCCATCCTTAGCATGTAAACTTATATCAATTTAAATTAAATAAATATTTAATTCAAATCCATTAATCAAAACTAACAAATATTAATTTAATATTCTAACATTAAATAGATTACTATTAAAAATATTTAATGCAAAAACTATTTAATCAAAACAAAATAAATTAATCATAATACCAATCATTATACTAATCATTATATCCATAATAGTACCAATCATTATATCATGGCATTATATAACAATCTGTTTTTTTTTTTTTTTTTAAAGGAATTGTCAAGACTTTCTCGATCGGCGTGCCTAATTCATGAAATAACAAATTCCAGTTTACGAATTGCTACAAACCCAATTTCATGCCACTTTTTAGCTTGCCTCGTTCCCTTTTTCTCTTCCTTCCTCTTCTTTCTTTCTCTCTCTAAAATATAGTACGTGATATATTTTCTAACCTATTTCACAACTCTATAGTTATATATTTATAGATAACTAAAATAACCCTAATCCTTTTCCCATTCCAAGACAAACTAAAATGAAATAAAAATAAAATAAAATAAAATTTAAATACTAAAAAGGTAACTAAATATATGTTACGTATAATCTATGTGTACCCCTTTTTATATATAATATATAAATATATATCAGATTATTATTAAAGGGACTTTCCTTACATATATATATATATATATTTATTTATTAAATATACATATACATGGGTAATCATCCGTACCCATTAAACCCCTTATCCAAGTAGTCCATGTAGCCCAATTGATTGGTCAATTACTACTATCCATATCCAATTCCTTAAAAATATAAAAATAAAATAAATAAAATAAAAATAAAAATAAAACAATTAAATTCCTAAATAAATACACATCATCACATTCAATTCAATTTAAACAAATAATTAAATCAATTAAACAAGTAAACAATTAGCCAAGAAAACAACTAAATAATTAGATGCAATTAAAACTATTAAAATAATACCAAGACTATCCTTTTTAAATTAGGGGTATTACAAACGACCTCCAATATGAGGGTAGTTTTATGGCTTCTTCCTGTGTGCGTGCCATGCCATGCTGTGGAGCGGTTCTTTCATTCCCAATGCATGCAATCTATAGAGCCAAGCATACCTGGAAAACCTCTAACTTCCTCTTCTCGAAACAGACGTGCAATGTCATCTGCATTTGGTGAGCGTTGGTACTGTTTCGCATACATAGCAATTATAGCATCAAAAAGCCTCTTCAAGCTTTCGATCGCAATGCGCTCATAAATCTTTATATACTCGTCACAAATATCAGCTGAAATTTCATATGCAAGTATACGGATTACAGCAGTCATCTTCTGTATAGGAGTGAACCCCATATGACCGAGGGCATCGGGTTTCTGGATGAACCATTCGTCATATGTTGTAACACCGTTCAAAATGCGAAGAAACAACTCTCGTCGCATCCAAAACCTTCTACGAAATATGTTTGGTGGATAAATCGGATTTTCAGCAAAGTAATCTCAGAATAGCCGTTGTGCTGCCTCCTCTCGATCACATTTTATATACTTTCTCTTACGAGGTTGAAAGAATGTCCGCACCCTATCGGGCGATAATAATCTGCTTACATCGCTTATCCTTTTTCGATGGACTTCAAAAATATCTTCCCCATCTAAATCTGACGAATTCAATGGAAAAATAGACTCAGAGACGGGTATATCTCGTGACGATGAAGCCATTGTTTTTTTGTATAAGAAATATGAAGACTCAAAGAATAGAGAATGAGCTTGAGAATGCAAAGAAGTGGACTTGATAATTGAAAGAAGATATAATTGAAAAAAGATAGAATAAGTGGTTTATATAGAAATTGAAAGAACAAATAATGGACTTGAGAATGCAAAGAAGTGGATTTCATAATTGAAAAAAGATAGAATGAGTGGTTTATATAGAAATTGAAATATAGCCGTTGGGAATATAGCCATTAAGAAGAAAACAAAAAATTATCAAATTCAAATTCAAATTTATTATTTTATTAATTTAATAATAATAAAATAATAAATAGAGAATGAGATAATTGGGTTCCACACCGTGGAACACATGCATAAAAAAAAGTAGAGTACTACATCATCACTTTTTAGCTTACATGGCACTCTACTTTTTAAAAAATAGATAGATAACTTGTGTTGTCCACACCACTTGCTCTTACTTTTTTATAAGTAGAGTGCCACATAAGCTAAAAAGCGATGATGTGATGCTTTATTTTTTTAAATCCATATGTTTCATGGTGTGTAACCCAATTATCTCATTCTCTATTTATTATTTTATTAATTTAATTTAAAAATTAAATAAAAAATTTGAATTTGAATTTAATAATTTTTTGTCTTCTTCCAAGTTATAATTGGATTGCGGTGATAATTCGGAGTTATAAGATTGGTTGAGATGGGGGGCGATAAAATAGAGGTTGAGGATCCATAGAGATGAATGTTAAAAAAAAAAATATTAAGAGAGAGAATTATTGAAGATAAATTTTTTTGAATATGAGAATAAGTATTTATACGCTAAATAATATAGCCGTTTATTACTGTTTAAGAATAGCCGTTTTATTACCGTTTCCGGAGTTGTACAATTCAACACAAAACAAGTGAATAAAGAAAGCCAAAAAATAAATGGCGGTACTCCAAACGATACTCTATTTGCAGAGAAGGCAATAGATAATCTGATGCGGGAGCCACAAATAGCGTATTGATGGTAAGCTGCACACCGCCCCTCTCTCTCTCTACTTTTCACAAATATTATCTACTTTGCCTACTGCCCCGGCTACTTTAATAATCTATGAAGATAGCAACAAAATTTATAACAATATATTTTAGAAGTAAAATAATATATGTATACATTAATTTTATATTATTAATTTTTTTTATTTAATAAAAATATTACAAATTTGTTAAAATAATAAATAAATATTAGCCCCTTACGGTGAAGAATCAAATATATTCAATTACTATTTAACATTTCTAATTAGTTATTAGCTAATCATGAAGAATCAAATATATTCAAAATACAAAAAAATTAATCTGATTCAGACGCATGATATTGTATTGTTGGTAGTTGTCAAAAGCCCCTCCTCCTCTTATATTTTCTCTTTTTGGTCAAGCTAGAGTGACAATTATCTTTTTATTATCAATTTTTTTTTACCTCCCAAACAACGCTATTTTATTTTACTTTTTCCCCACCTCACAATGCTGTGAGATAAATTATTGACCTTAGACCATATGTCATTATGATTGCAAATGAACCGGTTGATCGAATTTGAGTTGAGCTGGACTCCGATCATTCATTTGTAGACTTAGCTTAAACTCAATTAGGGATCGTGACAAATTCAAAATATTAATTTCAGACTCAGCTCATTACTATTACGAGAAGTTAGACTTGGCTCGTTTAATAACAAAAGTTGTTTCAATTTAATTTGAACTCGTGTTCAATATCGCTTTGCCTTGTTCATCCATGTACGTGAGTTTATGCAACTTTATGTTCATGATCAAAGTCTTCATGAACTTATCCAAACCTATGTTTATTATTGAACATTGACAGTGGTAGAGTTGTGGCTCAAAATTCACGCAGAGATTATATTATAGAAAAAATGCAATTGGTTGCGTTTTAATGCAACTGATTGCAGTTAGGCAGAATGGTTGTTTGAAGAAACGAGGCTAAGTTGTGTTTTAGTGCAACTGGTTGCTTACCTTTGGAAAAATTAATTTCATAATCAGTTTTGGAAGTCGGAAAACTTTGGGAATAGTTGTATTTGTAATTTTAGAGTGAGGAATGTTAATTGCAGTGGCTTACTAGTTTTGAATGCATTAATTAGTTTGAGATTCTATTTTTATGGGACTCTACTAACATTATTTTTTAGACAAAAATACCCTTTTAAATTATCTAATCTTTCTTCTTCTCTCTTCTTTTAATATGTATGGTTAGTTATGTGATAGGATAATTCATTCACAAGAGATAGATGAATTTGGAAAAAAATAAAAGGAAGAAGAAAAAAAAAAAAGAGCGAGAAAAAAATCCAAAAAGAATGAAAAAAAAGGTAAAAAAAATCGATTATATATTTCTTCCTTTTTGTTTTTTCCAATATATAGATATGTTTCTTTTTGTTTTTATTTTTAATTTTTACAACTATCCTTGCATAAATGGATTTAAAAAAAAAGTAAATAAAACACCAAAAAAGAAATATATACGTGTATAAAACTAATTTTGTATATATATATTTTAAATCTCGGAATCTATCTTGTTATTTTTCGGATTTTTTTTCTCTCTCTCTCTCTCTTTCCTCATGATCTATTTATTGTGAATGGATTATCCTATATTTTATAGGATAATCCATTCACAATAAATAGATCCTGAGGAAAAAGAGAGAGAAAGAGAGAAAAAATCCGAAAACAAGATAGATTCTGAGATTTAATATATATATATACAAAATTAGTTTTATACACGCATATATTTCTTTTTTGGTGAAGGAATTATTTTCTTTTCTTTTATTTTTTATTATTTTTAAATCCATTTATACAAGGATAGTTGTAAAAATTAAAAAGAAAAACAAAAAGGAAGAAATATATAATCGATTTTTTTTTACCCTTCTTTTTATTTTTTTGAATTTTTTTATCATATCAGGAACTAACCACACATACTCGATTAAAAAAGGAAAGAAGAAGAGAAGAAGAGAGATTAGATAATTTAAAAGAGTATTTATGTCTAAAAAATAATGTTAGTAGAGTCCCATAAAAATAGAATTTCAAACTAATTAATGTATTCAAAATTAACCTATCATAATTGACTACTGTGAATGGGCAGTCGCTTACGTGACTGTAATTAACATTCCTCATTTAGAGTTGGAAATGTATATAGTTACTCTTTGTAGACAAGTTGGAAAATATTTATCCAATAAGAAATTGAATTTACAAGGAAAGTTAAAAAATACACGTCGAGAATAAGAGCGTCAAGTTTTGAAGTAAAGTACTTACTAGGCTATTTTTATTAAATTTGAGTTAGAGTCGTTTATTTGCCGAACCAAACTCGATTAAATTTGATTTGGAGTCGTTTACTTGCCGAACCAAACTCTAAACGTTCCAAAGCAAACTCTAAACGTTCCAAAGCACTAGCGGTTCATCTGCACTGCTAGTGATTTGGAGGTTAACTCGTATCACGGTCACTATCTACATAGTTTCCGGCGAACTCACTCTAGAAAGAGGGAATATTAAAGACTCACTGTACCAGGGCCAAGAGAGAGAGAGTGTTCCAGTAACAGTATTACCATGTCAGCAGAGAGAGTAGACGTTCTCAATCTCTCTCAAGTGAACCTTCACGAATCCCCCTCTTCTCATTCTCTTCTATTTCGACTGAAACAAACCCTAAACTCATGCTCCAAAGTAAGCCACCCCGTCTCTCTCTATATACAAGCAGCGTTTATGTACAGGTTCTAGGGTTTTACATCAATTCCTATTGACATCAACACTCGTTTGCACTTGCATTTGCAGTCAATTGAAGCCGAAGAATTCAGACAATCCGAAGAATCAATTTCTAAGATTACTGAGTTACTCAATTCTGTTTCCGATGCCGTTGTGTCAGAACCAGAAAATGAGGCTGTACAGAACGAAGCACTTGCGGTTCTGACTGAAATTCATCAATACATAACTGAACCATCACTGGACCAGGTCGCTTAATTCACGAATCACTCATACTGCTGGTTTGCTGTGTTTGATTGATTTCTTGGTTTGTAGATGATTTATCGATAGTTTGCTGTTCCAGGCAGTCATTGATGCTCTTTCGTTTGAGTTACCAAAGGCGGTTGCTAGGTTCGCTAGCGCGTCTCATGGATGTGTGGAGATTGCTAAGAGTGTCATTGATCATTTCATTGGGACTTGTAGTCCCCGTGATATGATTGCGGTTCTTTGCGAGGTATGCTATTTTGTTGCATTGGGCAAAGTTTTGATTATTTTTGTATTCCTTTTTTATTTAGTTGTTTGCTCTGCAGTAGTAGATAAAGGGTTATTTGGTGCTTTGGGTTGAAAGGAAAAAAAAAAAAGAATTTCAAGGAGCTTATATATTACAAGGATTTGCACAAACTAATCATGGGTGTGGATATTTTGTTTGAAAGCATGTCTGCCTAATTCAACTCCAAAATATAGGATATAATGGCAAAAATTTCAATGCATGTAATGTAAGTGAAATGCTAGTTAGTAGATTATAAATTTATTAAAGCCGGTTTGGAAATGTACACTAGTAGTAGGCTAGTAGCTACTTACAGTGGGACATTAATGATGGAGCAGTGTGGTTAGCATTGTCTTTGTGGACATTATTGAATGTTGAACTAAAGCTTTTAAAAGTCAGAATTGATTATAATCTGCTTTTAGGCTGTTGTGAAGGGTAACGATACACTTAAGTTAGTGAAGGGGAGGTTGGATACTGATGTTTATAATGCTTGGTGTTCTTGACATTCATGCGTAGCCTGCCCTGCCTAATGTATCTTAGGTACTTCTGGACAGTTGCCTCATTTGCCACTTGCTGTGGTCCTGCAATTAGATGGCATATGTGCCCCCCTTACAAGTTAGTAGGTATGAAGTTATTCACTCCAATATTTTCTCAAGTTCAAACATCAGTGGTTGTTCTTTGGGAATTTTAGGTTAGGAAATGGATCTATCTGTTGCTTCTACTTGTAAGAAAGGAATATGTATACCAACTACTATCATTTTGTATAATTCTAGGGACTCTTCCTTGTCCTTAATATTACCTATTGAAAGAATTGATTATGAAGTCATTAATGTAATTCTTATTGACCAAGAAGTGATTTTTAAATTCATTACAAATCCACAAACCAAGATTATAAATCAACTAAAAGATCAATTAGAAACAAATTTTATTTTTGTAAGAAAAGCATCGAAACTCTTACAATACACAAGCAATTAGAAGATCCAAAATTAATAAAATAAATTCAAGATTTTCAAGCCCAAGTGAAAAGAAATTCTCAATGAGTTGCCTAATGCTTTTTGGGATAGAAAACACATATAGTTAAACCACCATACGAGAAAGACTTTAATGCGAGAAGTGTTCCAATCCAAGCTAGACCAATTCAAATTAATAATAAATTGTTTCATTTATTTATTTTTAGTGCCTTTTATAGTTACTAGGTGTTATATCTTAAAATCCAACTTTTGTTTGTTACACTTTTACTTTTTTAGCTGATACAACTAATCCATTTCTTTTAATAATATTAAAGAAATTATGGAGATGTTTCCATTGTTGAGAAATGGAACTAGAATGAATCAAGATTTCATCCATATGCTATAGAGAAATTCATATAAGGATTAAATATATCATTCATTTTATTCCAATTGGTGTCTCTGGGGCTCTAAGGCTATGTTTGGTGTAGTGGAAAAGAAAAGAAATGATAACATTAGTTACGAGAGAAAAGAAAAGAAATGATAGGAGAGGATAGTGTGAGCTACTTATCGTGTTTGGTTGACTAATGAAGGAAAAGAAATGAAATGATTGTAATCATGTTTGGGAAAAGAAAGGAAAAGAAACTATTATAATGAATTTACCACTATAACCTTTTCTATGGTTCTTGTCTTTTATAAAAATGAGGGCAAATTTAGAATTATAAAAATTTCATTAAAAATGCTACCATATCCCTCCCTTTCCTTCCTTTCCTCCCATTTTTGGAGGGATAACAAAATAAGTATTCAAGCTTTAAACATATCCCTCCAAATCCTTCCATTTCCTCTCTTTTCCTTCCAAAGTTTATACCAAACACAAAACTCCATATCCCTCCGTTTCCTTTCTTTTATTTCCTTCAATTTCTTCCCAACCAAGCTGACCCTAAGAGCTCTTGGTGTAGAATAATCGTTCCTTGCTAAGCCTTTTGTTCTAGGAGAAGTCGGTGACAAAAGTCAATACATTATTCCATGGTGTTTGAAGAAGAAAGATTAAGTCTTTTCTGGTTCACTAAAAGAAGGAAGTGATGCTGTAGTTCTGCAGCCACAGACAATTTTTACTGGATGTTTAAGAGAGTATATTGTCACAGACATTTTTTAATGGGAAAATGTGACATCACCTCAGTTCGTTTGCACAATTGCACTTTTGTGTTTTTCTAATGTGGATTTTGTTCTTTCAGTAAGTCCTGTCCTGTTACATTCAACACTTTTCCCCACTAGTTAACTTCCATTTAATTGAAAGAAAGGTCAAATTGTAACAAGCACCCGTGATCTATCAAGTTGTTGCAACTTGCAACATGCACCCCAAAACTTTAAAAATCAGCAATTGAACCCTCAAAGTCTTAAACTATCAAATTGACTGCCTATAACTTAAAAAAAATTGTTAGTGAGAGGATGATAATCAAGCACAATGCAGAGTGGTGACAAGGACTTCGAGTCACTAACACAGCAAATCGTTCGCCATTGTTTTTCTTCGAGCAGAGCTTGAGCAAGGTGAGAGGGGTATAAATGGGCCAAGTCAAATGGGTATAAAGGGTAATATAGTCATAAAAAAATTTATATGTCACATGCGCATTTGGGTCTTGTTCATGGAACTGAAATCCCGTTTGAGAAATCCTGCTTGATGGCAACCATTTATACCTTTTATTTATTTATAATTCATACAATTGCCTTTATGACTCACTCACCAACTCGACCCCTAGATCACTGACTCAGGCCTTCCAATTGCCCTCACGGCAAGCATGCAGTTTCAAATTCATCCAAAATCATGACTACATTAGAGGATATAATGAAGGAAGAATCAAGTAAGGGACCAACTGCTCATTTGCTTCTCGGGAATTTTTTTTTTTTCTCTTGCGTCTCTGTGAAGTTTTTTTTATCTATCTCTGAAATTAGGGTTTGTAGGATACAAAATTTGGGTCTCTGATAATCAAGCGCAGTGCATGGAGTGGAGTAGATAGACATTGAAGTATAGATGTATTATTAAAGGAGGATAAAAATAGATGTATTATTTAGAATCTGCCATGGAATTGTGGAGTATAAAGTTACAAATGTATTATTAGAGGAGGAGAATAAACGATTAAGACAGAGAGAGAGAGAGAAATTTAGAGGGGGTTTTTTTCTGTAATTTTATAGATTTTAATGGATAAAAGAGACTGTTCGTTCAGGGGTTCAATTTTATACAATTTGATTTGAGGGTTTAATTGCTGAGCTTTATAGTTCAGGGCTATGTGACATGGACTCGGGTACGTGTATCAAGTGCCGGCATGTATCCACATGTTGGATGTGTCAAATCCCCAAACAAAAAGACACATAACACTGCAATATATCTATACTATTTAATATTTTTGTTTTATTTTCTAGGTTAAATAATGTCCTTATGTAACACAGTATGCAATATTGGCATTTCACTCATTTTGAAACAATAATAAATGAAATTGAATTATTGGACATGGTTTTTAGGTGCATGTCCAACAAAAAATGTCGCATACATATCCCATACCCATGTCCAAGCAATGTGTGTTGGACATGGGTACTTCACCTAGACACCTACTACCGAAGAGTTCATGTAACATAGGTTCAGGGGTGCATGTTGCAACAACTTGATAGATGAGCGGTGTTTAGTGCAATCTGGCATTGAAAGAAAATATAAACCATTTTAGGTTTGCTTCTGATAGGGAGTATTGTGTGGCCTAAGTATTTATTTTTGCTCAATAGTCCTTTCTTACTCTGTACAATTAAATCTATGTGGTTAAAATACTATTTTTGTGGTCGTCAACATATGCAGTGTGCATATCTTAAGAATCAAACTCAGATAATGAAAGTCAAATGCACTTTGGAGATGACTAAGAATCGAACTAAGGGAACTAAAGTCAAATGTGCCTGTAAAATTATGAATGCTTCTGGTAACTTTGGAGCAATTCCCCCCTTCCCCCCCCCCAACCACCACCACCACCTTTTCATTGTTTATTACTTACTACTAGTTTTTAGACTTTCATTTTATTGATCTAGTGCCTCATAGATTTTTATTAACAATGTGAAGGCACTAGGTTCTCCAAGCAAGATGTTCAAAACTCATGGTTATTTTGATCCTCTTCTAAGCGGGCTGCCAAAAGGTAATATTTTTAATACCTGGATGATGAGTTATATAGAATATTAACTAATGGATGAGTTGAGCTATATTCATTTATTTTTATTATTCTTCCTTTTAAAAAAAAAATTCAAAAAATCAAGAATGTGGCTCAGTGAGAGCATTTTTTGTGTGTGTGTGTGCGCTCGCAATTATGTCCCTGTACTTCTGTTGGTTCTTGCCTATATTAATTGCATGTTGACTTCCATCTTTGATCCAAGTCATCTAATCTCTCTGGTCTCTCTCTCTCCCTGGTGAAAACCATTTCAGTTCTTAAAAGCGGTTTTGTAATTTGATATCATTTTGGGAATATCCTTGGCATATATTCTTATTCCATTTAACCTCTTTTATTTTCCTATTATGCTTAGCTATTTCTCTCTGCTTTTGATTTTTATTGGTCATGAAGGATTCTTGTTCCATTAGCACATTTGATCATTAAACTTTGGTACCTTACAGCGTATTTTCAAGGTGCCACCAAATATTTGCGATGCCTTGCAATTAACGTCACCCGTACTACATCATCATGCTGTTTTGTAAATATTAAAGTCTTTTTTGGTTCAGCTAAACCCAAAATGTGTCATAATACTGTTGTCAAGAAATATAGAGCCAAAAGAAATCATTCGAAAGTCACCAAAGTTTTCAGGAATAAGTTACTGTAAAAGGAAATGCAAGAGAAATTGCGGAAACAGTAGCACACATTTATATTCATGTTGTATTACATGGAAAGTTGTAGCATTGCCCTTATTTTTCCTTATATTCAGAGCATGTTGCAAGTTTGAACTTTGGACCCTCCTAGAGTATCAATCAAGGAGCTTGACTATAACTGAAGTCTTGGTAGTGATCTTCATCAGGTGTAGCAGAGAAATGCCATTCTAGTAGCATGAGCATATCTAAAGAGGAGCTATACCGTGTTTGACGTTGTTGGAAGTCGACATTTCTTATGCTTGGATGTACCAATAAATTTGAAACTAAAATTCATTAAGGACCCAAGTCCAGCATTCAAATATAGGATGAATAAACCTTGAAATGTCCAACTTTATAGGAGGGAAGAAGGAAATTTGGCATGGTACATGCATATTGTCACCGGTTGAGCACGCAATGCACATTTTCTAGTATAGGAAAAGAATGTTATTGTAAATAAAAATATATACTGAAAGAAGAGAAGTAGTGTTCAAACTATAACTATAGACATTATATAATTTTTAACGAGTGTAAGGTTGCAAGTTTGAGTCTTAGAGCAGTCACTTTATGCTAATTAATGCTAAATGCTACCTCTGTCTCTAGTTTTTTCCACCTGATAACCTATATAGGCGTGAACCAAACTAGGTAATGCATTTTTGTTTTATTTTTCGAGATCCATTATCTACATTACATATTTAGTTTGAAATTTAGAAAACTAAGCGCGATTACATTTTTTTCCCATATATTGTTTTACATATATAGCTCATTTGCCGTGTCCTACTTCTTTAGAATTCGCCGTGTTGGTTATCTGTATTATGTTGTGTCCACCTCCTGTGTTTGTGTCTCTATTACTCAGAATGACATATAAGATTTTAAGATTTTTGTCATTAATTCCTGAGATAGTGGAGGGAGGTGGCAATCAACATGGAAGTCCAGACTTCTGTTGATAAAGCTCCTGCTAGAGCCCGGAGGAGGATTGCTGATCACTTGTTGAATTACATTGTGATCTTACTTTGATGTCCTAAATTTGCGAGATATGGTAAAAAGGAAACTGTAACTAAGCCACTCATCTGTGAATGAATGGGTTTTTTGTAAATTTTCTTGGTGAGGACGCAATGATGAAGCTGCTGAGTGCTTGATCTGAATTTTTATCTTGCCAAAACATGGAGATTGCTTTTTGTTAGACGGTCATGTTTCTTAGCCATCTCTACCCATATATCAAGAACACTGGTTATACTGTTCTACTTGTTTGTTTCCATTCTTTATCTTTTTTCTTTATTGATTAAAAGTAATCTGTAACAATAAAATGCTGGATACTCAAACCTCTTTATAGTTAGTCTAGAGCCCCGTCACAAACTTTTAACCAAACTAGAGCTGTTTCATATGAGATTCACTTTTTAATTGTGCTCAAATTCTCATGCAATCCTGTTCCCATAAAGTCTATTTTTCAGTTATGACATATTATTTGATAGTGCCTAGTGGTAAAGATATAGAAGCTTTATACTCTGCCTGCAGTGGTCTGAGGAAGTTGTTGGCATTCAATTTTTTTATTTTATTTTTTTTTTCTTCCAGTTTTTGTCGCAATTCAGAGGCGTCACTTTGAGCAAATTAAAGCAGCAGTTCCTGTTGTCCTTAATGTTTTAACGGCCGTGTCTTTAGACTCAAATGACAGAGATGAAAATTCTAAGGATTTGTTTGACAGATCAATAGGCATTGCGAATTCTATACAAGCAGTTTGTGTAAAGTTGGTATGTGATGCTTGAACATATTGTCCATGCTTTATTAAGGTTATTTGTTCTTTATAGACAGATCCTTATAATATGACTTTCTTGATATGCAACAGGATGACAAAGTAAACGAAAAGCTCCGTGCTCTACTAGGCCTTTTTGTCATGCAAATTATGGTTAATACTTCTATGAAACTGGATTTTTTCTTTTCTTTTTTTTTCCTTCTTTTTTTCCATTATTCTTGTTGTTTCTTAAGTTCCTGTTATGACTCTTCATATGTATTTATGTTGATTTTCCTTTTTATTTATTTACGTGTTTTGCTGCACCTGTAATGATTCAATGCTTTCTTCTTTGTTAATTCTTCCTCGATTTGCAGGCTCTTGTTTCAATTAGCTTGAGAGATAAAATTTCAAGCTGTCTGGATTTGGTGAAACAACTGTCACACATTCTCCGATCCTGTAATATATCATATCTTGGTTTAATAACTGGGTATGATATAGATACACTTACTAGCATTGTTCTTGGAGGTAAATCTGTATCAATTATTATATTATATACCGCTTTGTTACTTTATATCTATGTCAAGCATGATTTACTTTATATCTATGCCAAGCATGATTTAAAATTGACTGCCACTGCCACATGTTACTGAAAATCATTATGGATCGATTCGGAAAGGCTCCATTATTGCTATGGATCAATGTAGATGATACTGATACTGAAAAAAAGAGCTGTGTGGGCCATTATGGTTTGTTGTGGTACCTTAATAGCTCTTACAACCCATGACAGAATGTGAGTTTGACAGGCACCTCAAAGCTTGTCCAAAAACTAGGGATAATCTAATCTGAACTGGATTTACTCTTATTAATATCAAAATAGCTAGACATAAGTTGAAGTATTAGATCAAAGCGTGTGAGAGTCCAAATTACATCTCTTTGTGGGAAGTGGGACACTGCATTGTATTCAATTACAAATGATATTCACTTACTCTAGGGTATTCAACTATATATAGCTATGATTTTGATTTTCCAAATTAATTAGCAATACATTCATGAAATGCTAGTAAAGAGGTCAACGATGGAAGATATTTCCTGCTGGTGAAGACTATGTAACTTCCACTAGGATTTTTTAAATAAGAAAAGAGAGATGAAAGTGGTGGAAAAGAAGAATCTCAAAAGATTGGAATAAGAGAAATCTAGAAATAGAGAGAGCAGAACTTTTGAAAAAGGAGAGAAGAGAGGTGAGATGAGATGAGATAATATGGAAGAACATGATGGGGAAGATGAGAACAGCAGGACTGCAGGAGCAAAGAAGACTATATGGTGAATGAAGAGCTAAGAGCTAAACTTTATCAAAGTTCAGGTTATCTTCTTGTATGTCTTTCTAATAACTAAGCTATAACAATTGACAAATAATCTTCTTGTGGGTCTTGCCTATGTGAAAGCTTTATATGCATTAATCTGGCTATTGCTTGACAACTTAAGGCTTTGGAGCTAGTGGGTGATGAATATGATACAAGAGTTTTTGATTCTGAGAGGTCTTGGGTTCAACTCTCTTTGGTTATATTTGTTAACTTGTTGTATTTATATGTTTGGTTTGTTGAATTTGTTCGTGAATCTCTCCACATGCAAGAAGGTTTGAACATGCAGGAGGGTGTGAGAGCTTGAAATATATCGTTTAACATTTTAAGCTTTTGGAGCAAGTGGTTGTTAAATAGCATTAACTGAGGTTCATCATTATCTCCCTAAATTGATACGTGCATCAGGTTTACTATTCAACTTAATTAAGCCTTTTTCTCTAACCATTTTGGATCTGCTAAATGAATCTTGTTTAAGAGTCATTGCCTGGTGCAATGGTAAAATGCTCAGGCTCTCAAGCATGAGAATGCATGTTCAAATCTTGAGAGCAGCATTTTATGCAAATAATGCCAAATGTTAGGTCTGATCAAGGGAGAACACACTGGGTAATGTCCCTTTTTAAATGAATCCTGTTTCGCCAATCCGCTCTATCTTATGTCATGATCTCAATTTAACCTTATGTTATTATATCTTTCCTAACTATCTTAATCCATTTAGTTTTGGTCTTTCCTTTCCTCTCTAGTTAGGGCTATGGATAAATTGAGTTATAGTCGACACTGTCAACTCAGATTAGGCTTGATTAAAAATTGGCCTGAGCTCGTTTACTAAACAAATGAACGAGCTCGAGCTTGTTTTTTTAAGATCAAATCAGCTGACCCCGAGCATGTTATGACTTGGTTCATTTGGCTATTGAACTTGTTCATGAACATGCATTTGTAAATAGACTTGTTAATACTTGTGAACATGATTTGTCTATTAGGGATTGTTTGGGTTTATAATGAGAATAAGCTTGGCCTAAAGCTCAAGTTTGAGTTACAGCTAGAGATTAAAAGAGAGGTCGAGTTCAATGAAAAATGTCCGGGCTGAGCTTGGACACTCATATTGGGCTTACTCATGCTCAGATAGCCAAAAGCTCGGCTCGGGTCATTTAAGGCTCTATCCCTAGCATTACCCTCACAAAGAAAAAATCCCAGCTCCATTAAGTAATATCCATTACACATTGGCTGAAATTCCTGGCACCTGGGTTTCGCATCATCAAGGGTGCATGGGGTTTACCAGTAAAAAGAAAAAATCACAGCTCCAGTAACCGATTCCCTTATGTATTGGCAGTGTTCCTGATTCTGTTACGTTGTGATGATGAACATTACCACAATCACTACTGCAATTTACAATCATGATGCCAAGTTGAATTATTTTATTTTATTTTATACAAATAGTGTTTTTCCTGTACTTATTGTTTGATTTTGTTTGTTGAATCATTCTCAAAATTGTACAGATGATGAAGATGATTATATGAGTTGTTTTTCTCATGTCAAGCATGGAGCATCTCTCGCAGGTTTGTATTATTTGATACAGATCTTTCTTGTTTCATTTTTTTTTTTTTTTTTTTTTCTATCCTAATATTGTTGCCTAGTATTTACCCATCTTCTTAACTTGTGCCATTTCCATGTTGATTTATCGAAGTAGTGATTTGGGGCCATATGTCCAACGAGGTTGCTCAGGCTGCTGACGATGATTTAGCTTCTGTGAAGGATGAACTTTGCAGAGACCAGACTAAAAGGTGGCAAGCAATAAAAATGTTAAAGCACATATTGTCATGGGTCGAGTTGCGATGGGATTTGAAGAGCCATGCTATCATTTTCTTACTTTACATTCTGAATGGAAATGTTCCCCACAAATATAACAGTGCACATGTGGATGACTCAGTTCATATGCTTGGCCTTTTTGCTTCGTTGCAGGTAGTTCTCACCATTTTTTGAGTTTATACACATTTCTTATATATTTATTCTCAACATTTGAAGGAAACAATTCAGGCTATTGAGATGGTCATTATATATGCACCGGATGCAGCTTTACGGAAGAATGCTTTTGATGCACTGAAAAGGGTAAGAGTTTTGTTTTCTGTGTAGTAAAGTTGCCGATATATTCGACGTCAAACTTTCAAGATGCTTTCTCAAGTATATTTGTATAGCCGTTACATATCAGCATATTGCCTTTCCAATTCAATGTGGCACCTTTTCTCCTGTGTGTATGTTTGTTGGCATCAACTACTACGTTTTCTTCTGTTATGGGCCTTATGGCATTCCCTGGATTGTTCTGCTAGCATAATTTGTTATGTTATTTGATTATATGTTTTATGCCGTATGATTCAACATAGTTCTCAGTCTATGGAGGTTGAGAATTTAGAATCCTTAAGGTGTTAGCAGATGGTGAATGAAAGGTAGGGTGGGGTTGGATTTTTTTTTTTTTTTATTATCTTTCTTTTTTTATCTTTCTTCTTTTTCTCCTCTCTGTTAAGAGGCTGGGTTTCTTTTGTTGTTTGGAAGATAAATGCATTAATTGTGTACCCTTTCATGAGTTTTCTTGGTAATTTAAGCTTTTGCTTACATATTGATGTTTGCCTCTCATAAGCAGGTTCTTGTGGATATTCCTTCTTCTCATAGATTTGACATTTTACTAGCTTTGATTAAAAATAGCGACTCGTCTTCCATGGTAAGCCATTCAACGCAGCTAATATGATCTATGGGCATTGGGATTTTTCAGTTTTAGAGTCCTTTACATTTTCTGAAGTGGTAGTTACATTTTACACAGATTGCAATTCTCATAGGTCGTCTTAAAGAGGAGATGCACATAGCAAATTGCCAGAAAATTTCAGTAGGAAATGATGAGGTCCTACAGGCAAAAGATGAGGCATCTCAGTTTGCATTGTTTTGGAGTGCTGGTGTCCTTGAATTGGTGGATTCAGTTTTGAGACCTCCACAGGGAGGACCTCCATCCCTCCCCGAGTATAGTGATGCGGTATTTCTCTCTTCTTTACTAGAATTAATTTTCTTTTTGGTGACATTCTTCGTTAATTTATTGCATATTTGCATATATTTCTCTTTGAAAATTTTGTCTGATTTATCCATATGCTTTATGTTTTTGAATTATTGCACAGGCATTCAAAGTTTATTTTACTTGAAATCAATTATTTCGTCTTCCTAGTGACTCAGAAACATGGTCTTCTATGGGGACTGAATTCCATGGCATCGTCTGAGATAATTATGGGACCGCATTAACACAACGAGGAAGTTTTTTTTCTCTCTTTGAATGATCTTGGCTCCTTAATATTCAGAAAATAAAAAGATAAAAGGAAAACAAAATACAATTAAGACGCTTATGAATCTTATTGACTTTCCCAAGACCATTTCATTTGGTTCCACTTTCTTATCCTGAAATAATGAATGGAGTTCGTATAGGCATTTTGGACAATGCTGTTGAAGTAGACCCATTCTTCTACCCTTGAAAACAAAGAATAGTTTCTTTGTAGGAAATCCTACATTTTGCATGTTATCCCTGAAAGTGTGCTGTTTCTTTTATTCAAAGTTTTGAAGATAGAAGCTTCCACAAGACTTGAATTTACTGGTATATGGTTGACAAAAGAAGGAGAAGGCATCCTCCAAACTGCAAGGGGAACAAAAAGAAAAGGTACACAAGAACAAGATGATTCATTACAAATGGAGAAATAACATTGGATAGTTCACCCTGACTGTTTTAGTCAAGGAATCAACCTTTGTATACTATTTGCCAACCAAAAGGTTCATTTAGGTCCATTCCAGCGATCTATTTAGGTAAAAGTTTCTGTAATGGATTGACCATACTGCCAAAGCCTCAGACAAATACTTGGTACGCAGGGTAATGCCTTGCCTCTCCTCTGAATGTTGTGCCATTCAGTAGTAATTCAAGTCTTCCAGTTTTTTTAATTGCTTTTGTACAAAGTTCAAGTATAAAACTTCCAGTTGCCAGTGGCTACTCTAGGTTGATTTTTTCATAGTAGTTCCTCTGTAGGAAAAGTTACCATTTAATGAAGGAAAACATCTTGCCACTCAGGAAATTTGGTGGAATTGCTTAATAGTTCCTCTATAACAAGCTTCTATTCACAACAATAGGTGGACTTTTTCATAGTAGTTCCTCTGTACCAAATATTACCATTATACTAATGTAATTGACACTGGTTTCTATTTTCTATTTTTTCGGAATTTTATAACAAAATTGTGTTTCCATTAGAAGTCTTAATTAGAAGGCCAGATATAATCTTATTGAGCGTTCTGTGAGTGCATGGGGAATTATATTACATGGGGAATGGGCTGCAAGATGCTAAGAACTGTGAGCATGAATGGCAGTACCCCGGTTTATTTGTTCTTATTTTCATTTGGCATTACCATGTAAAAGAAATAGTTCCTTTTTATCATTGAATTTAAAATATACATGGCATGCTGTCAACGAATTATTGCAGGTTATATGCTTAAAACTTGTTTTTATTTGGATAACATGTTGGGTTTCATATTCTGCAGGTTCTTTCTGCCCTCAACCTGTACAGATTTGTACTGATAACAGAGTCTAAAGGTAAATATTTATGGTTCGGAAATGGTTTATACCTGTGCTTTTTTTGTTCACGGAGGTGATTATAGATACCTTATTGTGACTTATTCAAAAAAATTATTTGTTCCTTATTGTGGAGTCATCTTTTGGTAACTTTTCTCGAGTCTAGATGCTGACAACGATTTTTTCTTTTTCTTTTTCCATTTATTTATTTTTGCATTCGCTTATCAGCACTTGCACTGAAATGGTTGTATTGATGCATTCTTGAGGCTTAATGGGTATTGGTTTTTAAATCAATTCTTCAACATGAGTGCTTGAAATCATGACTTAAGTACGTCCTTTCCATTCTTCTAAACAATGTGCACAAATTTAAAATTGAACAACCATGGAGAGTAGGCTTATGGCTTGTGGGTGATCAACAAAAACTGGCAGCAATAGAGTCTGAGGAGGAACATTAGTCATGAATCTCAGTCAGAGGTAGTTAGGTGATTCTTGGGTTTAGACTTCTTAACCTAGGTTTTAGTGCATTTCTATAATGTGGATTGTTCAGCAACCTAATTTTATGGGACCCTTCTGCTCCCCTGCCCTCGTATAAAAAATGAATCCTCTGCCCCATCTAGGATACTCCCCATCCCCGACTGCCGTTTCAATTTCGATCCCAAAGGGAACCCACCCCTCCCCACCCTCATTTGAAGCCCCACTGAATCTCTATTCACTTTGAAAGAGAGGAAGAGCCGAGTATAGATTCAATCCCTAATCTCTTCATTGACTATCAAATTTATTGTCCTCTTTTGAAAATGGGCAAGTTCTTTGAATGTAGGTTTCATTCAATCCCAAAGCTGAACTCAATTTGACGATTCTTCAATATACACAAACCCTAGAATTCCCTCAATCATTGGGGCTTTACAGAGGATATTGGAGACTCACTAGATTCATGGGAGCCTGGGGGTTGGTAAATGGGGGTATGAGCAAATTGATGCTCTTCACCGATAAAGAAACTTTGGAGGTGTTTGTAAAATGGAAATTTAAGTATTGAAAATTTTAAGAGCTGAATGAAGTTTTAAGCGAAATTGCATATTGAGAAATTTTTTAATATATATTTTTGAAATTGAAGTGTTCATAATTCACTGATAAGCGATGTCACTGTTACTTATTATTCTACTCCATTTTAAGTGGCACTTATTAAGTGATTCTCAAATTGCAATATCAAATGCACCTAATTGGACGAGCACTTAATCTGTTCGGAATTAAGTGCTGAATTGGGTTATCAAAAGGCAACGTCTTCAAGTGTACCACCATCATTGTCATAATGTACTTATCCCTTTGAGCTGGTTGATGTTTTGGTATTATCTTCGGCTTCAACTTCATCTGGTTACTAGTGGGGCTGTGGCAGTTTGATTGTTCTGTTGACGCCAAAACAAAATCTTTCTATTTTCTACTTCTTTCCATTAGTCTTTTCAGTAGGTGAATTATTGAAGTTCTTCTCTGACCAAACTATTGTCCTGATCTTTATTTCCTTTTTTCTTTAAACATTGACCATGCTTTGCCTGTGTTGTGCATTAGTGTGACATTGCTTTAGATGACCTGTCTGAAGTTATTTTTCAGTGCTTTACGATTTGGCCTTAAACTTTAAACTGTAGTTAGATCTTCATGACCATTAATGTTAATATAGTGAAATAGGATTCGTGAATCAGAGCCCGAATAGTTTGATGCAGACAATTTAGATAATCTTTGACACTAATGGTAGCATTAAAATATTGCTGCATATGTGAACCCCCAGAAAATGTGGATATTTAACCTAAAAATTGTCCCTACATTATGTAAATGTAAAATTTTGAGATGACAAAAGGAAATCTGATCTGTTGAATGTTGTGGATATTTCTGACTGCAATGATAAATGGAACAGGGAAAACCAACTACACCGGAGTGCTCTCGAGGAACAACTTAGAGAAGGCCTACAATGAATGGTTTCTACCTCTTCGAACCCTAGTGTCAGGCATTGTGGCAGAAACTCGGAAGGATTGTGATGAACTTGCGTATGACACAGTATGTGCCATAAACCCTATTGAGTTAGTCTTATACCGATGCATTGAACTCGTTGAAGAAAAGCTGAAGCATTCTACTTAGATCATTACCTGAACATATGACGTGTTGAGTAATCAATTGTGAAATATCATCCGAGTACAAGTTTCCAAAGGATTGATGAACACAAGCGTGCGCAGATATACATCCTTGTTTTCTATATTCCAACTTTGAGATTGTATAGATTAATGTAGAGTCATATCTTTTCTCCTCTAGGGTTTTGCTTATTGCTATAGTTGTCAAACATTTATTCTGCATTAAAACTAGAGATCTCATCGATTTAATTTCGTAGTAATTGGAAATGCTCCTCATTTTGTTGAATCAACAATCATCTGTGTGGTTCGACTTATGATCGGAGTCTGTTTATTTAGTTGTATTGATATTTTGCACATCTGAATCCTCCTCCCAATGTTTGGTGAAATATCATAAAACTGAGAAATGGCAACTATGGAACCAATTCACAGTACTTGATCATCCAAGACAAAATATTAGCAGCCTTTAAACCAATATTAATACTGCTGGTGTTATAACTAGTTCTGATTATTTCATGGGAACACATTATTTTTCAACTTAAAGTATGGAAAAATAGTTTCCATATTAATTTTGATTTGCCTTTGCCTCTTACACACAGCACATTTGGGCGTTGCTCTTAGAATAAAAGAAGCGATTTGGTTACCAGAGCGGTCAAAAAATTGTTGTCGGTAAAAAATATCTTAGGTGTTTGGTGAGATATAATAAGTACTTTTTATAATTAAATTATATTAAAATTTTGTTTGTAACAATATTTTTTTAAACACTTGTACCGTCAATTTTGTAATATTATCATATTAAATAATAGAAGCTTCATAAAAGAATGGCTGATGTTGTCTTTATAAAAAAATATAAAATGATAAAATTGTCTAAGGAAAATTAGTTACCTAAAATATACACCATATACTTATAACCGGCTTTAAATGGCAGTTTTAAAAAATAAAAGCTATATTCTTTGACTGGATTGAATTGGATAAGATTGAAACTTTTTTCTCCTAGTTAATAAAAAAAAATAATAATAATAAAAAATAATTAAAAAAAAACCTATGAACTTATTTAATCTATCAAGGATAAAAATCCCATAGTCTGAATAGCATTATCCATTCACGAAGTAATATAAAGCCAAATGGGTATGAAAAAGGAACATGTAATATTCATTTTCAACCAATATTAAGTCAAACTTTTGAGGTCTGTTGAAATCCTTGACTAAGAAGCTCAGCACGCTTGAAAAAGAGAACAAAGACTAAAATGGTCCTTGCAGAGCTCAGTTTCTTCAAGTTGTTGTCCAAGTCAAACAAAGCAATATTAGCTATTTTCAAAGGTGTATGCTACTCAGTGACATATATAACCTGACAAAATAGTAGTAAGATTATTTTCAAAGAGGTATGTACTATGTATACTTCAGTTTCATATGCCCTGACAAAATACAAGTAATAAAGACACAAAATTGGTGGAAATTAGATTCAACTAGTTCAAAGGGATATAACAACTGTGTGTGTAGTTTACAAAAGAATTAAAGACACATTTATGCCTATATATATTTCTAAAATGAAGTAAAGAGAACTTACTCCAGAAAATTTTGGAGAAGGAACAAAGAAACCTGCATAACATTGAAATTTTCTACTTGTCTAATCGCTACCGTCTCTGTACTATCCTCAAAACTTTCTTGGTGATTCTTATGATTCTCAGGAATTACACCTTTGAGTCATTGTATCTATGACTTTGTCTCAGGTACAAATAAGATTTTCATTTCTACTTTACAAACAGCTCCTAGGTCATATTATGCATATTCAGGACCAATGGACTCTGTTTATTGAACCAAGAAGCCACATAATAATACCATAGCCACTTGCTTCAGGAAAAAGGGGACAAACAATGGAGTCCTCTTTCTTCTCAGCTGAAACAATATAAAGTGTCGAAGCCAGAATCTTCCTCCTCAGACGGCGTCATGTTTAGATCGGGTATCACGAAGCATCTTTCCTGGGGCTCGACGTCTTTTTGAACTTTGTGGGAATCAGATGATGGGGGACAATCTTGTGTCGAATGTGTTGGTAACGTTAGAAGACGGTTAAAACTAGAGGCTTCCATCAAATTGGGTTGATTGGAAATTGCTTCCTCTGGTTCATCTGATGATATTGTAAGCATCTTATTTGTTTGTTGCAGGCCCATATCAAGCTGCCAAAAGAACATGTTTCTTCGTTTTAGATTTCAAATGTCATTAAGAAAAAAATAAATTATAAAATAAGAAAATGTCACAGGGCAGAAAACAATGGCAAAGGAATGTTTTTGAACCAGTTAGGAACACAAGTCTCAACTCCAAAGCATATTGTAAAGGATAAAAGTCGAAGCTTTATACAACTACTATTACCACTGTGCCATATAGAGACATTCTAACACAAAATTCTACACTACTACTATCACCACCATATAAAAACATTCAAGCATATGAACTCCATACCCCCACATATTCTGAAGTTGCTTCTATCTTTACTTGCACACACCAGCCACACACACATACACCCATACAAAATCATATACATACAATATACATAAAGCAGAAAACCAAGCCAATCAACTAGATTGGTTTCATGATTGTCTAGCCAGGTCCATCTAGAACTCAGGAATATCTTAAATTGGAGTCTCCAAATTCTTTAAGCACCATATTCTTATCAAGTGTGAATTGGATTTGAATGATGGACCATAACATATGGATTAATTAATAATTAGAATGATAAGATAAGGATGATCATCTGATTTTGCCAACATCTTGTTTCGAGCAATTCAAAATTTTCTGGGAAGAAAAAGAAGGTAGAGGAGGTTTCAGCTTGGATGATCTAAACTCATCCTTCCAATAAAAGATTACATATAAAAACACATATATTTTAGTGGGATACTGGATCCACCTTTAAATGGTCCTGCACTACTAAATAAGTCTCTTGTGCCACATTTGGGTGCTTTAGAATTAATGCCCTGGTTTAAGGTCAGGATTCATCACCTTCAAACTTAATTAAAACACAAACTGACATTTGACATGTTACCGGAAAAGGTAATTAGATTCTATCTCATACATAACTTAGTCATTGGACCCTCGAAATCTAATTGCTAGATTTCAAAACAAATCCTTAAGATACAAATTTATTGCTACAAGTTTAAGTTTATAGTATGGTGATCTTACAGTTAACAGAAACAATATTCAGTCATTAAAATTCGATTTTAATTGAATGATGATGATAAATTTTCTTGGGCAGGTCTACGCTATTATCTAATTTTGCTATTGACACATAACAAGATTCTGAAAATCTCTACCTGTTAGTTAGCAGTTCTGGTTCAACATTCTGTATTTGAGGTTGTTGAAGTATAACAAAAATAAGTTGCAGAATAGGCAACAAATGAATTACCTTAATCCTCTTCAAGTTCTCACTTCTAGCTTTCTGATCCCGTAGTGTTATTTGTAATGTTTCTAATTCCTGTTTAAAAAAATACAATAACAGTAAAAAAATAATCACGTTGAAAAAATTTAGGACAAGAAGAGATCACAGTAAGATTCTTTAGGACCAAACCTTCTTCAAGTGTATCTTTTCCTTCAATAGCAAATTCTCCTCCTCCTTAAGTTCAGTAAATGTCTGGCAACAATCAATTATAAACTTCACTCAATACTTCAAATTTGAGATCCCATTTCAACAATAAGAAGAATATTTTAAGTTCATCTAGATGAATGAAACTAATATGGTCCATTTATGTCATTCAAACACGACAAGTGGGCAACTGTACTTGATAGTTTGACAAATGATACAAGATACATACAAGTAAAGAGAGAGATTGGGCTTCTGTCACAGGGATACTGATATTTACCTTCTTTCTCCTTGATCTCTTATTGGGAGTTTCCGTTGTGAATGTACCCTGAAAAAACCCATTAGATTGCATGAATCAATAATTGTATCCGTTACAAACTCACCAAACAAAAGTCACAAGAAAAGCTTACTCATTTTTATACTATACACATGATAGGGGTAACTCCGACATGAGAAAGCTAAAGAACAAATAGTCTTATATTAACACAGCATTATTCTCCTCTTCCTTACCCCTCACAGGGGGAATAGAGTTCACCAAATGGATAAGCACAACACAAAGCCACTCCCAGCTCTGGAGGCTTTGTGTTGGGATCCACTTACAGCTAAAAATAAGACAAAATTAAATGTGGACCCACCTTCATGGCCTATAATAATGCATCCAAATCGATCACACTCCACACCCATATAAGTAATGTGATATGCTTAGCAACACTTGTCCTGATGCGTGCATGATTTAGGATCTGAAACTAAAGAATGCACCATCCCAAGTAGGGCCAGCCCTCTCCAGTGCACCGTGAACGCCACCCCACACGAAAGGAGCCATTTGTTAGCGTACATCCAATGTGGGGATTACGATGTGAGTGATGCTACACTAACCGACTAAACAAGCCGATTTCATGTGTGTCAACATGGCGCACCACAGATCGCCACATCAGAAAATATGTAGCGTGACCAATTCTCGTGAGCCTGCATTCTTCAGCTCGGATTCGGCTTTGACTCAGAGATGAAAAGACTGAACTTGAGTTTGACTCATATGGACTTTGCCTCAGACAAGGCCTAAACTCGGTGACGAGTTTTCAATACCACTTAGTTGTTGACGTCTAAATTCAGAGCAGTACACCCAACCGCACAGGATTACTCTTCCCACCAACACACAACTAGGAGCAACCTTACCCAAAAAAGAAAAAAGAAAAAAAGAAAAAAAAAAAGAAAGAGCACCCGATACTAACAAGTAACAACATTCCACCTAACAAAAAAAAATTAGAGAGAAGAAAAATAGAAAAAGCAATATACGTAAACAAATATAGAGAGATACAGATGCATATATATATACAGTTAGAATTAGAAAGGGTCATTTTCGTCCGATAAGAATCATAAAAGGGAAAGGGAGAGAAGGAAGAGGATTATGTGGGGAAGCTTCGTGGTTTTGAGTCCCTAGGTGAGGGTGCCTTTCTATTCTGACAAAACTGTCCCTACCGATAAGAGTACTTTAGACGGAACATCGAAGGGTCTTTTGGTCAAATCAAAGACGAGCAATTTTCTGATGAGAGAGCCAACAAGAATGACAGGTGACCGGAAAAGAGGCGAAGAAGAAGAAGAAGAAAACGTGAACATTAAAACTGCTCCCACTTTTTTTTAATCTTGCTCATCTCAAGTGACCTTCGTAATTTCTCAAACTGTAGAAGGGCATTTCCGTAAACAAAATATATATGTCTATAACGTGCACACAGAGAGAGAGAGAGAGACCGTCTACACTGTACGTAATGTCGTCTCACTAGCCGGCGACGACGCCAACGGTCGTCGGATTTCACGCCGAGATCGTCTGCCAAGGTAAATTGACAGATTCGCCCCTTGTCAGCTCCATGCTGCTGCTGCTACTACTAGGGGCTTAATCGTCAGAAAATCGACGAAAAAAAAACCTCCTGAAGACAAGTATGCATCGTCTACGGGCAAGCAGTGAACTCAAAAGGCTTCAAGTTCGTAATGAGACTATGAGACCCACAGGCTATGGGTAGTTTGGTCAACCGATGTAAATATGTTAGACACCACACGACAGATCTGATGACCGGAAAGCTGACGCAATCGTCGGAAGAAACCGACTCGCAGAAAGGTGAAATTGTAAAAGTAAGAAACACATAAGAAGAGCGTTTTAAATTTATGTGAAAGTGAAACGCATAAAATGTGTTGTCAATTTCCAAATGAAACGAAATAAAAAAACGAAGAGAAAAACTTCCTGAGTCGGATAATGATCGGACTCAATTAGCCTCAATCGCGAGCGTGTTTCAGTTAACCGGAAATCTGACACGCGATAACAGGCGGCCGGAAACTGACCTGACGCCGGAGATAAGGAGAACAATTAGAGGGAGGTGAGATTGTGCGAGAGATACGAATACAGACCTTGGATCTGGCGGCGGAGGAGGGATCGGAGGGCCGGCTGGACTCGTCGCAGCCGTCGCTGGGAGATGCGGTGGCGCCGCTCCAAGAGAGCGGCGTTGTGGGGCTGCATCTCGTGGAGTCGCGTTCCTTCTTCGCCGACGGCTTCGAACGCTGCTGGCGGTGTCCCCACCCGAGCGGCGGAAGCAGCAGTGGCGGCGGTGCGTAAGATTCCGATGAATGCTTCATCGATAACAACAGCTCTGCCACCACCGCATCGTCCGCCAGAGCCGCCGTCATCCAGTCGTCCGTTGTCATCGAGTGGTCTTCGTGTTGGAGAGAGAGAGAAGGGGAGGTAGGAGTATACAAAAGTGAGAAAAACAGGGAGCGGGTAGAGAGAGAGAGAGAGAGAGAGAGAGAGAGTGGTGCAGAAAGAGAGAACGTATGTGAAAACTGGCAATTATAATCATTACATATATATATGGATATAATAATATTGTTGAAGGAGGAAAGTCCGAACACTGGACTTGAACCCGAGTGATATTATACATATATTTATATATATATGTATGTATGTATGTATATGTATATCCCGTTTTACGGTTTGTGTGGCGAGGTGTAGATTCCATAACTTTGTTTGTTTCTCTATTAGGACTTAAAAGGGTCACTTTGTGACTCTTTAGTTTTCTCTCTCCCCAACCACTGTATAAATGTATGTGATATATATGTAGGGTCCCACTTTTGACACGTTGCCACTGACTGAGAAAAACTTGTCTGCACCTGGATGCACTTTTTAGTTTACATCCAAATCTGACCTAAATTACATCATGTTGATCAGTCATATAAATTCTCCCTTCAATATTTTTTCACGTACTATTATTATATTAACTTTTTTTAAATTATGTTTTATTATTTTTATTTTTTCTTAAGAATAAAGTAGAATGACACTCCTGATAATTCTCCCTTCAATCTTTTGTCATGTATTATTATATTAACTTCTTTAAAATTATGTTTTTTTATTTTTACTTTCTCTTAAGAGTAAAATAAAATAACACTCCCAATACTTATTATAACAAGTGTCATACATAAGTTAGTCCCCTTCTTTTCTTTTCTTTTCTTGGTTTTCTATAAAACAACCGAGTAAAAATTTTGCACCTTAAACCAACGGAGTAAAAGAGATGGCAAAATTTTTGCTCCAACCCTAAATTCTAAACAACCACCATTCAACATCTAGATGACAAATAAATATCAATGTAAAACAAGCATAAATAAGAAGATTCATACCATTCGATCGAAAGAAAATATAAAGATTATGCCAAATATTTAATACATATGTGTGTATATATATATATATATGTATGTATGTATTGATTGAGGGAGAAATCATATCAGAAGTTCCAAACAATCCAATCTGCTCTCATCTCTACCAATCTCATCAATTGTGAATGTTTCCATCAAAATGAAGCCAAAGGTTGTACGTGGAGAGGTGGCGGTTGGGTGGAGGTGGCGATGGTGGACCCAGAAGTATATTTTGGAAGGACTAATATATTTGGGGGTGGGCTCCCCTTCTCTCTAATAAAGGGCAGTTTGTCTTTCAATTGATATTTTACCACTACAAATAATAAAATATTAAAAGGCAATTTTAACTTTTCATAATTTTTTTTTTTTTTTTTTTTTTTTTAGGGTTGCTTAGATTCAATTTCTGAAAAGAGGGTCATTGTCTAAAAAAAATCCAACTTGTGAGCCAAGAGAAAAACTTGCAGAAGTTCCAACCAATCCAATCTTCAACCAATCTAATCAACTGTGAATGTTTCCATCAAAATGAAGCCAAAATTGTTGGTAGAGAGATGGTGGTCGGGAGGTGGCGATAGTGAGTGGTTCAGTGGTTTTGGGTGGACATAAGGTGGGGAGAAAAAAAAAGGTGGTTGGCATCGCGATGCCGTGACCTTTGCCAAATCTAAAATCTTAATTAACTTTTAGAGAGACCTAATGGATTCCTTGTTTGATTTCTTGATTTATTAATTTGTTTTTATTATTTTATTTTTTTTAACTCAAAGTATATTTATGATTATTCCCTGATGAATTGACCAAAACTTAAAAACTCAATTGTTGGTTTTAAAGATCATACAAAATCAGGAGTAATATTCAAAGAAGATACAAATATACATGGTCAATATAAGCATGGATGGGCTTACAACTACAAATGCATTAGCCGGAATAACAAGAATCCTTGGCGCCATAGTAATCAAGCGCCATAGTAATCAAGCATAGCGCCGATAAGTGGCCAAACATGGCGACTGGGTGGTTTGGTTCAAGTTGGAGATAGAAAGTTCATTATTTGAGAGAAATAGTTGGTTGTGGGTAGGTTTTTTTTTTTTTTTTTGGTTAAATGGTTGTGGGTAGGGATGGCAATTTGACCCGCCCCACCCCGCACCGTTTTTGACGGTTTTAGAGGACCATTTTACTTATTTGAGCGGAGATGGTTTGATGTAATAAAAATTCGCACGGGTTTGGTGCGGGAGCGGGGGGAGGTCGCCCCATACCGCCCTGCTCCATTTAGATTAACAATTACTTAAGTACCCATATTTCATTAGTATATATATTTCCCACTATATATTTAGTACCCTATATAACAATAATATTAAAGTAAAAAATGAATTTAATTAAAAATAAATTTGCAATGGTGAATAATTGAAGATGAGGGAAAAAAAAAAGAGAGCAAATCTATTTCAACAATAAATAAATTATGGTTTTAAACGAGGCGGGGCGGGGCGGGTACCTGTGTGGGGGTGGGGGAGGGTATACCCGCCCAAACTCGCCCCGTTGCCATCCCTTGTCGTGAGTAGGTTAATTACATGAAAGCTACTAAAAAGTGAAGAGAAAAATTTGGCCTTGTATGATTAAGGAGAGAGAAAAAGAGGAAGAGAAATGCGGTAAATAATGTATTTTAATGAATAATTTGTTTTAATATTAATTTTTAGATTAATTTTGAAAAGAGTAGGAGAGAGATGTCCCAAGGAGAGGATCCATATCCCTTCTCATCCACAACCAAAATTAATCAATGCAAAAAAAAAATGATAAAATGCAAATCCAAATCCGTTCTCATCCACAACCGTAAAATGCAAAAAAACATTAAAAATAAAAAATAAGCCTACAACTAAGAAACATCTTTCTATCCACAGTTTATTAATACTATTCTGGTAAGAGACTAAGAAGAAGAGAAAGGGGTAAAATTGATTGAGTGAATTCATAAAGGGTAAATTTGATATTTTACTTTTGAGTTAAAATAGAAGCTAATATAACTACTACACATTTTCTGGAAAAGAAAAATAAAAAAGGAAAAAAGAGAACGCTAAAAAGGCAACAATGGAGGTAGGTTCCTTCCTTTCTGAAAAAACTTCATTTCAACGTCGCATGTTGTAAGGGTTGCTTAATTTTGCAGTGATTAGACCTTTTATGATCCTTAGTGCTATCTTTTAACTAAAAAAAAAAAAAAATAGTTATAATATCTACAGCATGATATTATGATCCATAATCAAAAGGGAGAAATTTGATAACAGTTATATTTATGAATATTCTTCAACTTCATACTACTTTTATGAAAAATGGTTAGCACCAACATATAAGATGGTATCAAAATTAGGGATAGATCCAGAAAATAAAGGGGGAGGGGGAATAATGAATTTTTTTAAATAATTTCAGAAAACAATAGTAATATTTTAAAAATAAAGAGAATTGCTCCCTTGAATGACATGTAGGTCCGTCCGTGATCGAATCACTCATGCAACACACATGTTGAGAAAATAACATAAAACTAATGTTCACTTCAGAATCAAAGAAGCAACACCCTTTGAATAATGCATAGCGCTCCTTTATGCATATGTGTAGGATATATATCCTTGTTGTGTGTATAAGAAAAGGTGAAAAACGTTGTTATATGATGAAACAAAGAAACCATAAGCGTTATTGGCGAAGGCAATTCATAGTTGAAGGGTACGTTGTAGATAAAGAATCCATCATTCTTTTGGGTGGTCGCAATTATTTTATAGGACTGCAGTTCTGAGTACCATTATAATTTGAATGAGCAGGCAATAAACAAGGAAAAAAGAAGGAACCATTGAATGGTGTTATAGATATATAAAAGAAGGAACCATTGAATGGTTTAAGAATGGTTCCTTCTTTTTTCCTTGTTTATTGCCTGCTCATTCATAAATTTACCTCCTTTTGTCCCATTTCCCAATAAAATATCTTTGTACTCTCCCTATTTATTTATTTATTTTTTTTATTTTTTATTTTTTTTGTGCACGCGCGCGTGTATAAATATACACTCTCTCCTTCTAAATAGTATATGATGAATTTTAGTACTTTGTGTTTTTTTTTTTTGTTTTGTTTGGACGATACAATTTAGACATATATCTAAATTTTTAAAATTTTTAATACTATTATTATCCATCTCTCTCTCTCTCTCTCCCTCTCCACGTCTCTTTCATGTAAACCAAATACTCAACTTTTATTTAATATGTAAAATAATATACAAATCAATAGAAGTTCATAAGTGACATAAAATTACACAAATGGAATTTGTAGTATTCACAAACTTTTAATCTTCTTTTTTTTTTTTTTTTCAAATTTTACATCAATGAGAAAAAGGGGAAAAAAAAAAAGGAAAACCAATTGTTAGCCCTATCAATTTAAGGTATTTGAGAACTTGGGAGAGATCCAAAATATAAATCTAATTGTAACCAAAAATAGATCTCAAAGAAAAACTAACTCTGACCCTGAAATTAATGTACGAGAGAAGCTCTATTCCTTTCCTATTCAACACTTGATATAGTACATTTTTTAAGTAAATTTAGTAATTTATCAATTTCAAATGAAGGTTGGATATAGAAACAATTGTGATTCTTTTGGAAAGGATAAAAAAACTTTGAGACTCAAAAAATGGATAAGGATTATTTATAGAATTTTTAAAATTTTAAACATGTATCTAAATTGTATTGGGCCACATCATCTGAGAGAATAAACTTTATCCTCTGAAGACTAACGTTCTTTTTTTTTTTTATTGTATTGGTAATGAATGAATTATTAAATTATCCATAATGGGTGAATAAAGATGTGATTGTTAAATTTTTAAAAAAAAAATTTAATATAAAAGGTTAAATTGGTAATATTTAAAAAAAAGTAATGAAATATTTATTTTGAAATAGCCAAAAATAAAAGATGAATATTTTTTAGGACCAGAGGTAGTATATAATAGTCAACTAATATGATTGTTTGATGTGAGTGAAATGCTCCTCCTTCAATTTATACTGCCATTGGTGGCTTGGCCTCATGGGGAAATCATTTCTTGATACACACACTGACACACGTTCCATTTTTTTTTTTTTTTTTTCAATTACTTCACATAGCTAGTTTCAACTTATCACATAAACCGTATGAACTGAACTCAGTTTTATCATAATATGGACCCATCAATCTTTAAATGATTTTGAAGTGTTACATTGCTTAATTAAAACACTCGATCTCAACAATAACACACACACGTATATAGTATTTTTCCATGATAAAAACTTCATAAACTCACTTTTTATCCCTAATAATGGGCTTGAAGTAGAAGGCCACTCCATTACTACATTTGGTAACCAACAACAATTACACTACTCCGTAGATAACTAGAACTGTGAAGTCCATTGATGAAGGTGTCTTATTCTAAGAAATCAAATGAAACTTGATGGATGATCTATGGAGTATTATTTCTTGCTAACTTTATAGCTGAAATGAATCCACAATATCTTATTGTGAGTTTGTGACGAGTTGATATCTTATTGTACTCTGACCTAGCTAATTACGGATGCGGATGACCAAAGAAGCAAACCGGCTATTCCTTCAGAAGGCATGGACTCCAGGGCAAGCCACTCTTCCTATTTGATTGGTTTACCAAGATCCAGCTTACCTGACTTTGAGGGGGGAGCTTATGCTCGGTGCAATCCATACTCATGAGAGGTCTTATTCCTAATGTGACTTGTTCTTTCACCGTAAGTTCTGACTATTCTATTCACTCCACAATGAATAAAGCAGAAGAGACGGAGGAAAGAGGATGCAGAACTTCTTCCATTCTGCCAGTTTGATATGATTTTCAATCAGGCTACAAGGCGATGCGATAACGTACAAAGGTAGAATTGTCTTATTATAGAGTCATCGGATCGACTTCTTCTTTCAAAACCAATCCCAGCATGTAATAGTGCTAAAAATGGCTTATGCTCGAAAACCTCACAAGATAGAGAAAGCGATTCATTCCCCAGCATCCATCAAAAGCTTCTTACCTCACGGTAGTCTTCTTGCTTTGAACTCGGTCAGCTCAGTCAACGAAAAAGGACGGGTTTACACCGATTAGTTCATTTAGATTTAGTCTCGTCATCTCGTGAGTTTGTTGAAAAGTTTAATTGTGACATAAAAAAAATAATAATAATAATAAAAAATGGGGGAGCCAATATTGGCATTACACTTTTCTACCATTACACTGTACCGTTAAAGGAAATGACACTTCTATTCTTAATTTTATAAATAAATAATTATTTCTTTTCAAATATCACAATTACCCTTTCAGTTATGGAAAGAAATTTGCATCTCTCTATCCCCAATTAACATTTTCCATCACTTCAGTCCCTCTCAATTTTTTCTATTAAATATCTTGTCTCTCTCTCACCTTAGGGTTTATTATTCATCTTTGTAAGTAATAGTGAAACTTAGGGAAGATCTCGCACATGAAGACAATGTGGAATTGAACAAAGTAATTAATCTTGTTAGTTGGGGAAGTAGGGAAGAACTATCAAACCTTCGTGAGCCATTTAACTTCATTGATGTTAATGTTGATGGTAATTTTTCTTTTCTTTTTGTATTGTAGGCAATATCCAAGGAAAACGTATTATCTCCTTCAAAAATTCAATTGAAAAGAATAAGGGATGAAACCAAACTTACAAAAAATTAAAAAGGAAGGAAGAGAATGAAACCAAAGTGAGTGGAAAAAATAAACCCGTCTAACAGTACTCTAATATATTACATATATATATTGAAAAATTATTCCTAATTGACTACTTTTTTAAGGTGTCTAAAACCAACTAAGAGTAATCCATCACAAATCTCTCTTCTTTTCTTTCTGATTCATAAGTCCGTGTTGATTATTATCCATTTATCAGTACATGGAAAGTAAAAACTATAAATAATACCAAGTTTAATTTTAGGATTTAAGAAAAATGGAACAGTAAAGAAAATTTAGTTTGTTGGCGTGGTCCCTTCCTTTTAATGATTTATTTGGGTAATTTAAGTTCTTAAAATAACTTCAAACAATTAAGTATATTTTTCAAAAAAAAAAAAAGTATTAGAGTAACTAAAGAAGGGCAAAAAAGAAAGTTTACAGTGCAAATCGTAATTAGCCTAAAATAAAATAAGAAATGATGCATTAATTAGTTTAGGGACTTTTTTGTTATTTATTTTAAAGACAAAAAAATAAATAAATAAATAAAATAACTTCAAACAACTTCAAACAATTAAGTAAATAATTTAAGTTCTTAAAATAACTTCAAACAATTAAGTATATTTTTCAAAAAAAAAAAAAGTATTAGAGTAACTAAAGAAGGGCAAAAAAGAAAGTTTACAGTGCAAATCGTAATTAGCCTAAAATAAAATAAGAAATGATGCATTAATTAGTTTAGGGACTTTTTTGTTATTTATTTTAAAGACAAAAAAATAAATAAATAAATAAAAGGTGTAGTGCAAAGTAGAAAAGTGGGGTTAGCATATTGCCTCCAAAAAAAAAATGAAATATTTATTAACTAACTAGTAAATTTTGCTCAGCAGTATAAGGTAACCTATACTAAAAAGGAAATTGCAGAAAGTTAAGGTTTTTTCAAAAATTACTAAAATATAGAATAAGAAACCAAATTACTAACACTACTAAAAAGCAAAAAACTTTATTAGACTTCTAACAAAAATTCAAAATATACAAAATTAGAAAAACGTAAGTTATGGGCCGACAAAACATCTTAGAGCATCTCCAGTTGTGTATATATTTTTCTGTAAATATGATGTGTCAGAATAGATTTACAGAAAAATTTTGTACTGTCTATTTTTAGTTCCCACAGTTGTTTTATACCTTTTGTATAAAAAAAATCCCCCAATAATAATCAACCACGTGTCATACCTAAAACCCTACATTACTTTTACAAACATACTTAATTCACTTTACTTTTTCGCGATTAAACCTCGTGTACCAATCCGCCTCAATTAGGAAAAAAATAATAATTTCCAACTTAATAACAAATAATATAAATAGATTCAAGTACGTAAAAACTACGTAATCAAAAGTTTTATATCAATAATTATAAAAAAAACGTGATTAAAATATATATATCTAATATTTGGCTAACTAATACATATCTATCTCATTATAATAGAATGTAAAAGAATAAAAAATCTAAAAAAAATCATAGAATCTACTGCGATGATTGCAAAAGATAAGATTAAACGAAAGTGATTAATCAAACTATGTCTTTTAAAATAAATAAATAAATAAAAGATGGTCGAGTAGTTCTTACCTTACCGCCAATTGCAAATTCTTTTCTATAGCGCTCTAGAAAAGTGGGAAACAAAGAGATGTAAAGGAATGAGAGAGAGAAAGAGATCCGCGGGTGGGGAAGGGGGAGAAGAGAGAAAATATGCTTACGTAGCTGTGTAAAATACACAACTTTTTTTCACATTGGTGATGTAGCAGTGTATCTTAACAGATTGTTAGAGATGAAAAAAAATTACATTTCAGATATGACAGTATATATTTTACATAAATATATTTTTTTAACATATCGGATATGTTCTTAAATTATCTTTTGCGAGTTAGGCAATTTTCATGGGATAGGTGTCTTTTGGATTAAAAATTTGTCAAAATTACTTCGGAAAATTGTGTTAACCCACCCGTTCCGCCTTGTGATGGTCCAAACACAGCACTTAAGCTTTACCAATCGGTTGTACATCTATTTAATTGTGTTTTAAATTGTTTCATGGAATACAAAAATGCAAAACAGACCTTTACAATTTGACAGGATCTTCTCAAGTACCAAGATTTGTACTGTACTTCGCAATACATTTTGAGAAAAAAAAATGCTAACACATTGTAACACAAAAACATCCACCATGCCACTGTCTTTGCCTCTGATGTATTTCCTTTTCTCTCATATAAATTCTTTACAAAAAAAAAAACTAACATCCACCATGCAACAACAATACAACATATTTCATTCCATGATGTCCTATAACAAATTACTTTAAGATCCAATAACTTTACTTGATGTGTCAAGTCATTGAATTCACAATAAAATATACAAGATAATATCCAAATTTTTATTTTTTTTGATAACTGGAGGTGTCCGTGCCAGTTTGCGTGCACCTTGATTAATTTGACGAGGTCCTAAAGTTAACAATCGAGTAAACCTCTATTAGCCCTGTGCAAGCTCGAATCAATGATCATTAGAGAGCAAATTCAAAACCTGACTAGCTGAGCTACTCGCCTATTCTACTCCGCAGGGTTATAAAACTCAAGTCGAAAAGCATGGGTGGACAGAGGGCTTCGTTCCTGTGAGGCTATTGTTGATCCGAACATTTAGGCATACGATCACACAAGACAAGAGCGTCTGGTTGCGTCATCTGGGAAGGCATTTACCATACCAACTTGCGAAGAGAATTGTCAATTAGAAGAGCTGTCTTATATGATCTGGTCGAGCTTTGAGGATGAATTTAACCCCACGGAAGCAGGTGACACGGCTGTTAGAACAAGGGTACTATAGTCAATTCACTTTGTGAACGTGTATCTGACAAAAATAAAAAAAAATGCTAAAACTCGAAAAGCACGGTCAGAGGCAAATGCAAAGATATAAATAGGGTGTTTATTTGGTCGTCTTCTCCCTCCACACAACGCTCCAGGAATTAAGGCATTCCTGTTTACCAAGTTTTGCACAACTTCATGTAAGACTCTCTCTCTCTCTCTCTCAATTTCTCTCTCTCACACACAAACACACACAGATAGGCAACAATCATATCTGTAAAACGTCAGTGAATGCCTATTGTTCAATATTCTTCGAATTTGCATTGATGCACATAAGAGGCAATAGCACATTGTACAAACCATATACAAAATTCTCAAAATCTAGCCTTTTTGGCTCCATTTGGCATCTGGGTATCTCTCAAATCTGTGGGAAAATCAGCAAAAACCGGTGACCAATGGATTTATTTTATCAACTTAGGTATTGGGTTTTCGTTTCTTGTTTGATTCTGCAATTCGTTGATGGGTTTTATCTTCCTGGTAGTTTCCCACACACATACAATGTAGGTGATCATTTATCTGTGAAAGTGAATTCATTGACATCAACTGATACAGAACTCCCCTTTTGGTATTATAGTTTGCCCTTTTGTAAACCCTCAGAGGGTGTCAAGGACAGCGCTGAGAACCTCGGCGAGCTCCTTGTGGGAGACCGAATTGAGAACTCCCCGTATCGATTTAAGATGTATACGAATGAGAGCGAGATTTTTGTGTGTAAAACAAACAATTTATCACCAGATGAATTCAAAATTTTGAAAGAAAGGATTGATGAAATGTATCAGGTTAATTTGAATCTAGACAATCTTCCAGCTATTCGATATGTGAAGAAAGATGGTTTCTTTCTCCGTTGGACCGGTTATCCTGTAGGGACTAAGGTTCAAGATGTTTACTATATATTTAACCATTTGAAGTTTATAGTTTTGGTTCATAAGTCTGAGGAGAATGATATGGCTGGTGTTATTGGGGCCGGAGATGGGGCGGAATTGATTGCAATGGGCAATCATCATAATAAATCCAACAACAGTGTGCCAAGTTACATGGTTGTGGGGTTTGAAGTTATTCCATGTAGCTTTCAGCATGATAAAAAATCATTGAAGAATCTTAATATGTATGATAAGTACCCTTTGTCGATCAAATGTGACCCGGTTACGGTGGCAATGGCCATAAAGGCAGGCCAACCATTGACATTTAGTTATGAGGTCTCTTTTGTGGAAAGTGATATTAAGTGGCTCTCAAGATGGGATGCATATTTGAAGATGGAAGGTTCAAAAGTTCATTGGTTTTCAATTCTTAATTCTCTGATGGTGGTTACTTTTCTTGCTGGGATAGTTCTTGTGATATTCTTGAGGACAATTAGGCGAGACTTGGCTCGTTATGAAGAGAGTGACAAGGAGGCTCAGGCTCAGATGAATGACGAATTATCTGGGTGGAAACTTGTTGCTGGAGATGTTTTTCGAGCTCCAAACAATCCGATACTCCTATGCATACTGGTTGCAGATGGGCTTCGGATTCTAGGAATGGCAGTCGAGACAATCTTCTTTGCTGCTCTTGGTTTCATGTCCCCTGCTTCTCGTGGAGCCCTTGTTACCGGCATGCTTTTCTTCTACATCTTCTTCGGAGTTTTGGCTGGTTATTTCGCCGTTTGGCTCCTAAGGACAATTAATTGTGGTGAGACTCAAGGATGGTTTTCTGTGTCGTGGCGGGTTGCCTTTTTCTGTCCCGGGATAGCTTTTCTTATACTAACCACCCTGAATTTTCTCTTGTGGGGAAGTGACAGCACAGGAGCTATTCCATTTTCAACATTTTTAGTTTTGCTAGCACTTTGGTTTGGCATTTCTGTGCCCCTCACCCTTGTGGGTGGATATGTTGGCTCTAGGGCTTCTTACCTTCAGTACCCAATACGAATCAATCAAATTCCTCGCGAAATACCGGAGCATAGATTCCCTTCTTGGTTGTTGGTCCTAGGAGCTGGGACTCTCCCATTTGGAACCCTCTTCATTGAGCTATTCTACATCATGTCTAGCATTTGGCTAGGCCGTGTTTACTATGTTTTCGGGTTTCTCTTCATTGTTTTCAGCCTTTTGGTGGTGGTTTGTGTTGAAGTGTCTCTAGTCCTTACCTACATGCACCTTTGTGTGGAAGATTGGAGATGGTGGTGGAAATCATTCTTTGCATCTGGTTCGGTTGCTTTTTACATCTTCTTGTACTCCATTAATTATCTCATTTTTGATCTCAAAAGCCTGAGTGGACCGGTGTCTGCAATTCTATACTTGGGGTACTCTCTCTTCATGGTTCTGGCAATTATGCTTGCAACTGGTGCTATTGGGTTCCTATCTTCTTTCTTGTTTGTTCATCAACTTTTCTCCTCGGTAAAGATAGACTGAAAGCCATTTCATCAAGGAGTTCTCTCTCTAAATCGGTGGTGGATATCTGTAGAGAAATGAACAGAATGATAGTGCCAGTGATTTTCGCTCTTTTGCTGATTAATCTTCAATTAGTTGAGGTATTGGGCGTCTCTAAGGTAATAATATAATCATTACCAAATTTTCTTAGAAAGTTGTAGATGAAGATTGCTGCATGTTATTGACAGTGTATTATTCCAAGAAGAAGTAGAATAAGGTGATTTCTATCTTTTGATGCAGATATTCTTGGTTATATTCCCTTGTGAGTTGGAATTTGTTAAATGTTTTGACTTGGTTATCTAATTTGTGCCATTATGTTGTATCTAATTGAATATTCCTGATCAATGAAGATGAACATCTATTTAATCTCAAACATTCTGCCAAATCAACTGGGGTTAAGATGCAAATAGAATCAGCTTTAACGGGAGTGATTTGTAATGCTCTATATTATTCATAATGACATATTTACTGTGAGCTGTTTTATTAGTTACCAATGACAGCACATGGATTAGTTTGTTTTTGTCCAATTTTCAGTGCTTTAATTTGTGATATCTAAATTTAGAACGGGAATTCTTTTTGCATATAATGTGTCCATGATTCAGGGATTATTTTTTGGAAAGTTGTGGAGGGATTTGAAAACGTGATCTCTAGACAATACTTGTCTTGTTACCTCTGAGATGACTTTAATTTATTTTCAGCTGCATTTGATCAAATAATTTTGACAGTGAGTGATCACAGTAATTTGATTCCACGTTTAGTAATCTGTTTGCATATCTAATTCCAAAGAATGTCGGCTTGTATTCTTCCGTTCATAGTTTTCTCTCCTGAGTCTTGGAATTACTTTATATCAACAACCACAAGAGATGTTGTAATTCCATAACCTCTGTTAATGGCAGTCCTGTTTTAACGCTCCTGATCTGATCGCAGAACAAAATCCTCTCCTGCGTTACAGGAGAGCCGGTGCCAGCCGGCTTGTGCCACGTCATTGGGAACAAAAAAGACAAATCTTTAGAAACAAAATTTTACGGAGCATGACAAAACCTTTTATACATACATGTATATATATACACATAAACACGTATTGAAATACATATATTAGTTTGTACCAAGATTCATTATTCATCTATGTTTGGGATACATATAGGAAAAAGTTGAGACGTTGGCATTGTATCATAATATTTTCCTAACGTATATTCCAACTTTCTCCTTACCAGCATTTCAACATTTTCCTTACGTGTATCCCAAGTACATCAAAAAGTATCTCACCAACTAAAACACGGTCCACTATTCATGTCTTTCTCTTGTTTGAGATACATGTTAGGAAAATATTGGGACGTTGGCCTTGCATCACAATATTTTTCTAATGTATATTCCAACTTTCTCCTTACTAGCATCCCAACATTTTCCTACATTCCAAAATATCCTCACCAGTTAGAAACAGATCATCCCAACTTTTTCCTAACGTACATCCTAAAGTATTTCAAATTTATTCACATCCTAAGCTGCATCTCTGTGTAGACACTAGTGTCAATAAACTTGTGTTGTGTATGTCATTAAACTTGGAAAAGCTCTGGTTTCGCTTTAGATCCATGAGTTTACTCTATAATCACTGTTCTTTAAAGTTTGTGTTGAGAGAAAAAAAAAGAGTTGGAAGTTGGTTTGATTTTGATTTGATCCTGTATGCATGTGTGTATAACAAAACTTTTGTTTTTTTTAATTTTTAACTTTTACCATTTTAACTCACCGGATGGGATCGGCTCTCCTGTAGCACGAGAGGATTTTGTTCCCCTAATGGCAACATATACTTTGTAGCATAGAATTGATACCTTGGAATTCAAATTGAAAAAAAATTAATCCAAACTTTAACCGATTTTTATCCCAATCCAATTCCAGTGCATATGCACCAATTCCATGGTACCGTAGAGTAATATTTTTCACTCGGAATCATTCAATTGGTACACGCAGAAGAAATTTCCTCATAAAAGAAAGTCGTAATGCCGGTGCTCATATTTCTTCTAAAGTGCAGGATTTTCATTTACCAGTCCTTAATGGGAAGTAATTCTTGGTGAATGCTTAATTTGTTATTGATCCCCTATTTTGGCTATTTTCTGTCTCAAGAAAAAATGACATGAAGGAAAAAGATACTAGTGGGTGTCACATGCGCAAGTACTAGGGCTAGGTTGCAAATGAGCTGAACCTTGGGGTATGTTCGGGCTCAGCTCGGCTCGCCAAAATAAAAGACTTGCTCGGGTTCGGACGAGCTTAGTTAGGGTATGTTCGGGCTCAGCTCGGCTCAAGCTCATTTATATATATATATATATACAACCACATGGTATATAGTGTGTGTACACACAAAAACATCTCAATCATCGTCTGTGTTCTGGGCTGGTGATGTGTATGGCACTTATTGGTCTTCAAAGTGGAGACCAGGATGAAAGAGAAAGAGTGATAAGATAGAGAGATATTTGAGAGAAAGATGAAAGAGAGAGAGTGCGAAGATAGAGAGATATTTGAGAGAAATAATCCATAACCAGTGTGAGCGGGGCGAAGAAGTGTGGATTCGGCAATTAGGGTTTCGAGTGAGAGTGAAGTGAATTGGGGTATTTGTTCTCCTAAAGTTTGTTTTGGGCCGTTATAATCTAATGGCTCATATGGTATTAGTTTTATGGGCCTTAAAACATAAAGAACTTTGGGCCACACTTCTAATATATATGTGCTTGCATCTTCAATATTAAAATAAGAATCTAATGGGCTTCTTAAATAAGTCTGTTTACGAGCCGAGCTCAACATTGCTCAAGCTCGACTCGTTTAATTAAACGAGATTAAAAAATACAAATAAGCCCGAGTTGCGTTTTTAACGATCTAAGCCCAAGCATTTCACTCGGTTCATTTGGCATCAATTATAATTTGAGGAAGGTTAGTAAAAGAAAAGAAGAAGATAGTAAATACAATTCCATATTGTTTCACACATCAACACCGCACGTGATCAATCACTATCCTTATCATTTTCACTGCTGGCTATTAGTCTATCTTGCTTTGGACCTGCACTCCCAAAGAGAAAAGAAAGGAAAATCACAAATTATGGTTTGCCAAAGAATTTCATCATTAAGTGAATTGGAGTGGCTCCAATTCATTTACAAATGAAATATATATAGTTTTAACTTAAAAAATCACATATACTACTATCATAAAGTCATTTAAACAGAGTTTGAACAAATTCAAATTCCAAAACGAGTGAGTTATATAATTTTGACTTTGGGGACAAATTCATTCCATTAAAAGCCCTCACCCATTTTCCATTTTCCTGTCTGGTCTATCGCAAGGGATATAATTTCTTCAAACATCACATCTACTTGCAAACCCATGACACGCTCGCTGCAGCATCCAGACGACTATGGACACCTCCCTAGAGGGACATTTTTTGCATATATTTTGGACAATAATGCCCTCTCAAAAATATAAAATTCTGATATTTTTTTTTTACTGAATTGATGTACTTATCTTCCAAGATGTCTGAGCATAAGAGATTTCTTCATTCCTGGTATTCAAATTTACAAGGCAAGCAATCTTATTTAGGGAGAAAGTGAGACATATAGTACAAAATAGCTTCAAACACACATATGGTATCAATTGAGCTTGTATCCAACTTCCCCGACATGTACAAGTCTAAAACCTAACTTCAAAAACACACAAACTACAACAACGCAATACCCGGACACAAATAGTAATAAATATACATACATGTATATTTTATATAAAACTAAATATGAAGTTACATCAGATTCTCTGGGATACAACAAGACCCTCCAAACAAATGTAACCAAACACAAATAATAAAAACAAGCCTAAACAAAACACTAAAGACAATTTGTTGCAACAATATGACCTTCCCGTTAAAAAAAATAAGGGAAAGATCATAATTCACAACCAAAATATATAAATATATATAAATATCACTGCAAATCAAGTCGGAGAATTCGCCGGAGATCAGTTGCCGCATCCAAAACACTTGTTTTGGTGACGAATCCAGGCAACGGCAAAGAGCTCGGCGGAGGAGACACGATAGATGCCGAACCGGCGTAGAAATCAGTCCTTCTCACTTGTTTCAACACCGTCTCCGGCTCCGGACCAAACCGATCCGCCGAAGACAGCGCCAAATCGACCGTCTCATCCTTTGCAACCGTCGTTTTGCTCAAATCTTCGCCGCGTTTCAATAACTTAACCTGTCCCATCACTAGACCTTTCGCGGGACTATCCTTAACCACCGTGTGTCTGCTTTTGTTGTTGGCGGTGGTGGTTTTGTTGGCTTGCTTGTTGTCAAGTCTGGGCGGACTTCGCTTCCGACGGCTGTTCGATTTGGTAGGGTTAGGGTTTCGTCGAATCTTCATATGGGGATAACTTAGGGTTTCTCTAGAAAATCGATCTCTTAAGCAATCTTGTGGTTGCAGAACTGCAAGTCCTCCCATGGTAGAGAGAGAATCGAAGCTCAAAGGTTAGAGGTTACTTTCTAGGAGAGAAAGAGGGAGGGTACAAAAGAAAACAGTTGTGGATTTCAAAATAAAGACGCAGAGAGATTCAATTTAGATTTGAAGACGAAGACAACAGATCTGTACTTCGAAAAATCGTTCAGATCTGAGCTTTGAAGAAGAAGAAAGTTTTGCAGAGAAAATAAAAAATTATCTTTCTTAGGGAGAGAACAGAAAGGGTATTGATATGTTTGGTATCTAGGGTTTGAAGGGTCGTTTTATAGGGAAGCTAAGGCGGTATATGGTGTGGCGAGAAGGGTATAATAACAATACGACACCCACTCCCATTTAAAGCGCGTGTCTTTCACTACCATACCCTTGTTAGTTACCTAATTAGTAGAACCTTTAGCTTTTCCAAGAAGTATCGTATTTGAATTCTCCATTTCCCAAGTTTATCAGGATAAAATAATAAAATTAATTAAAAAAACTCAACTCTGTTTTTAAAGTTACACAATCTTTATCGACGGAGCACTCTTAACATTTTGAGTATGCTCTTGCTCTCAGATTTCGCTCTCACTTAAATTCTCATTACTTATTACTTAATTCTGCCGCTCTCGAATTCGCTCCCACTCACTCACTCCCACTTTTATGTGACTTAACTCTTTTCTTTACGTATTAGTTTATTTTTCACTTTTTAAAAATCATTTTTCTTGTTTCTCCTATTAAAGATAATAACTCTACAATTTTATAGGGAAAAACTAATATATTGCAAATTCTTTTATAAATTATTTATAGTCATTGAATTCAATTTATTTATCACAATTTAGTTGCTGGTAATTTTTGTAAAAATATTTTGATAATGGCTAAGTACTTTTTATACTGATAAGTGAATAATAATAAGAGGGAATTTTTAATACTAATTGAATTCAATCAATTGAATTAAGCTTATTAGGATCTGGTTATGATAAAAATAAAATAGTAAAGAGTAATGACTTAAGGCATACTTGGTATGTAACTCTCCGAAAATAGTTATAAAAAAATAAAGAATAATTTTCAGAGAACTATAAAAGATTATTCTCTGAAAACAGGCATTAACTGAGTTTTTAAAAAAGTGAATCAAGCAAAATATTTTGTACAATTTTATGTTTTTAATTTTTCAAGAATAAAAAATTATTTTCATAGTTACAAATCAAGCAAACCCGACTTCTTTTGTGAAGAATTTAATTTTCTTGGTTATAAAAACTAAAAATACAAATAAGTACTTGAAAATATATAAGAGCAAAATTTTTACGAATGTATATTAATTCTTGTGTATATTAGATTTGAGTTGTTTCACTTCAAATTAAGAATGATGTTGTTCTAATAAAAGATATTTTTAAATTTTTTTCAAAAAGAAAAACAAAGAGTTGGTACAAATAAATTGGTATGAAACTAATGCGTCTACGTGTGTTTACATTTCTCATAATTCACTAAAATTTGGATGAAATTTGAGCAAGATTAGTAAAATATTTTTGCAATGTAAATAGTAAATAAGTAGAAAAATCTGAAAAAAAAAAATGAGTGAGAACAAAATTCATATTTTTAAAAAATCAAAAATATTCATAACTAATGTGCTACAGTCGTACTCCGTATAGTGGTTTGGTACGCGCGCTCTAGAAGCACGTTGGATTGTTGATTTTTAGGACTTTTTAAAAAAATTAATTTTAAAACCCGGTAAAAAGCGAGTACATGACGTGTCCGAAAAACCAGCGGAAGATAGTAGTTATCCACGGGTTTGACATCTTAACCTTCTATTTCCTGAGAATTACAAGAACACCATCTCGTATCGTCCTAGTGCTTCTATTTTGTTTTTTATGTGCTTAATTTTTTTCTACCACTAATAATTTCAAAATCAATTCAGGTTTCGCTTGAAACTTAGGGAAAAAAAAAAAAAAAACAAAGAGGGAGAAAGAATAATATTAGTTACGTGATAAAAAAATAATAATAATATTAATAATTTACATTCATATTTTAATGGGCAGCAGTGAAAATAAAGGAAATACTAACTTAAGAAAAAAAAATGATAACAATTGAATTAGTATCAAACCCTTCATCAATAATTTTGGAGTGAAAAGAAAAAAAATGCTAATATTCTTATTATTAGTCCATATTAGTATTGAGGACGGATACATTCTCACTAATTATGATCTAAATATTGTTCAAATATAATTATAAGGAAAATAATTTAGACTTTTCTTGATTTGTAATTCTGAGAAATTTTTTGTTTTTTTAAAAAATTGAAAACAAAAAACGGTGTAAATTTTTTTACTTTTTTCTGAAAACTATTTTCTAAAAACTCAGTTAAAAAAAGTTCTGTTTTTTAGATAAATGTCTTTTATTGTTCTCTACAAATTGTTTTTTGTTCTGTAAATTCTTAATAACAGTTTTCAAAATTAGAAACTAAACATACCCTGATCCAATCACAAATACACAAATAATCGGTAATTAAAAAAATTTGGAATGTAATAAATAAGAAAATCTGAGAGATTGATTGAATTTATTTCAAAAAAAACTCTCTCATATTTCCTTTTTTATCACTACATATTTTGTAATCACAAATTATTTATACATTTATGATTGGACCATATTACCTACTCACCAATAAATAAACAATATAATCCAAATCTAAATTTAAGTCAAAGGTATTTTTGATTACATATATATATTTGTGAAGCATATTTGCCCTTAATTGCTGGATTAAATTTTCAAATCCTCAATTTCTTATCAATGGAGGTCAATGTACCAGTTCTGGATTTTTGACTATAGTGTAAACCAATCTCTGACCCATTCAACATTGACTTGATCCACCAATTAATGAGTGTGCAAACATAATTTATCACAAGACATGCGTAATTCATCTGTCTCATATGCCTTGGATAATTCATTAGAAAATTTGTGTTTTTTTGAAAGTGGTCTCAAGAAAATTCGAACTTCAAATCTCTTAATAATTTAAACTCCACTAATTTGATTGTTTAATTAAACTTTAAATTTCAGGTCAAGTTCAAAATTAATATTTAAGGATAAATTACATTAATTTTTTATGAGTTTCGTCAATATACACAAATCTCCCCTTTTGTTTGCCAAACTGCACCGACCTCCCCTAAAGTTTGTATCTTTGTAACACTGAATTCCCTTTTGTTAAAGACTCTTAATGGTTAACTCAGTCAACGATGTAAACATTTTTTTTTAATCAAAACTTCCAATAGTACCCTTTTCATTATTTTCTTAACCACTGAAAATCAATACCCTCCAACCTTTATATTACATAATAGGTAAACCGATGCAAACATGTGCACTTCAAAAGAAGTCAAACGACAACTTGCAAGTTTTATCTCTTTTCCTAATTTTCTTTCCCCTTTCTTAGCTTCACATAACAAGTGTAATCTTTATTTTTCTCTCTCCTCTTATATTATTTCAACCCTTTCAACTCTAAACCAATCTCGATTAAATCTGGAAGTAAATTAGTTTTACACAACTCTCAATCTATGTCCTATTTTTTTTTTTCCAATCTAATTATATCCAATCCGTTGTTTCAATTGTATCATAAAAACTAGAGTTTGCAAAAAAAATTGGACAAGGAATACTTGCCACTGGCAAGAAAATCTTAAACGGGCTAAGATAATGAGAAGAAGAAAAAAAAAAAAAATTTGATTGACTCATATACTAAATCACCCACTTCCATATACCACCGTGATCAATGTCTGTAGCAGCAGTGAGGTGTTCCTCTATCTGTAAGATATATATACACACACACACATATTATAATAGAAAATTTGCATATGGCGAACTATTCATTTTTCTAAATTGACGACGCTAATTGTCTAATAATCTAATTTTAAAGAAAAAATATTGTATAGACAAGAGCTGGGGTCATGGTTTTTGGATTTCAAATATAACAAGAGAATGTTGAAGCTTGTAGAAAGTAACAACCCATGAGTTTAATACTTACTTGAGATGGTTTTGGTTTTGGCTACCAAAAACCCTAAAGCATCCCTTAACGGGTACGAATATATGTTGAAAAGAGGAGAGATGGTGAAATGAGACGTAGTCAATGAGTTTAATGATAGGTGAAATATATTTTATATTTTATTTTTATTTTTGATTTGAAAAGTAATAATAAATATAGATGGGCATTTTGGTCTTTAAAATTTTGAAATAAAATAAAAATATATATATTAAAGACAAAAATATAATTACACAATAATAGTTTACACCATCCCATCTAAAGTTTTGATAGGGAAGGTCCGTGTAATTTGACAAATAAGAGGGAAGGACTGTGTATGTTAACGAAACTTTAGAAAAGGTCAGTGTAATTTACCCTAATATTTATGAGAAGAAAACAAATATTAAAAGGCTAGTTTTCAAATACATATTCTTGAAAATAGTTCAAAACTCAATATAATGAGTTCGGGAAAAAAGAAAAAAAAAAACTCAAAATTTTTTTTACTTGATTTGCAGTACTTGAATTGAAATATTCATGAACAATTAAGTCTTTCCATTTGCCATGACTTGTATTTACTGGGGAAAAAAAATTTTATTACATGATTTTAGTCATTTACTAACTGACAAGTAACGTAATTATTGAGAATAATAATATGGGATCATGTAATACTGTAATAAAACTTTTTTTTCATTCAAAGGGACTAAGGTCAAAAGCCAAGATGACAGAGGCATAAAATCAAGCCAGAAAAGACATACAGATCTTAAAGTAAAGAACAGAGAAAATAGAGCTCAACATTCTGCAAACGGAATCACCATGAGAGAACGTAGTAAATTGAAAAGACTGAAAGGTCTGGTCATTTAATACTGTAATAAATTGACACCTCTTCTTTTATTTCCAAATCAAATTTAACGTGCATACCCTGCTATATTTAATTTGATAAATAAATATGTATCACACTATTTTTAATTTAATAATTAAAATATATATATATTCATTTGTTAGTGGTATACATTAATAATAAAAGTTATATTTAATTTGATAAATAAATATGTATCACATTATTTTTAATTTGATAATAAAAATATATATATTCACTTATTATTAATACACAATAATAATAAAAACGATTTATATTTGACCGAAGTATTGTTGATTTCTCTTATTCACCATTGTTTTGGGAGAAATTTTAGTAGGAAACAACCTAGTTAGTGGTGGTGCCAGCACAAATGTTTTGACCAGCAGACCAGAAAATGTCATTGGTGAAATTAAAGTTGGGACGCGTAAGTTTTGGTTTGTTTTTGCAGAGAGAATAATGGGAGTCATGAAATGCACGTGAGTTTGGTTAGAAATGTAATTTGTGTGGAAAAGAAGGGGTAAAGGTGGAGAAGGAACCTTGGATTCTCCATCTAAAGCGTACAACTGCAAAATTAAGGAATAAGTACACGCGTCAAACATCGAGAGGATTGAGTTTGACGTTTCTGGCTACGTGTATTTATCGCCCGGTCAGAGTCGGTCCACCGACTTCACTTTCATTGCCATTTCTCTCTCTCCGTTTATATTGATATACTCCGTAATATAACAGCTGTCAGCCACAATAAATTATTATTATTATATTATATTTGATTTGATGTTTTGTTTCCAATAACACAAACAGAAGATTTGTGTATGGAAATCAAGGTGGGTCCATGGGCCCATAACTAAAAACAAAGGTCCAAAAAACAAAATAACGAACATTAATTTGTAATATTATCGTTTTGTGCATTATACATAGAACTCTACTCATTGAAGATGCAATAGGCATGTTAAAATATTTAACTCGAATATGCAAAATTCAGTATTGCATTGTTGATGTAAATATGATATGGGTCATAAGTCGAGTTAGTATGTACCACACAATCATTGTACCAAATTAATGATTCAAAATTATCAACTTGTCCGTTGGTAATATTAAAATATGTTGGGAATACGAGCACTTTTCAAGTTAGAAATGGAACTGTATAGGTTCGAAAGTGAACTATGAAATGCTATAAAAGGTGTGACACCGCCACTTGCCTGTTAAGCTATTCATTGATTCAATTCGATTGCAACCCAAAACATGGGAAGCTCATCTAAACGTATTGGCACCAACATAATCATATGAATTGGGATCTACGACCGAACTAAATTGGGATGCTATTTTGGGGGCATATGGACCCGAGAAACTCTTGCCAGCTACAGTATTGGGTCATTGTTGAGCCCATAACTTCCCTCATTCTCAAAAAAATCTTTGTATCGGCCCGTGGTCTGTACTTGTATGATTTAAATCATGAGCTCCTACCATTCCTCATAACTTCAGCATATTCTTTTAATTTTTTATATAGAGATTAATTTTCTGAAAAAATAATAATTAAAAAGCCCACTTTTTCAGAAAAATTCAAAAGTTATAGCCACATTTTTTTTTACTACTACTAATCTACCTGAATAAAGAACGGATAACATTACTTATGAGAGAAAGGAAAGGGAGGGGAAGAATAATTTTAATCATGTATCGTGTTTGGTTAATTAATGAGTTTTATAAAGGAAATAATAATAATCATGTTTGGAAAATATATATATATATATATATATATATATAACTGTTTTAATAAATTTACTATTATAACCTTTTATATTTTAAAAGATAAATTTATAAATTTAACTATGTAATATAAAAATAAATAATAATTTGATAAAAACATTATTGTTCTTTTGAATTCATGTTATACCCGTACCTTTAACTTATATGCTAGATAGGCAAACAAAATATATGCTAAATAGACAAAATAAATGTTACTATTTTAATAAAAATGAGTTAAATTAAAAGTTACCAATAAGAGATGAAAAAAAAAAATAGACTAGAGAATTGCATAATATTTATGCGACAAATGCATCAAAAATATGAAACAATTATTTCAGTGATAAATTATATAAATTTGTCACAAATAGAATGCGGAAACAATTACTCCATATTTCAATGATAAATTATTAGACAAAGTCCAAAAAACCCCCCTCTGACTTTCACGCTTTTCCACTAAATCCCCTGACTATTTTTATTCCAAAAAACCTCCTCAACTATCAAGGGGTAACATATTCCACGATATGCTAACTAATAATGCAAAATGACTAAAGTATCCATTAGGCAAAATTTGTGAATTGCCATCATCCATTGTGTTGAGCAAAAGCCATTTTTTTCTCCTTTTCAATTATGAGTTTGTCAAGATAAATTATATCTGGACTTTATTCTTAGATTGTTTTGCTCTCTCTTGATCAATATTTTTTTAGGGTTTTTTTTGTATGATTTATCTGGACTTTTTTCTTTTCTTTTTCCCTTTGGTTTGGGGTATACCCTGTTTTTTTTTATACTATAAATAGAATACTCACAAATTCAATTTTTTGTTTCCTGTATGTCTTATGGATTATTGATTTTGTTTCCAATTTTTTTTATTTTTTTATTATTACTCCTTTTTCTTCAGACTCATTCAATTTCATAGAAAACCAAACCAATGTGAACAAATCACACTCATATAATTATTTTTTAATTTCGTATTTAATATGTATCTATATATAAGCTTGTTAAATGCATTAATGTATTAGATCAATAGTTTTATTCTATTTAATTGCTTCAAACACCACCAAATGGTGTTCATGATAATGGGTTTTGACTTTTGTGTACTGAGTTGTGTGTGTGTGTGTATTTTTATTTTTTTATTTTGTCATGTACTAAGTTGGGTTGGGTGTACGTGATTTGTTTCAAAGACTAGGGTTCATCTTTCTATACACTGCATAAAAGATTTTTTCCATGTAGAACAATATTTGAATTGGTATAAGGGTATTATTGTCTCAAAAATATTTAGAAAACAATTAATATACACTTTTGCCTTCTCAGTTAACATCTAATTGATTCTGTTAACCCCTCTCATAGTTGAAGGGGATTTTTTGAAATAAAAATAGTCAAGAGAGGTTTATTAAAAAGAGTGAAAGTCAGGGGTTTATTGAACTTTGCCCTAAATTATATAAACTTCTCACAAATAGAATGTCAGAAACAATTATTTATGGGCCTCAAAATTTATAGGCCCATGGATGATGGGCCACCAGGAAAAAAAAAAAAATTTAGGGCAAATTATTTCAGCCACCCTAATCGGCTCCATCTCTCGTTCTCAACTCTGAACTCGCGCTCTCTCTCGCTCTGCAACTGCAAACTACAAAATCTACAAGAATCGGAAGTTCACCATATATTTGAGTTTGTCTATCTGTCTGCAAGAATAAAAAGTTCAGCCACTCGCCGCTATGCACTATAGAAAGGTTCAAGCCCTTTCACCTTCTTTTTGACACAAACAAATCGGGGAGCGTCCTTCCTCGTTATATGAAATCAGTCCTTCTTACGGCTCTAGAGGCCCCTTATGCAGCGGAGGTGACAACACCCAGAAATCCGGGATTTAGCACCCAAAACCCATATCGGCATATCATTTCAGATTGTTCAAAAAATCAAAACCCATATCTTTCAGTTTCCATCGCCCGCTGTTCCAGTTCGGGTTCGCCGTTCGCAAGCTTCAGCCGCTGTCTCTCAACTCTCGAGCTTGCCCCCCTCTCTCTCTGCAACTGCTAACTTGCATGACCCTCGTCTCTCTCTCACTTCCAAACCCAAACCCACTCTCCACCACCCCCACTCTCTGTAAAAATCATTGCGTCGAGCTTCCTTTCAATGGCGGCTTCCGATTACATTCGAAACATGCATGACATCTCTCTCAAGCCTCGTCTCCTCCGTTCGCTGATCAAAGAGCACGTCCCAGACGACAAACACGCGTTTCGAAGCCCTTTCGAGCTCTCAAACGTTGTTTCCATTCTCAAGACTCACCGCCTCCTCTCCGAATTTGTCCCCCCACAATCCACCGATCCAAAACTCGCCGAAAACTGGAAAGTTGCCGTCGATGCATGGCTCAATCGAGTGTTGATGCTCATCTCTCACAACATGGTGACTTTCAGCTCTCATTCTGCGTTTTCAATACATACATACATATACATATATATTTATATCTTCTGTATAAAAAATAATCCCAAACTAGAATGTATTGGGCAAAGCCCCTTAAGTCAGTTAAACTCTTCTTTTTCGCCTCAAATACAGATACCATTGGCTGAATTTATAGAAAGCTAAATTTTATTATTTATCTAGTTGTATAATCGTTATAATAAACATATAAATAATTAATGTTGAATTTTTTTTATTATTTAGCTAAATTTGTTTATTTATCTAGTTGTATAATCGTTAGGTTGAAAATTGGTAATATAGTATTCTTTATTTCAAAATTGAAATAATTATCACGGGCTAATCCTCCACAAATTTATCAATTTTGTGGGTGATAATATTTCACACCTATTAGAACTTGATGTTTTCATTCCTTGATAAATGCAGTGATGTTTTCATTCCTTGATATGATGTATATATGGTGAATTTCAGCTCATTCTATATATTATACTTACACACTGTGTTCTCTGTATTAATGTGTGAGTTTATTCAAATAAAAAGGTTGCGAGGAGGATAAATTAACTGTTTATTTATTTGATTACACGATTATGTTATAGCCAGATAAATGTTGGGCGGGAATCTGTTTGCTAGGGGTGACTTGTCAAGAATGCAATTCCAATCGTTTCCTATCATCGTATACCGTTTGGTTCCAAAAGCTTCAATTGAATATTCAGGTATTCAAATTAAATTCATCATATACTGTTCTCTAGTTATCATAATTTTGGTCATGCTTGTAATGAGATATCGGGGTTGTGAATGGGATTTTAGGAAACCTAGCCTATGACTAGGCTAAGCGTGTAAAGGGAAACAATTACCAAAGGAAAGCCAAAGTTATGAACTTTTCTTGTAAAATTGTTATATTTTATTTATATAATTCATGATGAGTATATATACATATGTCTATATTGCTCATTCAAATATCTTACATGGGTAGTGATTTCTTATGTTTAAGCAGTCTCCAGCGGGTTCTCATTTTGTTAAGGTGGCTTCTTGTGTCTCAATGTCAGATCTGTTCACAAGGTTTGTGTTTATATTTATTGCTATCATACTATTCTTTTTTACCCTTGACCACAAATATGTAAAAAAGGCAATGTATACTTTTTATATGTTCTTTTTTCTAAGAACTTATCTTCCTATATGATTAGGTGATAGCAACTGAATTGTTGAGAATGTTTTAAAATTACGGGTTATACTAAGGAGGATCGCGTATGTGGATTTCACTGCTCATTAATTTTAGAAGCTATTATATACAGTAGAACAGTTGGTGGCTGCCATCCATTCACAAAGTGTTGTTACTTCTTCTCATGTCACTGGTGCATGGTTTTTCAGATGACATATATGTTTTATCCAGATCTATATTTTATGATTGATCATGTTGATGTTAATCTTACACATATTACACAGCACTTGACACATTTGATTTACAAATAGTAATCCTCATATGATTTCCTTGTTACCTTCTTAGTTAGCCTGTTCCTAACTATTTTGTCCATTTTTCCTGAATTAGGTTGGGTGAATTTCCTAATGCAAAAAAGGATGGGACTTCCCATGCTGCAAAACTGGTTCAACCAGTTTTAAAGTTGTTAAATGAGGAAAGCTCAAATGCTGTATGGGTTAGTATAGTTTTTATTAGAATTTTCTCTCCTACTTTGGCCATTGAGCTATACCTGCTACAAATGCCTGAAAGCTTCTCTAATTGTTTTTATTTTTAAAAGAACAGCAGGGGTTTTCCAACTGATGTTGGCTCATTGTGTATGTCATTTGATGTTGTTGAAGGTTACCTTCTAAGTCATCTATTGTTATTAATTTGTTGTCTGAAAGGCATTATGTTCATAGAGACTGAAAATTAAAACATGCTTGAGTTGAACTATGTAATTATCAGTTAAAAGATTAATTTAGCGTTTGAATAAATGCCATAACCTTTTTTGTATGTCAGTATTGTTACTAAATTATAACTTATCTCACGTGAGTGTAAGTCTTTTGGGCCTATAAGCAATCCACAACATCATGGAGAGAAATAGGTCTTGTTAGATGAACTATACAAGTGTATCTTGATCAAATTTTGCGTTTAAACCATTGTTCTCTGAGGCTCAAGTCATGAAGTTTTAAGATGTGAATTATATCCTCTCCCTCCCTCTCTCTCTCTCTCCTCTTCATGCATACGCATATACTGCATTCTATACCTTATTGTTGAACATAGAAGAAGCAAGATTATGGAGAGGGGGTTGGGTGGGAGCACAGGCTCCAGGGTTCTGGAGGATGGCGCCTTTGTGTCTTTGGTGGTGTTTGTGGAGGGAGTGAAATAGAAGATCCTTTGAAGGAGAGGAATCTTCCATCACTGTTCTGAAATCTTCTGTGATTAGTCTTTGTTTTTGGGGTTCGGGTAGACTCTCCTCTTCTGCTGAGGAGACTATTGAGTTTTTGGCTTCTTTGGGGCCTTAGGGTACCAAGGTTTTTGTGGTTTGTTAGGGATGCATTCCCCTTTTGAACGTTTTTTTTTTTAATGAATTATTTATTTATATAAAAAAAAATGTATCACTTTATAGTGCATACCACTTCTACCCTCATTAGGATATTATTTTCACTAGAATTTTCGTTGAATTTGGGCATATATTTTGTCCTGTATCTACTTCCATCTGTAATTTTTGATATGCATTATTATGTAGATTTATTTCTATTTATTCAATTGACATCCTCATTGTGGTGATTGGTTGAGCAGGAAGGAGCTATTTGTTTGTTATGCACCATTACAACTTTCTTTCCATCTTCTGTCCATCGACATTATGACAGTGTAAATTCTTTTATCTTTTATTCTGATTTTTAATTATAGTGTTAATATGATATCTTTGAAATCAGTTGGTGGTAGTTCCTTTTAGTGTACTTGTGTAACATATCATGAAAAGTCTCAATTAAGAAGGAAAAGGGAAAAGGAAAAAGTTAAACATTGTGCCTATTTCAGTTTGTCATATAATTTACAATACCAATCTGTATTCTTTAACAGTTAACCCATGTTAAATCTAAACCAATATCTAGTAACTGTGTGCATCTAGAAGCTCAAAGGACCATGCAATAACTGTAAACACACTGTTGCAAATCAAATAATTATGGGCATGACATGTATTCAAGGCATGCACGAGCCCATGGTTGTAATAGTGGATTTTCCTTGCAAGAGCCAACCAAATTCTGTTTTTTGTTGGATTGGATAATTGTGCAATGTCCATGTTAATGCTGCTGCAATTGATGGAATAATATTTGCATGATGACCTGACTTGTGAGTACTAAATATTTTGGTCAGGCTGAAGCTGCTATTGTTTCAAAGATTATGTCAGGGAAATGCAGTTTTAATCTGTTGAAGGTGAGAATATTTCTTTATGCTTTAGTTGGCAGTGTCTAGCATGTGGTAACAAAATGCAATACCACAAGCACATGAATTATTTGGTTTCTGTGTTCAGAAGCTTGGTCATTGCTTAGCATTACTTCCAAAATCAAGAGGAGATGAGGATAGCTGGTCATTGATGATGCAGAAGATTTTATTATCAATTAATACTCACCTGAATGATGCCTTCCAAGGTCTGGAAGATGGTATGTAATTCGACTCTGTTGAAAATGCTTTTGCTGGTCTTAGTGGGAACTAAAAATTCGTTTCACACAATGCAGAAACTGCAAGTCGCAAGGCTATGACGGTATTGCTTGCCTCGGGAAAAGATCCCCCACCTCCCTTAGGAGGCCAGACAACGATAAAGGATGCCCCAGACCAAGCAACAAAGAGGCCTGAGCGATTGTTGATGTCCAGTGTCTCTACCTTGATGCTTTGCTGTTGTACAATGCTTACAAGTTCTTATCCTGTTCAGGTAGTATCATATGATTATGAATTTTCTACAGATTTCTACGTGTTATTAAATAAGTATATCATAAATATAATTTATTTATGTCAACAGGTAACTATTCCTGTTCGGCCCTTGTTAAACCTTGCTGAAAGAGTGCTTATGGTGGATGGCTCTTTGTCACAAGCCTTATTTCCCTATATGATTGCCATGCAACAAGAATTCATCTGTTCAGAACTTCCAGTTTTGCATTTGTACAGTTTGGAACTTCTTACTGCAATTGTGAAGGGATTGCGCAGGTGAACCATGATATAACTGTATTTTGATTTTGATTTTCGTATATTATTTTCAAGGAGTCCATAGCTTTTTCCGTTTATCTATTTATATATATATTTATTTTGTATGTGTGTGAAACCGAAACATTGACTTTCTGGTGATGTTGAGCAGTGCCCAGCGCACTGGACCAAACAGGTCCGGGGGAGTTTGAGTTCCTCCGTCGCCGGTTGACGATGGCGCCCGGTCTTCGGGTCCGGCTTACCTTCCTTCATTTATCCTCTCAGCGGAGAAGGCTGCAGAACGGATTGGACCTCACCAGAAAAACAAGAGAGTATTGATAATTAGCTTTAGCACATATGATGAAAACTCTTTTCAAAGTGAAAAACTAGCCCTTGGAAGCCCTATTTGGCCTTGTACCGTTTCTAATGGATGCGTTCCCCATTTGAACGCTTTTAATGAATTCTTACTTATCAAAAAAAAAAAAAACTAGGTCGAGGAGATGTTTGAGAACTGTATATGAAAGGGCTGTTACTAGATAAAATACTGCTAGCCTTCACCATTTCTTTCTTAAGATTCCTTATAATCAATACAAGTAAAAACTGCCCTCTCATTATAATAATTTTTTAGGACAGGGCTGTCTTAACAGGAATTTACTTAAATCTGTTGGATGCTGGTAAATTTTTTTGGCACTTTTGGCATCTATTTTACAACATATTCCTTGAACAAGTACTTATATATAAAAAAATAATAATAATAATAATCCTTTAACACGCAGGCTTCTTCTCGTTGTAGATTCATTTATCCATTATTCTTAACTCATCTAAATCCCAACAACTATGAATCTCAATCGTATAGCCATATAGGAAATACATACAAATTTTAAGAACAGGAAACCGCCATTTCTTTGTATGTGTTTTCTATTGGTTTGATGTTGTACATGTGACAGTATAGTTTTGGTTTTGTCTTGGGAATGTCACGGATACACTTATGCAGAAAAAATCATGATTACTTGTTTCTTCTCATAATCTTAAAGGTTTCATTTGGGCAATAAACATTCAAGGAAAGGAAATGGTGTAGGCTTATGGTAAGAACAAAGAATTATTTGTGGTCAGTGTTTGTGGCATTTGGCTTTAAAATCAAATTCATTGGATAAGATGAGAAATATAAGACGAAATGAGATGTGAAAGGATGCTTCATTTATAAAAAAATAAAATAAATAATAATGTGAAAGGATGCTCTATCAGATTTCTTATCAAGAAAAGGAAGCTATTATGGACTGTGAACAGTACTCAGTAAAAAATGGTCCACGAAAGAAGGAAAAGACACTATGAAAGGAAAAATCAAATTGAATATGGTGTTTGGCTACCCCTTAGGATTTTTTGTACTTGTTACATTGGTGGAAAAAACACAAATTACATTTATTGAAAGCTTTCCTTCACGAGTGTGTACAAGAATACTACTCCTATATATTGGATCATTGCTGAGCTTGTATCTACACTTTTTGGTAGGTAATGCTTGGGTCTTACATCTGTACCTTTATTTATTATATGGCCTTCCTTAGCCGCCTCTTTTTTTTTTTTTTTAATAAAATTATTCAGATGGATGCTCGAAATGTTAGATGATTAGATCCATGCAACATTAAGTATCAACTTCTTATAAATTCTAAATAGTAGAAAATCAATAACGTGTCATTTGGAAGAAAAGTTAGTCTGTATTTTTATGACTCGAGATTTTACATCTGTTTCAGATTTTTGGTTCTCTCTCTCTTTGATTTCATAATGGTAGTTCTTGCATTGTAATGAATTGTTTTGTACATTGAACCTGCTGCTGTATCTCAATGGGATTTGAAATATTTAGTTTTGTGGAACATGCATTTCCAACTAGAATTATATGGGGCACAATCCTTGAATACAACGGTATTTTTTAGTATCTCATTTTTTCAAAACATGTACTACTTATTAAAAACTTTTCTTTCCTCCATTTTTATCCATCTCTTCAAAAAGATATAGGTGCTCACCCTATCTAATGTTAAAATTTTGCTTTGCAGTCAACTATTACCACATGTTGCAGATATTATACGGCTACTGAAGGAGTATTTCGGGAAATGTGCACTGCCAGAGCTAAGGATAAAACTCTATTCTATCATAAGAATTTTGCTGATCTCCCTGGGGGTTGGTATGCAAATTTTTTTAATAAATATTTCCTTTTTATTTTCTCTTTTTATTTTTATTTTCTCTTTTTTTTTTTTAACACTGAGAATGTTTCAAGTGCTAATATTCCCACTATGGTTCATCACCGATATCTCTTTGCCTACGCAATGCAAGTTTCTGAAATATCTTCTCACTAATATTTTACATGAATGTACGATATGCTTTTCTTTATGCATATGGCCAATGTATTGTTGATCCATTGCCTGTATACTAAAATCATGGTTTCAAAAATCAACTATGACAATTGCATGACTGTACTGTGGGTCCTTATCCTGTTATGTAATGCAATTGTGGCAGGAGGCCATTTTGCATGCATAGAAGCCATTACAACCTCCTATCACTACATAATGGCTATGATGCCCAGTAATTGAGCCTTTTGTCAGCATGTGAATTTAAAAAGCCCACTTTGTTAGATTTCAACCTTCTTCTTTTTCCTATTTTATTTAAAGATCTTGTAAGATGCATTTTCAACTTTAACCTACCATGTAGAAATTATAAAAGACAAATCTCAAAAACAAACGTTAAAGAGGACCAATAATTGAATACATCCAATGTAGGAGACTGACTTTGCCTCAACACTCTTCCTGTTGTTCAGTTGCTTAGGCTGATACTCCTGATTTTTTAGCTAAATTCTACTAACATTAAGGTTGAAAATTAAGTGTTACAGCGTGATCTAAGTCCTCCTTTCTCATTTCATCAACTATTCATGATGAATTTCAATTTAATTCATTAGAGAGATTTCAACTGTTTTTTAGCATTGGGCATTAGCCTAGATGAATAATCTCTCCTCCAAAGGGGAGGTTGAGAGTTTGAGCCTTGCTAGGGGCAATATTGTGGTCTTGCATTTGCTTGAACTTTCTAAAAAACAAAAACTCTGTTTTAATTAATACAGTCATAATTACTAAAATTATAAAGGAAAAAAGAGAATATTTCCCATTTCTAGGGACTAAAAATTTGATATAAAAATGACTGTGTACTAAATATCATTGCAGGTTACTCACTAAAGGTCATTAAATTATCAGTCCATGGGATTTCGGAGTTAAAACACGTATATCCCTACTATTGAATAGAGTTGTGCAACCAATAACAATCATGGCTCCGGCCACTTTCTGTTACATAAAGTCTTTTATATGTGTTCGTGTCACAGCTGCAACGATGTCTGAATATGTGATTCAAGACGCTTGAAAAAAAGAAGGGGGGAAATTTGGGCAGTAATCTCCTTGCAAACTAAGTCAGAACTATCTTTACAATTATATATTATGAAGCTTGTAGACCATGTTACACTAAGGGAATTAAAATTGCATTGTATCTTCCTTTGGCATGTTATTTTAGGGGCAACCTGCCATGACATTATTTTTTGGTGCTAAGGTGTCTGCTCAACTCGCACAATCATAAGACTGCTTTTGAGTTGAGCTTCTCTCTCTTCCAATCGCTGGTTGGGATTCATTAGCCCTTACAGTTTGAAGGCACACAAATTTGCATTCCCATTCTTAAATCCCTATACCTTTTTATCTACCAGAATGTTACAGCCTCCTCAACTAGCCTCGTTTAAAATTGCGAATAAATTGAGCTCCGGACACGGCCTAGTGATAGCATCCTTTCATTAGTATTATTAACTGTTGGGTGATATGAAACATCCAGTCTGTTCAATGTTAACTAAGGAATCAAAACCTGGAATCTTCGTTCATTTCTGTACCTTTAATGAAAATCAACTATGTGCTCTCATCTAGTTGGGCTTCGTTAGTCTCACCACCTCATAATGTTTTCAATTCTTGGTCTTTAAATCGAAATTATAGATCTGTTTGTGTTTGTGTGTGGCTTTGCTAGTAGCATGGGCCAGCTTTTATTTGCTGATAGAAATTCTTTATGTTAGTGTTTTAATAATGATCTCCTTTCTCATGAAATTCAGGTTTGTTGGTTTTACTAATAAGAATGTATATCAAGCAGGAACAGCAATATACCTAACCCAGGATGTTATCAACAATGTATTTGTTGATTTGGAGTTTAGTGTCTCTGACAGTGGTGGTACATCCAATGCATACTCAAATTACCCTAACGAGGCAATGCTGCAGCCTTGTAAGAAGAAAAGGAAACATGCGACAACAACTGGGGCTGTTGAAGAACAGCCTGATATAGTTTGTTCAGAAGCTGAAGTGCACAAAAACCATCCTCCAAATTCTGTGAAGATAGCTGCGCTAGAAACTCTAGAAGCTCTTCTGACTGTGGTATGTGTTTTATGTATATTTTTATGGAGAATGTTCAATAAGAGCCTCTATTTCTTTATGACATTCTGCATATCATAAACTGTCATTCATTTGGGAGGGCCTTCTATTTGATTAATCCCTCCAGCATTTCTGTTCTCATTTCCATTAATTCGTTTTACTGGGTGGAGCTATACGTTTAACCACTCCAACATGCTTCTGAAAAATTTATGGTTTGAATTCACACTTGAATTCTAGAAGTGCATTTCGGTAGCATGGTGAATTGGAGGCTGGAGTGGCACTTTTGCAGCTGACCTGAATAGGTTCATGATCGTTTTGTGTTAAATTGACAGAGGAAGTATAAAGAATCCACTTATTTACCTAAAAAAAAAAAAAGTATAAAGAATCCACTTGTTGAATCTTGATTGTTTGAATTAATTGAAGGTTCTACAATATTTTCCAAGTGGATAACCCTTTTTATATCTCAGATTTGTAAATAACCCCATATAATATCAATTTAGCTATACTTCTGAAAAAACTTCCAAATTACCCCCTGCAGTTTATTTTCCTTTAGAAAATGTATGGAAAAGAGTTGTGTGCGCCTCACATGACATATTAATGTTATTTTTTGACCAATATGTCATTTTTATTGGACCCAATTACACTTGGAAAAAAATATATGGAATAATTTTGTTGGGACTCAAATCTGGGGGAAATGGGTTGTTATTTCAACATGACATCCTAGGCTTTTAACTTAATTTTGGACAATATTTGTTTAATTTTATTACTCAAGATCAATTTTTAACTCACTCTTTTTTCATTTATATTCTATAAGGGCAATTATGTAATTTTATTACTATGCTAATTGCTAAAAGACGGAACGGGGTTATTCGCAAATAAATTTTTATTTATGCTATCAGGGGAGTTATTTGTAAGTGCGGGATAATTCGAGGTGGTTTTTTGAATTTTGTCCATAAAATTATAATACACGGTCTCTTAACTCTTCTTAAGACTGAGTTCCTTTTTCCCTGTGAGATTCAACACCTTTTCCATGTCGCAAATTAGCTAATTCATCTCAAGATGGCTTCTAAAAAAACAATTTTAATGGACTAATACGCTCTTATATCTATCCATGGGGATGATCACCTCCAACGAGCCTCAACTAATCCCAGACACGATCAATTACCAGCTTAGTGTCACCCTCAACTTTTTTTTTTTTTGCTCTCCATAAATCACCCTTAACTTCAATAGATACTATCTATTTTCTTAATTCCATTACATAATTTATCTTGGGGTTAAGTGCACTAAACCCCCCCTGATCTTTCTTCTCTCTCCCAAGAAACCCCCCTTAACTATCATTTTGACACTTAACCCGAACTATTCCGTTTGTTGCAAAAAATAAAAAAATTGTTAGTTTGCCGTCTCATACTTAACGTTAAGGGGAGGCATGCGACTCATGTGCCTTGGCCAAAGTTTAGAATTCCAATATATACCATTATGACCGTTATAGACAATTATATATACATATACATCTTATATATATATTTGACCAAAAACCCCAAATTGAATAAACCCTATCATCGTTCTCAGCAATTCTATCTTGTTCTCTCTCGATTCTCAGCAATTCTTTCTCGTTTGCTCCCACATTCTGTTGATTATCTCTACCATCTTCAGCTCACGCTCTCTCTCTCTTCAAAGGAGAGTGAGAGCTTAGGGAATTGAAGAGTAATTGGGGGCAGTCTGTTGCAGATCATAGGGTGGATAATAGGAAGAGTATTGTTGGTGTGGTGCTGGTGGTGGTGGCTGGTAAGGCCCCTGTGGACGGAGAGGGAGGAAGAGGAAGATCAGGTTTTTGAGGATAGGAAGTATTTGGGAGGTTATGTAATTGCAGAGGGATGAGCAGAGTAATTCGAGGGAGAGTTATTGGTGGTGAATGGAGGTGCAAAGGCATATGTAGTTGACGACAAAGGGTTTGGGTGGTTATGGTGATCGATTGGATTTAGATTAGGGCTAGGGCTAGGGCTAGGGCTAGGGTTTTGAGGGCATTGGTAGTAAGGGACGAAGCTGTAATAATCACCTTGTTGCGTTGTTAGCTTATTAGTAGAAGAAAGAGAGAGACGATGAGGAGAGAGAGAGTTGTGCATGTTCTGCTGATATTGTTTTTTTGAGAAACAATCAGACTGATTGGATTGATCCAGAGGTATTGTCTCTCTCTCCATCTTCACCTTACTTGGTGTTCATACGGTTAAGGGTGTTGTTTGGGCTAGAAATTGTTATAGGTGTTGTTTGGCGCCACAAATAGATGTAACCAAAGCTTGTTGATAAGGTTTCTTTGTTAGTTTGTTGTGTTGTCGCTATTCTATTGGTTAGGAGGATTACATTGCCACATCAGCATCTCAAGCTAATAAACAAGTGAAATGTTGTAGTTCAACTAGAGGGCTAAAATGTAATTTTGCCTTTCTGTTTAAGTTGGGTTGACGGATTGCCCTTGCTTGCAACAATCTTATAATTTGGGGGATTTTTTTTAGTTCAGGGGGGTTTCTTGCAATTGGGTCATAGTTTAGGGGGTTTAGTGTACTTAACCCTTTATCTTGGCTCTTGCTTTAGTTGTTGAAATTTATTATTCACTTGTGTTATTGGTAGCCTGCATTCCCAAATATTTCTTATATTATTCTGGGTGGCTGCCTTTCTCCACCCTCTGTAAAGCCTAAGTTCCATACACCTTTCATAGGAGCTGATCAATTACATGAATAAAAAAGATCAACTTTGGAGCAGTATCATGGTGTGACTATGTTCCTGCTACAGTTACAGTATTAAAATGGGCATTATTGTTTCTTTCTTTTTTACTTCAGTTATAATGAATTTTAAAATTAGAAATTGTATGGCCATGGCTTGGTGTTATTAGGGTTCTTGACTTATTTAATCATAAATAGAAGTTAAAACAGATGTATAATGGAATTAATTATTATTAACAAAGGGAAAACCTCCTACACTGGTGCTAATCAAAGGAACTCTAATATTCTCAACAGAACAATGGAAACTCAGATGGGGCTTATAGAAAAAAAAAGCACGAACTTCTAGACATATTAGACACTAGTCTTGGAAAAGACTTCAAAGTAGAAGTCGATGCCTAGAAATTTGTGCTTTCCTTCGAGGCAAACTAGAGGTATCAAAGTAGAAGTTGTTGAATTTTCTAAGAAGATGCAGTGAAGGTATTCTTGAATTGAATTCACCGTTAATTTATGATGAATATGTGGATTACAATGATGCATTTAATAGTGATTGCTTAGACCAGCTCACAATTATTAATTGAAGTGCCCCAAGAGAATGGATTCTACTATCATTATTTTCCCTCCATGATATATAATTGGTATTTCTTTAGCTGGTATAATGAGACATAGTCAGTCTTTCTTTAGTATAACATTGAATCCTGAAGAAATGCATGTCCTTTGATGCAAAAATGTTGTTTGATTGTATTTGGGAAAATTTTTATGAATGCGAAGCACTTCATGAAGCAACAGGGTTGCCAATATGTTTATATTATGTGAAGATGCTTATATAGGTTCCCAAATTTTATGAATGCGAAGCACTTCATCATGCAACAGGTTGCCAAGATGTTTATATTATGTGAAGATTATTTTATAGGTTCTAGTAGTTGTCATTCCATTGTTGATGATGAACAAGTTACAATCCAAGTTTGCAGTTAAATATTTTTATCAAATTATCAGTAAGATATGGCTTTTTTTTTTTAGTTTGTATTATTTGGCCACTAGAAGCTTGAGCTTTATATTTATAATACGAAGCAATTTTTCTTTAATTTTATTAAATGTTAACTCGGTCATATCTCCTCGGAGTTGCCCTTTCTGCACAGTAATGTAGATACTTCTTCGGTAACAATTCCAATTCAAAATAGACATTGAAGTCCTTCATTACTTGAGATGTCATTTTCGAGGGTATAAATTTAATACGGACAAACCTAGACCTTAAATATCTCACTTAATGCAACTTCTAAAACTTTATAGCTTACTGGAGTTCCAATTGTAATGGTCAGAGCTATTGCAATGTGGTGGTCAAAGTGCTGACATGGCATCTAAAGGGAGACTCTCATGGATTCAATTCTTATTGCCATCAACCGAAAAAAATTTCCAAATTGCAATATTATGTTACCTTATCAAGGAGCATCAACACATTTCTTTTCCTTCAAATTTTATTTCTTGTTGAAGCATATGGAGACTAGTGCACCTTCATTTTCTTGTCCATTTCTATGTTGGAATTCGAAATTTCATACTAATTTTCTTTCACATATCAAAGGTAAAATAGCTTACAGGATTATATTAGGTGCCGTAGATTGTTTTCTCAAAGTTTCCTTGACATGACTGAAATGCTCATTATTGAACCATTTAGTTGGAATACTTTTCTCATCTGTCCATCTTACATAATTTCTGTGTATATTAAAAACTTTCAAGATGGTTATGCTCTTGATCAGCTATTGACAAAACTTTTTCCTGGCAGTCTTTTAGCCTTCTGTTCTTTTCCTCTGATCTAAATGAATGATTTATTTGCAGGGTGGTTCTTTGAGATCTGAGAGTTGGCGTGCAAATATTGATCGTCTTCTTATTGATGTGGCTACATATGCTTGTAAAGGGGGATGGGCCAAGGAGGAAAAACATGTTTTCCTTCCCAGTGAATCTACGCCAACTTGGGCAGATTTCCAGCTTGCAGCCTTGCGTGCACTTTTGGCATCTCTTCTTTCCCCAGCTCGTGTACGCCCGCCATATCTGGCTCAGGGTCTTGAGCTATTTCGTAGAGGTAATAAATTGCAATCAAGCTTTTTTAAAAAATAAAATAAAAAAAATGAACAAAAAGAAAAAAAATCATCACCGATGTGATACTGTTGTTATTTCCTCTGCCCTGCTCTACTGCTAAATGTATACAACACCACACTAATGTAGTAGCAAATATGAGATCAAGAATGATTCTAAGAGCAGGATATTGAGCAATTATGAATCATATTTTTGTTGATAGTGGCTGAATTAGGATTTCGAGAGATGCTGAACAGGATAGACTAGGAGCAAGAAATATAGAGGTTAATGTATTTTGGACAGGAGAGCATGGGTTTAAACCAAGTGAAAACTGAAATAGAGAGAACTGTGTATAATTTCTTGCTTTGGTTTCGTCCCTTGTGCAATAGCAACAAGAGCTCTCTATTATAAAGAGCCTTCACGAACAATGATCTCTCTGTGCGTGATAGAAGGCAAGCGAACTATGGACATACTCTGCCCGCCTCCACTGGCTCCTCACGCACACACACACACACACACTCAAGACACACACACATGCACACGTGCACGCAGCTAAATCGTTTCACTATGTGGGATAAGCTAACCTTTGCGTGGGTAAGTCTTCTGAGATATGTTGAACAGGATAGAGTAGGAGCAACAAATGTAGAGATTAATATATTGTATTAGACAAAAGAGCATAGGTATAAACCAAATCAAAACTGAATTTGAGAAAACTGTATAATTCTTGCTTGGTCTTGTCCCTTGTGCCATGGCAACTAGAGCACTCTATTGCAGCACATTCACAAACAATGATCTCTTTCCATAATAGAGGGCAGGCAAAATAAGGATATCCTCTGCCCGCCTCCATTTTCTTGGTGACTCCTCACTCAAAACACACGGACATACAAATGCTCGCAGACATGCACGCGTACACAACTAAATTAATTTGCTATATGGCGAAAACTAACCTTCACATGGGTAAGGCTTTAATAATTTTCACGGGCGCTTGCCTCTTTGCTTTCAATATTAACAACGGTTCACATTTAATGGCTGCGGACAAGCATAATTTTACAAAACAACTATTAGTAAATAGTTCCTCTAAAACGATAGTGGTGGTGGAGTGCAACTACAGAACAATAGGCCACTCTATTTCCTTTAGTGTGTAGCATTTATTGCCATAAAGTTCTTTGTTGCCTCAAGGTAACCCACCTCATGAAATTGGCATCTGCAGGCATGCAAGAAACAGGAACAAAGCTTGCTGAATTTTGTGCGCATGCTCTTTTGGCCTTGGAAGTGCTCATACATCCTAGGGCTTTTCCACTGATAGATTTCCCGTCTGCCCAAAGTGGTCCCTTTGATGGAGTTAATGGCAGGTTCCAAGAAAATATTTGCTCCGGTGGTCAGAAACAGAACACCCTATTTGCAAGTGGTACTCTTGGAAAAGGACCCTGTGATCCCGATTCAGATGATGAGCTGTTTAAAAGTTGGCTGGGGGATGATGACGAAATTGAGGTTCCAGTGACTGACCCAGGGAAGAGTACAAATGACACTGAAGAACCTTTAGAAAGAATTAATGAGCCTTTGGCGGAGAAGCTTCCTTCTGTGGGTGGTTCATCCAGTACACATATTCCAGAAGAAATTGAACTCGAACCAGCAGCAGCCGTTGCAGCTGAGAGGAACGGAGGAAATGGAGTTGAATTATTGGTTGACTCACAACAATCTCAAGAACCCATTTCTCAAGGGGGAGTGGTGCCTGCTGCTTTTGGTGGTTCTACGGGTGCTCAGTTTACTACGGTTGTTTTAGACAGTGAAGCACCAGATCCTATGGACAGTGAGATGGCACAAGGTAAGGATGTCTTGGCAGCTAAGGGTGATGGGGTCACTATAACAGGTGAAATAGCTTATGCTTCAAAATCAAATTCCGAGAGAAATAAGGGATTTGTGTTCGATATAGATAGTGATGATAGTGATTCATCTACGGACTCATTTCCAGATATTGTAAATGCAGATCCAGATTCTGATTGAAGCGGAAATTTTGGCAATATCCATGAAAATGTTAGGATTAGACGAAGGAGTATATCGATGTAGAATGTAGGTTGATTATGGTTCAGGGATCACTCCCTGCTGCAATGGGCAAAAGATGCCTTGAAATGTTTTCTGGAGATTTCTGCTTCATACTCAAACAAATTAGTCTGTAACCATATATAGATAATTATGGAAGCCCATGAAGCAGAGTTTCCAATTGAGCCCAATTTTGTGATTCAGGTATTTAATTTGAGATGGAACTTTTTTGTCAATCATTTGTATGGTTGATGTGCATTTCCATAATTGTCTTTGTAGTGATTTTCTGGTGCCTTCTTTCTTTTTCTTTCTTTTGCTGTACTTGGGTGAATTCTATATTGAGCTTCATTATGGGTAAGTGCTCATTCATGTTAGGTAAGATTTTATGTATTTGTCATAAAATCTTTGTATTGGATTGCAGCCCAAAACACTTGTCAATCACTTGTCTGTTAAGCTATTCATTGATTCAATTCGATTGCAGCCCAAAACATGGTAAGGTCTTCTAAACGTATTGGCACCAAAATAATCATATGAATTGGGCTCTACGACCGAACTAAATTGAGTTGCTATTTTTGGGGCATACAGACCCAATAAACTCTGGCCAACTACAGTATTGGGTCATCGTTGAGCCCATAACTTCCCTCATTCTCAAAAATCTTTGCATCGGCCCGTAGTCTCTACTTATATGATTTAAATCCTGAGTACACATCCTACCATTCCTCATAACTTCAGCATATTCTTTTAATTTTTTTATATAGAGGTTAATTTTCTGAAAAAATAATAATTAAAAAGCCCACTTTTCCAGAAAAATTCCAAAGTTATAGCCACATTTTTTTTACTACTACTAATTTACATATGCAACAAAATATCACTATTAGGCCGATTGGGTTGCTCCTAGTTCCCGGACTCAAACATTTAGAATTGAAAATTCAAAAACACGAAATTAGGCTCCGTTTGGCATGCGTTTTGTTTCTACTATTTTTAATTTTGGATTGTTACAGTGTCGATTTTGGTAACAAAAACATGTTTGGTGCGGCCTTATTTTATTTTACGCAATACTAAAACACTTCGTGAACAGTGGTCCAAAACTAAAACACTAAAAAATAGTTTTTTCTTATTTTGACAACTGTTCATGGTTCAAAACCATAACTGTGCATGTTTCTGTTTTCGACATTTTCATAGCAAAACATCGTTTTCAAAACACTCATTTAGCAAAAACAATGTTTCTATTTTAACAAAAAACAAAACGTTTAAAATAAAGTGCATGCCAAACAGACCCTTGGTGATCCAAATACACACACAAACACACAAAATTACTTACCCTTGTATCTCATATTATGCCGACTATAGTTTGTTAGTTTCTAAGTGCTGACGTGAGTAACGAAAAATAATGGGATTGTCTGGCAATGGTATGGATATATTACCAACCGATGAAGCACTTTGAAATTAAAAATATTTCTATTTTATACGCAAAATAAAATTTCAACAGTTGTTACTTGTTAATGATGGGTTAACGAGAACCATTTGAGCCCAACATTTCATCCTAATACTCACTGTTTTGCGAACGAAGAAAAATGGCCAAACTCACAATCTAATAATAATTTTCAAACAATAATTAATTGTGTAGTGAATATTATGATGTAATAGATGTGAACAAACAATTAATGTCACACAAGCCCTCAAAAGTCTAAGATAGCCTTATGAACTGCATATTAGGTGATGTTGATTTCATTTTGTCGGTGGGAATCCATATTATCATCATATTTGTAAAATGATGCAAGTTTTCTTGTTGATGATGGTTTACCAACTATTAAACACATGGGATCATTTCACGTCAATCATAAATTTTCCACATTTCTAGATCATGTTGGTGAGGAAAACCATCACTCTATAGAGAGGGATTTTTTTTTTTTTTTTAATTTTTTATTTTTTTTATTTTTAAAATTATCTAAGTTTAAACAAATGCATACATAAGACATTACCGTCACCAGAACTCAAACTCTAAATTTTTTTTTTCCGCATAAGATAGTGACTTGAAGCGTCGGAAAACACACAATAAGCTAAAAAAATTTCCTTCTCATTCTAAAATTGACTCAAAGATTGGGTTTAGAAAGGCGGATTATATATTGGTTGTAGGGAACTAACTTAATACATTGAAATATGAATTCTTCATATTTAACCTCGTGACTCCTTTCATGGGACAAGGATCCTCTAAGTTAAATGTCCTCTATATTATCATAAGTTGAATCACTTGCACACTGACACATGACATTTTAAGTAAATCTATGGCTAATATTACACCACATCAACTCATTTAATAAAACTTCAAATATTGTGTCGGTTTAGAGCTACAAGAAGAAACGTTGTTAGTGAAAACTCCCTATTGAATTATCTGTTGAATCATATAATACGTTCATGTAGTTACATTCTATGTACTCTGGGTTTGATGAAAAAACAAAAAAAAAAAAAAAAAAAAAAAAAATCATGAAAATTCAGAAGATTACAACAACTAAGAATATCAAAACAATAAAAAACATTAAATCTAATGGATCAAATTACAAGAAAGAAAGGAAGAGAATATTTGAAGTATTACAGTAGATGATGATGAAAATTGAAAATCAAATCTCATGGGTTGATGTTGTCCTTCGACTCAACCCTTAGCATTGTGGTTTTCCCTGTTAGGATTTTCACGATTATCTGCATTTTCCTTTGAAGGTTCGATAAATTTATTCTTTTTACTACGTTGTTTCTGCCTCCAACTCTAAAACAACACAGTATTTTAAGTCTTATTAAATTGGCTGATGTGGTGTAATTTTAGTCATAGATTTACTTAAAATGCCATGTGTTAATGGGTAAATAATTCAACTTATGATAATATAGAGGACTTTTAACTTAAAGAATCCTAATGTTTTTTCATGAGAGTTTTGTTAATAGAATTACACTTGAAAATTTTATTTCGATACAAGTATTATTGAAGTAATGATACGAGCACTGATCGGTTTTTATTGCTATGGAATGGTTGCATGTGCTACCAATTAAACAAGTTGGCTCAACTTTGTCTTTGGATTAAAATAAATCCCGGCCCTAGCAATGAAAGAAGAGGCCACAGGGCCCTAATATTCCTAAACCTATTATAATCTAATTAATTTTAATTAATCATCTTCTGTGCCACTTTTGCAACTCATGCACACAATGAAATATAAATCAAACCAAAAAATATTTGTGCCTTCAATTATTCCGTGACATGACTAACTTCGTACGAATTGAAATAGATAGAACGACGATGTTTCAACTTGGGGACCATATATATATGATCAAAAAAAAATTTGTGGACCATATTCTTTTAATATTAGCATGTGCATTTCGGAAAATTTGATCATTATGTCGCTTTAAATTTCTCAAAAAAAGAAACGAAAAGAAAAGAATAAGAATCAAAAGTATACTTGAAATATTAAATGGTCCAAAATAATTCATTCAATTGTTTGCATATATAAATTTGATCATTATGTGGCTTTAAATTTCTCAAAAAAAGAAATGAAAAAAAATAAAAAGAATCAAAGTATACTTGAAATATTAAATGGTCCAAAATAATTCATTCAATTGTTTACACACACACACACACACACAGATATATATATATATATATATATATATATATTGTTTGGTGTAATTTTTTTTTTTTTTTTTTGGTAGAAGTTAAAAATATTTTACTCATGCACCTTGCCTTCAAGGAGGCTCAAACACTTGACGTTTTTTTTAAAAATAGTAGCTTACTATTACCGAGTCACTGACCCGGTTAATATATTCATTCCATATTTGTTATACGAGTAATGATACTTACACCAAACACATACAGTTATTTGCCTAACAGAATAATTTTTAATAGGTTATTTATACAAAATACAATTAAGTAAAAGGCTTCACTTCTTTATTTGTTACATGATTGACCAATTAAAAAAGTAAGTTTAACAATTCATAACAATTATTCGGTATAACAATCATTTTCCTTATTATATTGGATTGAATAAGTCATTTTTAATTTAAAACTTTCATTTCTTTTCAAAGTTTTAAATTTTATACATTAAAACAATTCAATTTAAATAAACCTTCTTTTAATTTCTTAAAATCGATTGTATTTGATTCTTTTTTTACTTTTTTTGTGTGGCTCTATCTAGGGATATATCCTCAACACTTTGTGTGTGTATATATCACCATATATGTGTATAATACACACATGTATGCCCTCAATTTGCATTGCTTTCTTATGGAAGAAATCAGTTGATGCATGCATGTACGCAGCAAACGATCCAAACAGAGACAGCTTGCTAATGACTCATAGATCTATGACTTGTCGATGTTGGCAGTGGGTCCCACGTGATCTCTCATAAACTGCCGGGCCCAGTGAGTACTGTTAGGTTTGATAATTGATAGTAACCTGGGACCTCTTGAGGTTACTTCGTAATATAAATATAATAATAATAGGTAGCAGTGATCTGTATGGGGCTTTGCGTTTTAAAATCTATGATTTACCTAACATGTGATGTACGATTTGTGAGGAAAAAAAAAAAATATGTATATATATATATATATATGATTTGGACTGTTACTAGAAAATTAAAGCTCTGTCTTGTATTTTTGACAATGTTGCAAGGGTAAAACTGAAGTTTTATTCTCCAACATGAGGGAATTCTCAAGTTTCCATTCTTCAATCTCACTTTTATCTTTGTCACAAGTTGTTTAATTTTTCTCCTTAATGCTACTGTTGAAAAGGTTGTTTCTACTTCCATTTCCTGTGTGTGTGTGTGTGGATTAGAGGTCTTGTTTATTTTTTATGCCATTAAAGAAATGTTTGGTGTAAGGGATAAAAATTCTTTGACTATCGTTACAAATTATGTGTCAATGATGACTTAAAATTATCGTTCATTTGACATGCGATTTGTTTTAGGCGTTTTATTTTTAATTAAAACAAAAATAATGTTTTTACTATAGGAATATTTTAGAGAAATATCAAAAGCACGTTTGGAAATGATGTTTTACCAAAGATAAAAATCCTTTGACTATCATTACAAATTATGTGTCAGTGAAATTACAAATTATGTTGTGGTACTTAAAATTTAGTAATGAAAAGGAATAGTCATTTTTATTAGGTCTGGGAAAGAAGATTATAATTTATAAGAATAAAGCCTCAACTTTTCAAAAAAATAAAAAATAAAAAAAGACTAAAGCTTGAAATTCAATAGATTCTTTCAAAATATACGAAAGTTGTGATGTCCATATTTACAATTCTTGACACTTTTTATTTGTGTATATGCATTTTAAAAACAGTAAATGTTAAGAGAGTGAAAAAAAGATAATATTTTAAGATCCACGAATGCTGCCAACAATGTAAAACCAATCTTTACAAAAGATACATATCACGGATGGAGGTGATCGAATTTCTAGGATCCTGAAATTTATCAAATGACAGAAGTTAAAGTAAGATTCATTTTTGCTTAAAATAATACCTTTAATTATTATTATTATGAACTAAAGTATTGAAAACAAACTTGTCACATCTTAAAATTAAAGTATTGAAAACGAATTCCTAATGTGAACTTAAAGTATGGAAAACAAACTTATCACGTCTTAAACTAAAGTACTGAAAACAAACTGGTCACATCTTAAAATGCGATTTATTTTAGGTGTTTTATTTTTAATTAAAACAAAAACAATATTTTTGCTAAAGGAATATTTTGAAAAAAAAATCGAAACCACGTTTAGAAATAATATTTTGCAAAGGATAAAAATCATTTAACTATCATTACAAATTATGTTTCAGTGGTACTTAAAATTTAGTAATGAAAAGGAATAGTCATTTTTATTAGGTCTGGGAAAGAAGATTATAATTTATAAGAATAAAGCCTCAACTTTTCAAAAAAAAATAAAAAATAAAAAGAAGAATAAAGCCTGAAATTCAATAAATTCTTTCAAAATATACGAAAGTTGTAACGTCCATATTTACAATTCTTGACACTTCTTATTTGTGTATATGCAATTTAAAAACTATAAATGTTAAGAGAGTGAAAAGTAGATAATATTTTAAGATCCATGAATGCCGCCAACAATGTGAAACTAATCTTGACAAAAGATACATATCACGGATGGAGGCCATCGAATTTCTAGAATCCTGAAATTGATCAAATGACAGAAGTTAAAGTAAGATTCATTTTTGCTTAAAATAATACCTTTAATTATTATTATTATGAACTAAAGTATTGAAAACAAACTTGTCACATCTTAAAATTGTCATATACCTAATTTTGGTGTTCAACCATAAATGTTTTTAGTGACAACTGTGTGTGTATATTAGTGTGTCTGTATATATATATATATATGAGCAGTAAGAAAACAGAATTAATTAGTTGGGTTTGTTGCACAAAAAGCTAGCGTTCACACCAACTCCAACTGTAGAGAGAGTAAGAACATTTTGTTTGATTGACCGACCAGTTAGTTCAATGGTTCACCAAATACTCAAGTCTTATCCAAGTTTGTTCATCAGATATGGTAAGTTACAATTTTGAACTTACACAGGGGATGAGAGAGGGAGAGAGGGAGATTATAGACTAGATTATGGAAAAATAAACTTGTAAGCATTTGCATATTTGTGTGTGAATCAATTGGATGTGACATGATTTGAAGAAATGAGTTAGTTCCATTCTGTTAGACTTGCAGTTATTTTACTATTATTTTCTTTTCTTCCTCCCCTCCCCCTCCTAAAGTTAACTACTTTTACCTGCGGCTTATTAATATTATTATTCTTTTGGGGTTACAGTTCCTAGGAAGTTTGGAACTATCTTGGAATGATGATGTGCATTCAAATAATGTTTTTTAAAAGAAAAATAAAATAAAACAAACAAAAAAAATTTCATTGATGAAATGCCTTTTTTTTCTTCCAGTCAACACAGATATACTTCTTTCGTCTCAAAACGTGTCATGTTTGAAGAGCTGTGACTCACAAAATATGACTCTCTTTTTGGGATAGAGGGAATAATGTTTTTGTTGTTGTTGGTCACGGTTCCTTAAACATGACACTCTTTTTGAGATACAGGAAGTAATATTTTAGTTGTGACGTGTGGTTCAATAGTGATTTTTGATTGAAAGTATATTTGGTAAGTTAAAATTTGTTGCACCATTTTTTAAAGCAAAAAATATGAAAATATTTTTAATAAATAAAATGTTGCAAAATTGAAAAACAAAATGGCTAGTTAAAAAAGGCCACCTAAAGTTTGTTTGTTTTGTTTTTTGTTTTTCCTCTCTTTCTTGGTATTGTTAATTGCAACAATGTTTTTGTTATGGAGCAAAAATATTAGGAAACACCAATGTTTTAGGCCTCTTCTCAACAACAAACACGGTACTATTCAAATTATAACAAAAATTACTAAACGTGTTTCGATGGTTTGCTTCGCTACGGTATATTATTCGCAACACAAAACACGAAACAAAAACAGCTGCCAAACAGACCTTAGAGGGTACTCTTCAGTATTAATGTTTGTAATGCAGTTGTTTAGTTGAGTAATGCCCTATATAAGAACAAGAGCCCATTAAATGGATTGGATTCAAATCGAATCAGATATGATCTGAGAAAAAATATATTCAATCCGATAATTCAATTCGAAAAAGATTTAATTATTTGTTAAAAAAATAATGAAGATAGAGGCCGGAGAGGAAAAATAAAATTTAAACAAAAAAATGATAAAAATATTTAAATACTATGTAAATATTATATATTTTAGCATTAGTTAATATATTTATAATATATTATATTATATCAGATCAGAATATTATCGGATCAGATCGATTAGAATTCGTATTCAGTTTGTTTTGTTAACGGATTATCAATTCTATCATATTATCAAATTTGAATAGTTAATAGATTATCTAATTCAATGTTTTAATTTATATTCAAATAATTGGATTGAATTCAAATCGAATTTGGATCAAAATCCAATTCATTGTTAGGTATAAAAAAAATGTGATAAATTGGTAACAATCAACTTAGTATGATTTTAAGGAACTTACAATCATCTTTGATTCATTTGTATGAAATCAATTTTATTATTATTTTTAGAGATTTGAAAATTAAAATAACATATAAAAGGATGTTTGGTTGATTTTTTTTTAATAACTCAATTAAGAAAAGGTCTATTTAGAACTCTTTATTATAACCACCAAACGTAATAGCCTAATAATACTTCTTCGTCGAGTGTTTAAGTCCACATAGGGACAAGTGGGGTGTACGTAGGGTTGCAAATGAACCGAACTGTTCATGAGTAGATTGAGTTCGGCTCGAGCTCGTTTGTTAAGCAAACAAGTTGAGTTCGAGCTCGTTCAGTAAATGAGTCGATCTTGAATAGTGTTGGACTTGGCTCATGTAGGCTCATTTATGTTCATAAAAAAATGCTCGTATAAATTTGTTAATCGTAGGCTTGTTTTTTTAAACGAGCCGAATTGAGCCTGATCCTGAGCTCAATTTTTTGAGCTTGTCATGATCTCTAGCCGAGCTTTAGACTGTTTAGGCTCGTTCGGCCCGATTCGTTTGTAGCCTTAGATGTGTGTGAGTGTTTGTTTTTTGCCAAGAAAAATAATTAAAATAACTCTCTTTTATAATTATGTGAAAACAATTATCACTCTTTTGAGTTTTCATAAACTGTTTGAATAAACTTACGAGGCATATTGTATAACTAACTTAGAATGTCTCCAATGGTTATGTTTATTTTATTTTTTTTGTAAATTTGATCTGTCATAGATTTACACAAAAATTTTGGACTAATTATTTTAACTTCAGCAATTGTTTTATACTTTTTATGTAAAATTATATTTGTCAATAACAACTATCCACGTGTCATGGTTAAGGCCGCACATAACTTTTACAAACCTACCTAACATAAGGTTGATTTGTTAATGGAATTAGAAAGAGGGAGGAGATATAAAATACACAATAATTTTATATATTGATCAGATGACAGTGTATCTTAACATGATAATTTTTTTTTACACATTACTTTTAACATATTTCTGGAGATGCTCTTATTCTCGTGCATCCTTTTATCTCAGTTAATGAAATTCCATTTATTATTATTATTATTTTTTGTTGAATTTATTACTGTACTTCCTAGTTCTTTCAAATTTATCATTATCCTTTCATTCTCTCTCCCACATTCTCTTTCCTTTTCTCAAGTTATCCAAATGGTATAATCTTTTCCAATTCTATCTATTTCAAATGTTACACAAAATTTGAATGGTGCTTGTGTTATGGGCCGATACATAAAAAAAAATGTTACACTAAATTTTGAATTTCGTCAAATTATGTTATTCTAAATAAAATGGACATGTTTGTCATTGCCATAGTTTTCGTGCAAATGTTTTGAATAAAAAAATTGCCCTCTTTTTGAGAATCTAATTTTTTAAGAGTTTGACTTTCTAATACATAGTAGTATTTTTTTTTTATTGTATTGATAGTAAATAAATTATCAAATTTATTTATAGTGGGTTGACAAATACTGATTGTTATTATTTTTTTGTAAGTTCAATACAAGAAGTTTAATTAGTCTACCTTAAATTTTTGATTGACACATTTATTTTGGAGAAAAAGAAAAAGGAAAGGTACATATATATATATATATATATTTGATGGAGGAAGTAATTTTGTTTTTCTTTCTTCAAATTTATTTATTTATTATATATTTTTTTTCTGTACCATCAAGAAAGTAATTGGCGCTTCACATGACAGAACAGGGTCTTATTGACTATAATCAGCAAAGTTTTGGTTATGCATTATCTTTCACCTTTTCAGTTAACTGCCCACACATGATTATTGGGCATAAAAAAAATCCCCAACCTCAGTACCTTTTTGTCTCCTTTGTCTTTTGCAAAACAGCAGTATGTGTGTGTGTATGTGTGAGAGAGAGAGAAATGGGTAGAACACAAGAACATTGAAAAATTGAAAAGAGCTTAAGATCCAAAAACATCAAAGCTTTATTTCCATTCTATGGGCTTCAAAGATTTCCTTTCTGTGTCCCTATTAGGCCACTACTCTTCATATTTCTCTTTCTTTCTTGATGTTTTCTTAACATAGAAAAAGAGAACACACAGAAGAAAAAGTAGCGAGAAAAGGGTGAATCTGAAAAGGAAAATGAAGCTTTGTCATGTGCTTTTTCTTCTTCATGGACCCATTTGGGGTTTACACTTATATCTGGTTGAAGCCAGACCAGACCCTCTTCTTTCTTCTTTATCTGCTCCTCTTTCTTCACCACCACTCACACCCATTCCTCCAATTTCAGCATCCATGACAGCAGCCTTTTCTCCAGGTACTCATGCACTGCGCGCTCTCTCTCTCTCTCTCTCTCTATATATATATATATATATATTCTCCATATGGTTATGAAATTTTTTTCCCCCAAGTTGTGGTCATCATTCCATCATTTTCAAATGTGACATGGGGCGCATAATTTCAAATTTCAAACTTTCAAGATTTCAAACATTCAGAAGCAACATTCATTACATTTAATGCTATAATATAAATAAATTATTTTTCTTCATAATTAGTCACATTTTTCATTGGGTTTAATTTTAAGTCGTCTTCTTAGGTTGTAATCAAGTTTACCATTTTTCAGTTTTTCAGTCTCAGATCACTGATATCAAGCCCATCTTCTGTCTAATTATTTGGATTTCTTGCCAATTTTCCCCCAAACTGAGCACTTTAGGTTGAAATTTTTACTATAAATTGCGCATGTAATCAGGGATTCAAGTGAGAAGTGAAGATCAGCATCAAATGAGTTCAGATAAAAAACTGCGTATATCACTCATTGTTGCCTCCTCTGCACTTGGTGCAGTCATATTGTCCTTGCTGTGTTTGTGGATTTATCACAGAAAGAATTCACACAAATCTCATAAGAAAAATTCTCATAACTCAGGTTACTTCTTTTTCTGCAACACTCAATTTCATTCCTCATTCACAAAATTTGTGGGTATTTATGAATTTACATTAAATTTTCCTTCTTGTTCTTTCTGTGATTTTCTTTGTTTTGCTCTTGTTTGTTTTGTATGGGATATAGGGCTTTCATTAGGTCCATTTATGGGTAAAAACAATTCCTTGAAGATGACTCGTAACAAGGGATCTGTACCTTTAATGGATTACAAGTTATTAGAAGCGGCAACGAACAATTTTGAAGAAAGTAATATTTTGGGTGAGGGTGGTTTTGGATGCGTTTATAAGGCGCAGCTGGGTGATAATTCTCATGGGGCTGTCAAGAAAGTACATGGTGGAAGTCAGGATGTCATAAGAGAATTCCAGGTACCAATTGTCTTGAAAGTTAGTTTAAAACTTGTTTTTGTATTCGTTTTCTGGGATTAGGTGTTGTGACCTTATTGTTTTCTTCTTTCAATGTCATATGGAATTACAGACTGAGGTTGATCTGTTGAGTCAAATTCAGCATCCGAATATCATTTCGCTACTAGGTTATTGCATACATGGTGAAACAAGGCTTCTTGTTTATGAACTGATGCACAATGGATCTCTGGAAACCCAATTGCATGGTAAATACATATAATGTAATTCTCTAGTTCAAAGTGAGTAGGAACAAGATGATGATCGAAGATACCAACGTTTTTTTATTTTCATTGTCTTTAGGACCTTCTCATGGATCCACTTTAACTTGGTATCTCCGGATGAAAATTGCTCTTGATGCAGCAAGGTGAGAGTTTTTTAAACCCCACTCTGGTAATTTTTAATTGTGATTATTGAAACTTGCTATTAACGTATTTGCAAGTGTTTGACCAGAGGATTAGAATATCTGCATGAGTATTGCAACCCATCAGTGATACATAGAGATCTGAAATCATCTAATATTCTTCTAGATTCCAACTTCAATGCCAAGGTAAAAATATATAATATATAAAATTAGAGGAGTTTCTGATCTACCTTTTTTTTTTTTTTTTTTTCTTCTTCTTTTACAAAAATATTGTTGATGTATGACTTAATCATATTCATTAGGATTTCCTTAACCTCTCTGTTTGTGTTTTGTTTGGATTCAGCTTTCCGATTTTGGTCTTGCCGTAACTGATGGGACCCAAAACAAAAACAACATCAAGCTTTCAGGCACCCTGGGTTATGTAGCCCCAGAGTATCTTTTAGATGGTAAGTTAATACAAATCTACTATGTCTAATTTCATGGTGAATAATTAATTTACAGCCCATAAAATTGCTTTATTTTTTATTTTTCTTTCACCATTTCTTCCCTCCCACCTCCTAGCTGCACATAGCTGGAATATTTGAGAGCACCAATAATGTTCTGGAATGGAATATTCCTGGTTTTGATAATCATATAAAATTAACAGACCATTAGCTTAACTTATCTCGTGCGTGTAGCTTCACATGTACTGTCACTGATTGGCACTGGGACTAATCATTATGTGAATCTCATTCAGAAAAAAAAACTCATGCAATAGACAACGGTGGGCCTGATAGGCTGATATAAAAGAAACTAGTGCTACTCATTCTTAAGGGTTTGAAGAATGATTTCAAATTACCAACTAGGTGTTAACCAATATAAAAGAAAATCCCAAAAAATAGAAATCATTAAACATCATTGATGTACTGGAAATTTATTGTGGGATATTGGTTTTTTTGGGTATGGCTTGTGACTTGTGAGATATTGTTGATATTTACATGGTGGGATGATTTTTAAGCCTTTGTTTAGTTTATGGATTTGGTAAGGGAAAGCAATAGAAAATCAAAAAATGTGAAGGAGAGGAAGGGAGAACCTATTTTTAGTTACATGTTATTCCAGACCATTTTTTAAGAATTTTTAAATTTTAATTTATTTGTGGAGAAAAATAATTGAAAATGTTTGAATAAATATCTCAATATACCGGTCAACAAGAAAAGGTCGCGGCTCTTGTCATAAGAGGGATCTCTTGATAATTTTACTCCGTTAGAAAATAGTTGGAACCTGCTGATAATTTCCTTCTTGGTTATGGCATTTGGGATCCCGGAGTTGGTGTCAATATGGACTTAGAATGCACTTGTCCATTTAAAATATATAGATAACGCAAATTTCTGACTGAGACATGCTATATTTATCCTTCTACTGAAATTCAGGAGGTTGTCATTATGTTTAGAAGGTGGATTTTTATTTCAATTTTTCAGTCCAAAATTTTCAATGCGTCAAGATTTTAGGTCCAACCACATTTGAAGCATCTCTAAGCTCGGTGCATTTTTCATTTTTATTTTCCGCTAAGAAATTGACAGTCTTTTATTTTCAATTTTTTTTTTCCAGGTAAATTGACCGATAAAAGCGATGTCTATGCTTTTGGTGTTGTGCTTTTGGAGCTTCTATTGGGAAGGAAGCCAGTAGAGAAACTGGCACCATCTCAATGCCAGTCTATTGTCACATGGGTATATGCCTTGATCTAACTCATATCTGTATTTTTTATTATTATTAATTTTTTATTTCAATATCAGAAAGCTTCCTCATTTTGAAATTCAATGCTCTGGCCATTTATGACCATGCAGGCCATGCCTCAGCTCACTGACAGATCAAAGCTTCCTAACATCGTGGATCCTGTGATCAGAAATACTATGGATCTGAAGCATCTATACCAAGTTTGTGAACTGAAACTCTTCCTAATACTATTTTTAATTCCCAGAGATGCAAGGTGTATAAAACCAAATCTGACAAGCCTGAGCACATTTGATGATCATTTAGGTTTGCTTGGTTTGTAACTATGGAAACAGTTTTCTGATCTCGGAAAACTGAAAACAGAAAACTGTATAAAAAAACTCTGTGCGGTTCAGTTTTGTGAAAATTCAGTTATAAAAGGGCCTATTTTAAGAGAACAGTCTATTATAGTTCTCAGTTATCTGTTTTCTGAGAACTGTTTTCAGAGTTACAAACCAAACATGCCTGTGATTTCAAATTCTATCTCTTTACACATTGACCTGACCAGGGTTTCTGTAATTCAATAAATTGCCCTTTTTCTGAAAGTGAAAACGACCCCAAGTAGGTACTGTTTTTGTCAAGTTTAATGCTCCTAAGCTGGGTTTTTGTAGTTCCATGTATCACCCATTTTCTGAAAGAGAAATGACCCTAAGTAGGTAGGGTGTGTCGAATTTAATGCCGGTTCAGGTCTGGTTTGGATATATAAAATCTATGGCTCGCGTTAGGTTTGTTCTTGTATGGATCCAATATGATATGCACTTCCAGACATTGTCTAAATGGAACTGCAATATGGTGTGCAGGTTGCTGCGGTAGCTGTGTTATGTGTCCAACCGGAGCCAAGTTATCGTCCATTAATAACAGATGTACTACATTCTCTCATTCCTCTCGTTCCCATGGAGCTTGGAGGAACACTAAGAGCTACAGAACATGCATCTCCTTAGTCCCGCGGAACCTCACTGGATACTTGTTGAGAGTTCCTTAGTCCCGCGGCGCCTTCTGGTCACCGGATACTTGTTGAGAGTTTTGAATGCCTTCTGCAGTGGTATAACATATTTACCTTCAGCACATACAAGATCATTTCTCTGTGCATTTAATTGCTGTGGTCATTTGGGTAAAGAGAAACTGGTGTTGTTAGATTGAATTTACTATTTTGCCAAAGGAATTTTGTAAATTGAAGATTATGAGATATGGTCCGCTTGTACATTCACTCACTCGTATATGTAACATGTTATTTAAGAGAATTGATGATTGAACCAAGTCATCTCTCTCGTTCTCTCTAAGAAGTTAATGTCATTGAATATCCTATATCTGGTTCAGTATGTTTGCTATGAGAGTTCTTGTGAATTTCTGATGATAATGTCTTCATCGGGCTGTATACATCTTTATAACCATCTAAGATTTTGCTAGTTCCAAGGCAATGGCTTATGATCTGGCATAGAAGCAAAATAATTTTGGCATAATATTGTCATAATTAAATATATAGCATAGATCAAATATACGCTTGAGGATAAATCAAGGTTTATTATCAAAGAAAAAAAAAAAAAAAAATTCCAAACCGATATCACATAAATTCAAGAATTGGCTTGAATATCATTCTACACAATTTGTTCAGCTTGACAAGGAATCTATGAGATATCCAATAAAAACATTACACCAATGTGGTTTATCCAATTAATCATTTGCTCACTAAACATAAAGCAGCTTGATGAATGAACTGAGCACAATAGGTGAAAGAAAGGTATGTAATAGAAGAATTTAATCACCATTTTTCATTCCACCAAACAACTTGGTAAAGGAACACTAAGGAAGTATCAATAACAAATGCTTTATCTACCACTGTGAATGATCCGAAATTCATAAAAACAATTTAGAAAGTAAGTCTCCAAAACAAATGAGAATATGAACAATAATGCATGTTTTTTACTATAGCTGCCAAACAAATAAACAAACCTATTAACGAGTTTAGCAAGTAATTCAAAAATTAAATAACTTGCAAATAATTCATTTATGGTGATAGCAAGCAGTTGGAGAATAGGATTCCTTTAAAATATTTCATGATTCAGGAAAAAACCTAGTCAAAGTGGAGTTCAAAAAAGAATACATCGCAAACAAATGATGAGTGAGAACTGGGAAGTTCAACTAAGGACACATGCAAACAATCGATGAATTTGAACAGGGGCTACAAACTAGAATGTTAGCATCCTCTTGAATTTTGGATTTTACAAGAAAATTCAGGAAAGTTTCTTTTGAAAATTCAATGAAATTAGAAATACTTAAGGAAATTATAACTAGATTTTGCAATGAGCTGGACAAAACTCAAAAAGTCATATTATCTGTACAATATCAACAACTCCATCATTGGGAAGTAAGTTTGTGATCTCTGTAGGCCATAACAAAAGTGTATATAAAATTCAGGCCTAGGATTACCCCAAAAATATTGTCATGATCAGATGTAGAAAGCTACACAAGAACATCAGAAATACTAAACTAGTACCAGGTACGCAATGCAATAGTAACGTATGAACAAAAACGCAGACACTAGCATGAACCAAACACAACAAGCTACAAGCAAAAACCCTTTTGGCACTGAAGAAACAAGTCCAACCCATCTTTCCAAGTAGACTTGAAAGACTACCAAACAAGAAAACAAAACAATCATGAACTATAGAAAGGAAGGAAATAGGGTGAAGCCATCTTTTCAAACTAACCAAATCAAATAGAAACAATGAAATATAAACAATCAATGACAACAACTACAAGCAAAACCCTTTGCACTGAAGAAACAAGTCCAACCCATCTTTCCGAGTAGACTTGAAAGATTACAAAACAAGAAAACAAAACAATCATGAATTATAGAAAAGAAGGAAATAGGGTGAACCCTTCTTTTCAAACTAACCAAATCAAATAGAAACAATGAAATATAACAATCACTGACAACAACTACAAGCAAAACCCTTTGCACTGAAGAAACAAGTCCCACCCATCTTTCCGAGTAGACGTGAAAGATTACAAAACAAGAAAACAAAACAATCATGAACTATAGAAAGGAAGGAAATAGGGTGAAGCCATCTTTTCAAACTAACCAAATCAAATAGAAACAATGAAATATAACAATCACTGACTAAGCAATATGAGAAAATGAACCTAACATAAATTATTCACGAGGACGATAACTTAAATTACAGAATTAATAAAACCTCCCAAAACAAGTAAAGAAAACCATGTTAACACCACATCAAAAAAAATGAACCTATCCTACCTTACCAATATATAACTTAGAATTGAGGGTTAGTGTTCATTGGAAAATTCAAGCCCATGGTTGCAAATTCAACAACCTAAATGAAATAAAATAAATCACAAAACACAACCATAATCAAACCTATATAGAGAAAATGAATATAAGCCATTTTCCTTTCCAAATCATAAAAAGCCAACCATCAATTCATATCAAGTATACAAGTCTCAACACATAATTATAATCACATCAAACACCTAGAAAATCATCACCAAACTATTTGAAGCTCACATAGTTTAAACCATGATTCCACAATAATCAGAAAAGGATAGTGATAAGATAACAAAACCACCAGCAACCACAAAATGATTGCAACTCATCTTCCAAATAAGTCAAAAAGCTGCTAATAAACAAAGGTCTGATAATGGACTCTTATGAGTTTCCTTACAACATAAGTTGAATAAAGCACAAAGAATAAAACACTGTCTTCTTTGCATATCAACTAAATCTCTAAATCCAAACAAAACAAGCTTAAGTAATAAGCGAATTCGACTACCATCATCTCAGAAGCCAAGCTTGGTACGACGCCAGTGCCTACGCTTCGCGTTGTACCTGAAAGAAGATAAATATACATATATTTATATGTGTGAATACATATATACATACATACATATATATAATATGTATGGAAGAATGAAGAAGAGGATGATAAAGTGGGAACCTGATAGTGTTGTCGGTTCTGAGACGGATCCAGTGAGGGATAGGCCTGTTTTGCCTCATCTTCTTCGCCAGCTTCTGCTTGATCCGGAAGGTCTTGTGTGACGGCTGCACAATACAAATTCGATTATAGAGAGAGAAAGTATAGATAAGAGAGAGAAGACAAAGAATACACATCTGTAAATTCACAAAACCAGAGAGAGAGACAGAGTCTCACCATTTTCGCGACTGGAGATCGGCCACAAGATTTGCGGAAACCGTCGACAAAAAACCCTAGTTGTAAGCTAGATAGATACCCTTTGGGCCAAAGGCATTGGTATATATTGCTGCTGTTACAATGTGTGCAACTCGAGTGGGCCCAACATGAGCCCGGTCCAAAGAAATTTAAACCTGGGCTGTGTAACTTGCAATATGGTCCGGCTTGGGTTGAAACGTCACAACCCGATTTTATTTTGGGCTTAAAAAATCCGATGAATCACAATGAACCTGATAAAATCGGGTTGTGACTCTAAACCTACAAAATTTGGGGAAATACAAATTTAAGTTTGTTATTATTGTAGTTCTTATTGCAACAAATTGTTACTTTATTTTGTATATACATGTGTAAAAAATATATATATTTTTAAAAAAATAGTAATATAACGAGGGTGTTCTCACTGTGAACTTGTGTTCTCATACATTAAATTTTATTCTAATTATAAATTTTTATTAGACGACGCACAAACTTATTAGACGACGCACAAACTTATCATGATGGCACTCTCATAATATAAGACTTGCTCAATTTCTTGTCTAATTTAAGAATTTCATGAATCAATTTAAATTTCTACCAACAATGGAATTCGTAATCATATTCTAATATAAATTTTGTAATTGGTGCAATGAAACAAATTTGCATTGACAAACACAATTACACAAGAGTCAATTTTCGTGTCAAATTACGCAACTTGGACTAACACAAATTCAACTTTTGAAAGCAATCAAATTACAAATTAGTCAATTTTCGTGTCTTTTTTACGGAGTACTTAAAAAAAGGACGGAATTGGTTAAATTTTGATCAATGGGTCCTTTTTTCAGATCCATTGTTTGAGATTTGAGTAGAGGAAATATATTTAGGTTATTTCAGTATCAAATTCTACGGTCTCAAGTTCTCAACTCAAATTTGGTTAACTTTTTTTTATATTTCTCGACTTTTTTTATTCTATTTTTTAATTATAATTATGTAATTTCATTAAGTAGAATGATGGAATGGAGGAGAGGTTATTTACCCCTTTATTTATTTTTATTTTTATTTTATTTACCGTAATATTAAGAATGTTCGAAGCAATCTATAATTTTAAGAATGTTCTACATGTTTTTTGTAAATATTGCATGAATAAAATCATTAAGAAGATTATTACACTTCAATATTAAGATCTATCGCCTTTAGAAAACAGAGAGAACAAAAAAAAAAGGGTTGCTTATTTAATTTTTAATTTTTTTATATATCAAGAAAATTTATAATTAAACCAGCATGTGATTTTAGAGAAATTATTAGATAATCCTGAATCATTAATACTTGTTGGACCAGTTAAATTCAGACTCTCAGATTGAGAAAATGATCCATAAGAGTGTATTAATATATTATAAAAAAATCTCAACATTAGTTTTTATTGGATTAGTCTCCCAAATGTTAAATGAATCAGAACTATTTAATAATTTATTGTGATTTTATCCCACTTTGAGTATTCTGCATTAAATGAACATTATGAACTTGACTTCTTTCGTTTGGATGTGGTAATGTAAATTATACTTATTATTTGAATGAGTTGGTACTCAATCTCAAATTTTGTCACATTTAAATAATTCAGATTGGATAAAAGATTGTTGTTTGTCCTCCTAACAAGTTGAAAACTGAAAAAAGTTTCTCTACAATCTACCCACAGAATGGTATTTATAAGACAGTAAACATCAAACTTTCTGCATCTGGAAGATTTGCAAAACCACCTCAACGCACGAAAGGAATAAGAAGGTACTCAGCATAGAATAGCTGCAAGAAAAAAAAAAAAACAATACCATTGCAAACATTTCAGTACCAAATCAAAGCACAATGTAACAAACAGCATAATTTTGATACACTTAATTACCTTCCATATGAACATGTAAAATGATGTTACTGATGCCTTACTAGCGAGATCAACAGAACGAGCTCGGAACAGCAGGAGGGAAGCAAGTGCACAGTGGCCTAATACCTGCATTGTATGAATTTTTACGTGAGTGAAAACCACCATAAATTTAAGTAAAGTAGCTAATGAATTGTTGTAGAGTGAAGTGACATACTGTGACCAGCTTGTTAGCTAGGAAGGAAGACGAAGCTCCTATTACCATTGCAGCTCCATATGCCATTAACAACATGGTAATGCAAAGCCAAAATACCTTTACAAAACACAGCTTGTGAGGAAGAATTTTGGAAAATCACAAATTTGTTTTTGTTTTTGTTTTTGTTTTTGGCAAAATAGTAATGTTATGAGGTTAAGAATGATTGTTGAATGTCGAAAAATTTCCAAATTTTCCTTTCTTTTCCTCTCATTTTAACCACTAAGGCAGTAAGACAATGCAAAATGAAATTCAAGTATTTTACTAACTCTTTCTTGTCCTAGGCTGACACTGAATGATTGAATGCCAAAATCCCTATCACCATCCACGTCCGGTATGTCCTGTAACAATTGCACACACATATATAATTCAATCACCAATGACATAAAACAACTTAGAGATATGAACAAGTGTTCAAAAAATTCATAGCCAGCGATAATTAAGTTCGTGGTAGGCAAGAAACAACGAGAGGACATGCTGAATTGCCATGAAAACCGAAGGATTCCATTTTGTTTTCCAAAATTCAGAATGCAGCCATTAGAGAAATAGGCTGCATCACCACAGATGGTGATGTGAACTGAAACAACGTTATGCCATCAAAATCAAGTAACGATCCTTGGGGAAAAAAAAGTACCACAAAACGATTTCTGTTCCGTAGATGTCAATGTTATGGTTTAAGATCACAAACCATAGACTCAACTGAGCAAATGATACATCAACTTCTTTTAGTAAAATACCATGATCACAATGGCATGTGCTTGAATACTAAAATGATACCTAAAAATGTTCGATTACTATCCAGCTCGGTCAGCCACTTGGGCTGGAGAGACATGGTGCCTGCTAAGTAAGTTTTGTTTATGCTTGGATAAGCTTAGTCTCAGTCTTCAGACCTGTGCAAGCATAACCCGAGTAGACAGTATTTTACACTACAGAAGAGCAGAGGACTCTGTTACATTGGCGCTTTGGTATCCTCAAGAAAAGTGAAGTTTTAGGAAATCAAGTGTATGACCTTTCAGTTCAACCTAAAACCATGTGTATGCATGATACATTCACTTGATTATTTTTATTGTGATCAATTAATTAAAGACACTTGCATGACTTGTGATTATATCTACATTAACACTTCTCTTGAAAATATTAGTTAGAAGTACTTAGTACTAGTACTTGAAGCACTAAACCTTCTACCAAAATTGCATTTTCTGAAAATACTATGTCTCAAGATTTACCTTGAATAATGCTATAACGGTGGAGAAGAAGCACATGAACGCAACTGCAAAGAACAATGACTTTGTAAACATTGTTGGCCTACCGAGCACATATTTCTGCAGTGTCGTCACTTAGATTTTAGTTAATCGGAAAAGGGAAAAAAATAAAACCAACAAGGGATATCAACATAGCTGTCATTCATCTACAAATTACGAGAATAAGAGTTAGTAACATAGTCTTGTTTTATTTACTTTAAAATGGAGGAGCTGGTACCTGGATGTGTACAAAGAAGGCAAACTGAACGACGATTGCCCTCACAATGATGATGCATATTGCAGCAAGGAATGCATTTCTTTTCCATCTGAGTAAGGGAAGCTACAACAAACACCAAAAACTTCAGTTCATGGCATAAAACCACCCAAGTAATTTAGAATTTGAGTCAACCTTAAATTAGCAAATATATATATATGTGAAAACGAAACATCAACAGAACGAACACATACACAAACAAACACACATATTTTGGATTTATGAAACTGCTTATTTGAGGAAACTATAGGTCTTTTGTAGACCAAAGACAGATAATGTCTCTAGTCTATGAAAACACACATATATGAAGTATGGTTATAGAATTGGTGATCTTACCTCAATAGAATATGCACTCCCAAGTAGAAAACTTATGAGAAGGGCGGAAAACAATGGCGGGGACTGAAACACAATTCCCATGGTGAAACTCTGAAAATAATTTCAAAAAAACAGTTAATGGTATAGAAAAATAGTATTCTCAAAATAAATATTACTATGCATACTAAACATTAGAAATACTAACCATCAATAGAAATGTGGACACGATTGCCATTCCGAATCCCACAGAAAATTCTCCGGAAGCCAGAGGAAGATTGGGTTTGTTAACCTAAAAAACATGTAAACAAATTGAAAAGCAAGTAAAAATCTGAAATATGAAATAGATAGGGTTGCACATTTTCACCTACTCTTTTTTCATCTCATCAAAGACGATATAATAGTGAAAAATGTCCAATTAAATAAATATTTTTGATCCATGAAATAAACCTTTTTCTCCAGGAATATTTCAACTTGTTACAACAATAAATTACCTTGTCTATTTCGACATCAAACAATTGGTTTAGTCCCACAACGTAAATGTTCATCGATATAGCTGGAATCAGTGCCTACAATAGAAACAAAATTGTAAAATTATTATTTACACATTGAAAAATTTGGCTACTATTCATGTTACAAAACCTTACCTTCATTAATCCCAGTAAAAATACCGGAGAGAGATCAGTAGCTGATGCTAGAGGAAGAAGAGAAACTGAAGTTATTCCCATAACCTGGCAATCAAAATGGGAAAAACTCATCGTTTCATTTCAACGTGACATTGTTGTTATATAGTAATTTTCTCGAGAAATTTGTTGTGACCATGAAACTCACTGTGCCAATTACAGTGTGGGGACGAGAAAACCTGTAGAATGCATCCAATTGCTTAGAAAGACTATTCAGAAATGTCGCCAAATGATCATCCTTGGATTGTGATCCATGCTCGGGTTCTATTGTGACAGGAATAAATTGTTTTCGGATTAATGTGCACTTTCTTCTACTTGTTTCACTCTCACTGTTTGTAGGAGTATCAGCTAAAGTAAATCTCCATTGACAACATCTGAATGACTTCTTGTACTGCCATTTGTTTGTAACATTTTGTACTTGCTTCAATGGTTCATGAAGTGGTTTATGAAAACCTATACAAGTTCAAAGATAGATCATTATAGAAATATAATGAACCTTACCCACACATGAGACCTTTACAAGGAACTTTATATATATATATGTTGTTTTCTAATGAAACTTATACAATACACACAACACATTTTATACGGACTTGATCCCCCAACCTTTCACTTGTAAAGTAAAAGAAAAATTACTTAGATTTAAGCTCTTCGCAACAAAATACGATCATATTACTAACTATGCGGTTTTCGACTAATAGTAAGGTTTTATACAAAGAAAAAAATTATATCATAGTTCCAAAGATCAATAAATCCTAACACTTTTTTACTAAATCAACACCCTCCTACTTTTTTATAAATATTTCTACATTATTTCAAAGTCCTCAATTTTGTAACTTCACCATTTTCAATTTGACTACAGTTTTTATATAAAATCCATCAAAATATGAATATTCACTTCTTACAAATAATCTTTTAATTCCACATCTGTTTTAAGTTCTATCATATTTCCAATTTGAAACTATAATAATTATAAAAAAATCTAGTTCAAATATGAATACTTAATTTTTAAAAACAATATTTCAAAAGTTGTTTTCCTTGACAAAATTGTGATTCCCAAATTCAGAAACTACAATAAAAAGTAAAAATAAAACATTTTCAAATTTAAACAAAACGAATGATGATTAAATCAATAATAAAGGCTTATAAAAATTAGAATTTCAAATTGAAAACTTAAAAGATAATAAAAAAGAGTTAGGAGTCATCTCTAAAAACAGTAAACCCTTATTTATCTAGATATATTTTATAAAAAAATTATTTTATTTGAGATTAAAAACAGAAAAAAAGGGTACTTGAGCGGGCTTTGTAGCAATTACGTTTAACTGTATTGTCGTCTATCTCGGGCATGCATATCTTCATGCAACAAACTACGTTCGCACGTTCTAAAATTATGTTAAGCCTTTCGCTAAATTACGCCACTATGTACACGGTTCACCATTTCTATATAATTTTCATTTATCTTATTATTCATTATCATTCCGTTTAAAAAATTGTTTTTTTAATGTATAGAAGTGAATATATTATTCATATGTGTTAAAAATTAAGAACTAAGAACAATCAAAGTTATGGGTTTTTGATGATTTTAATACCCATGGTGAAGAATGGGTTAATTTTCTAATCAACCCACATAAACAATTTTTTATTTTAAAATAAATAAAAGGTTACCATTAATGTAGTATGAATAAAATTTCAAAAGAGAAAACAATTAAAAAATCGATTAAGAAGGCAGAGTTGTGGGAAAAGAAGCACTTACCTTGAAGAGCTTGAGGAGGGAAATGACTCTTTAAAGGAGAGAAGCAACATGCATTTGAGTGCAGCATCTCTCGCTTTCTCTCTGTGATAAAATAAATATATATGTGTGTGTATATATATATTTTATACACACACAACTACATACTATAAGCTAATTAACTGATGGATGGTGTTCTGACGGGACTCACATTGTGCATACAGATGGCGATGGTGCTTGTGTTTGGATGAATTCATCAACTCTCTCTCTCTCAAATCTTTTTATTGGTACACAACATAAGCCCCATATCTAAAAGCCCAAGCCCAGATAAAAGAGAAGAAACTGGCCCAAATCTAAGTGCTTTTAATGATTATTATTGAATACATCAAACGTCAATATTTTTTAAAAAAACTAAAAGCACTTTTAAGTGATTGAAAAGCAATATCAAACAAGTTTTAAGAGAAATTATTTATTTATTTTAAATAAAATTAAATGTGTATCACTTATTAGTTAGACAAGGTGCATAAATATACACACACACCTAGTACAGTGAATACAATTTGTATCACTCTATTAGCTAGACAGGCACCAACCAGGAGTATCCAAAGTCCGACGAATCAACCATATTGATTTGATGTGATTAAGAGACTATAATGCCACGGAACTTTGTTTTGGGTACACCGGATTTGTAAAAATAAATAGTCCATATTATTTGTTTTCAGCCTCTAACCCGTCCAATCCACCCGAGCTATAGTTTACCACAAGCATATTAGCCGGTTCTTAGGCTAGGCCCAAACTTTCAGAGCCCGCTCAGTGGGTGGGCCATACTGACCCGTTTATTGTCTGGGCGGGCCTAGGTTTGAGTTTTAGCCCACGAGCCGCAGATAACATGACCCGCAAAGTCCGAAAAAGGGCTTAGCCTGGCCTGATCAAAAGAATAGTTCCCAGCCCAGTGTGGTCGGGCCGGGCTGGCCTGCCCGTTTGACAACTTGAATGATGAACCATATATATACACACAAATAGGCAGCTCAGACTACTTTTATTACCAATTTTTCGTCCATTATATTATGAAATTGTTACAAATAAAATGGGTTATATATATATGATTATATTTATGTTTAAGGACTTGGCAATCCCTAGGCGTGGTACATGTGGCTGTGTAACTAGTTTTGTAGTGCTGGAGCACAACATTATGGGCCCAATATTAGACCATGAGGGTGAGAAGAAAAAAAAGGTTAAAAAAGCAAAAGAAACACTCCCTTTTGAAGTTAAAAAAGTTCGAAATAGGGAGAAACAAGAAACTGCACAAAGAGCTTCCATTTTTTGTGATGCATATGTACATACATACATATTATATTATGCAGGTCACAAAAACTGAGAAAGTTAAGCAATTGTTGCTGGTGAAAGTTTGTATACGTATACTGGTCATGTATTTTTGACTTACAATTTTTTTTGGATAAGTAACTTAGAATTAATCTTGTTGCTTCCATTATTTAGAATTATAATATTAACTAAGTTACTAAGAGTATCTCTAACCGTTATGTATATTTTTATGTATATTTTTTTGTGTAAATTTTATGTGTCATGATTGATTTAAACAAAAATTTTGAATTATTTATTTTTAATTCCAACGGTTGTTTGATACATTTTTTGTAATAATATATTCCTTAATAACAATCAACCACGTGTCATGTCATAATCTATATAGGGTTAATTTTTTAATGAAAGGAGAAAGATGGAGGAGAAAGAAAATATGTTGATGTAGTTGTGTAAAAAAATGGTATAAAATAGATAACAATTTTAAACATTTATATATTTTATCAAATTGTTAGAAATAAAAAAAATTTACACATCGGCATATTTTAAAGAGACTATAAATAACAAAAATGAAAGATAAAGAAAGCGTTGTTCTTCAATGGTTGTTATCATGAAATATTCTAGATGGTTAATTTAAATCTAAATTAGTCCACTATATGAAAATGTCAAATCATTGATTGTTATTGGTTAATGAATTAATTGAGATCCCTTTCACTCATTAAATTCTTCCTAATTTTCCGCTTTCTATTCATTGGATATATCATTAAAAATTACGTACTAATCACATGTAAAGTTAAGCATAGGGCCAAAGAATAAGGTGTCAGTAACGGTCCATGGACAGTGTGAAAAATAGTCCTATGCTACTTTTTGTTTATAACATATTTTTTAATTGAGATAATTTCACTGACACCCCCAGTAATTTAATTAAATTTCAGTGTAAAATATCTTTCAAAAATAATTATCACTCATATTACAAACGTTTGTTCCGTTTTTCACTCACATCCCAAAAGTTAGTTGACAGGCGTGTCAGACCACTTTTTACATGTAAAAAGACATTCTTACCATTTGACTTTGATTTGACCTATTTAATTATTTTTTTATGATTGAAATGACATATTTACCCTTATAATGTTAGACTTTTATACCCCTCACATGTTTTACTCTTCTCTAACCTTGATGGTCTACGGAAGCATATTCCTGTGTTTTGCATATGAAGAAAACCACTCGTGCTTGTGCTTGTGCTTGTCGACCTAAGCTCATTCCGATCAGACCTAAGCTCGTGCTTGTCGCCGGTGAGAGAGCTTGATGTTGGTTGACAATGAAGCAAGAACTGGGTTGCTGCACCTCTGCAACTTCCGGTGAATAAAACAGGGGACTTTGGCGGTGGAGAGTTTTAGATTCCGGTGACAAGTTGAGGAACCAATCCTCTAATGGGTGTTGGGTTAGGATTAGGTGGTGAAGTGCTCGCCGGAGTTGATTTCCGGAAAATGATTTCGTTTCGTGGTTGAAGAAAACAGGTGATTCCGGAATCTCTCCGGTGAAATTGTTGAATGACAGATCAAGAGTGGAGTTTGTCGGAATTTTGTCTGCAAAATAATGTTTGGACGGAAAATGAAATTAAGAATATGAATGTAGTTGGTGGTATTAAGTATCGAAATATATTGTTTTACAGGTATGCGAGTACCGTTTCAGTAATACATATTGTTAGTATGAAATAGTGTACATAGAATGTTTGGTTTTCCAGTTTCCACCATTACTTCTGACAAAACAACTTCTTTTCTTCTCAACAGTCCCCTTTCGCTATGGACTCTCTCTGTCTCTCTCCACAAAGAAACCCAACAACAGAGGTTTTCTGTGACGATAGAAGTTTGATACACCATATCACTTTCAATTCCTCCTCAATCGCCCTTATCATCAACCCCATACCCAACCTCTCAACCGTCACCCGAGGATACGACCATGGATCACGATCTTGATCCGACCCACAACGAACGGCTGTCACGAACGGCCTGAGACAGCAACGATTCCGGTCACGACGCTCCTCGAACCCAGTTCCACGACCATAGCCCGATCTTGATTCGACCCACAGCGAATGGCGGGTGCGACGGTTCGAGCTCTACGACGCCGCCTTTGTGGTGGTGGTGACTTGTGAACGCTGTTGTGGAGCATCGCGAAATCATGGAAGGCCACTGCTGTTTTGAGCTCGCCACATTGCGATGGTCGTCGACTATCTCTCATGTTCTCTGTTATATATACATGTACATATATATATTTACCCATATATATATATATATACCTCTGTGTGTGCAAATATATGTGTGATGTATATGATGGGTGTGTCTGCAATCCAAACTGTTTGTTCATGGATATATACATAGCAGCAAAGCAAACAGACATTAAAAATTCCAAACGAAGCTCTGTTTTGAAGCTCGTCGGTCTTTGGTTTGATGGAGCGTTGGACACTCGTCGGTTCCCCTGTTTTTTTTCCCTCTGCCGAATCAGTCTCGGTTGCCGGACCAGTGCACCCACCTTCACTGGCGATCTGTACAATCAATCAAGTTCTGCATCTCCAAATTTGTCTTCGTAGTTTCTGATTGCCGGAACAGTTCTTGCTAAACTGTAAGTTTAGTCTCCTCGGTTCAGTCCGTGCTCACCAGCTCAGTTCGCGTCTCGCCGGGCACGATAGTTCTTGCTCTTGCCGTTCCGTGTTCGCTGTTCAGATCTTTGTCAAAACAACTCTCTACTCCTAATCGTCGTTCAGATCCGCTTATATATATATATATATGAGACCTTATATAATTATATATATATAGATATAATTATATATAATTTGTAATTTTATAAATGTGATTAAAAAATTAGGGACAAACATGTCTTTTCACACGTTTTAAACGGAAGCAGTGACGGAAAGCGAAATTGGACCTGATAGTTATTTTTAAAAGATGTTTTAGATTGATATTTGGCCAAACTTTAAGGGATATCAGTGAAATTAATCCTTTTTAATTTTGTTAACACCTAATTTTTTAAAAATATTTCTATTTCCTTTTCTTTCAAACTCTAAACTTTTTTTTTTGTTTGTTTTTTGAAGTAAACGAAACGTTTGGGAGACGAAGAACAAACTACCATAAGAGTGTGTGTGTATGTATGTATATATATATATATATATAAAATTAAAAAGTGGGGGCAGTACATAAGAAAAAAATGAATTGAGTTGATTGAAATAGATAGTTTGATTAGGACAAGAAAAAAAGAAGCACATGGAGGTGATATATCTTTTGAATGGCATGGCAATGATGAGCTTGACCAGGTCCAGAAAAATGGAGAGGATCGGAGCAGTCTATATATGCATATCCCATGGTCTGCGGGTGACTTTTGAGAGACAAAAACATTTTCCATCATCCCTTGTTTGATTGTTTCTTCACGAAACCGCGTTTTATCCTAGTAATTACCGTGTTAACTCTAATCCTCATCTGCCACAAAGAAATTAAGGGACAAGATAATACTAATAGTCAATGATATGTATATATATATATACATACTGCGTATATATCTATCACACAGAGAGAATACGTGTGTGTGTGTGTATATATATATATTGAACGCTTGAGGCTTGAGCAAAACGACAATAATTTAACCCTTTACAATATCCCGCCTTTTTTAAGATATTATGCCCATAAGACTAAGGACTGATATGCATTATGTGCTATGTAATTTAAGCTGTAACTATAACGATTTAATCTATCACATGATACGGTATTGTCTATTTTAAACTTGAGCCTGTGCGATTTTATTGGTTTTATTCCAAAAAGCTTCATATTAGAGTAACACACTAACATATAAACATTTCACTTTTCATTTATCTAAGTAATATAGAATTGTGCACATATAACTCGTCTAGTATAGTAGGCTGCTAGTGCTTCGTGCATCCGCCTACAAGTCCGTCACAATCTACCCCCTAGGAGGCACTTGTAGCCTTCCACGCTTAACAACCTTGTAGGCGGGTGCATGAGGCATTGACAGCTTACCATACTAGACGAGTTAAAAGTGCACAATTCCACATCGCCTGAGTAAAAAAAAGGTGAAGTACTTATATGTAGGTGTGTCACTCCAATTGGTATAAAGTCTTTTGGGAGTAAAATTCAAGAACAACATCGTACGGGCTCAGGCCTAAAGCGAACAATATAATACCATGTGATTGAGTGGCCTGATCCAGTCGGAAGTGTGCTGATAGGGACCTCGAGTGACGAGTTACAGGTGCACAATCCCCCGAGGACCTCGGACATTTTTAGAATAAAAATCAAATAAATTGCTATTAATTTTTTAAAATAATTTAATTTCCAAAATCTGTACAAAGAATTCCCTTTGTCGGACAAGTGATCATTGGTAACTTCTTGGTGCCATAACAAGTCGCTAGACTCTAGAGACACCTCCATCAACCAATACAATTAAGGCTGTCATGATCAGCTCTTGGCTTTTTTAACCTCTTGATTGGGACAAATTTTAAGGGAAAGACTCTTAACATTTTGAACGAGAACAATACAAGGATTATACAACCAAAATTATATATAAATATCATTTACAGTAGATTACATATCTTACTCTACCCTTTTTTTTTTACGAGTATCATTCTTTTGACCAAACTCAACCTCACTTTTGATTACTTCGTATCATTTTATTTAAAGATATTTTTATATTATTATTATTATTATTTTCATGATAGGATGATGTAAATAGGAGTAACATGACGAAGTGATTCTTGAATGATTTCTTGTATTCAAAACATTGTTAATTTAAAAGAAAACTCATAGACATCTGTCATCAGATGCATGCATCTCACGACATACTCTTGGTCTAGTTAAAAACTAGTTGGAGCCTATCAGTCTCTATGACACACACACATTCAACTTGGGGTAAGTGGAACTCAAAATGGCCTGTATTTGCATATATTTTCATAATATTAGTCCATATATATAAATCAAAACAATTAATATACTTAATTGTATAAAATATTTTTTCCATTCCAAATTAATTATTTTCTTTGAAACACTTAAATTGAAATGGATGGAATATTTGTTAGGCATGCAGCCATGCATATATGAATATGTGTATGTTAAGGAACAAGGAGTGCGGTTTAAAAGAGAGAGTGAGGTATGCGATGCTTGTGAATTATATATATATATATATATATATATATATATATATATATATATAATGCTCTTATCCCATTACCAACTCAGAATCTGAACTTCTTTGTTCAATCGTATATGGTTGTCTGTATGTACACATTACACACGTATAATATATATACACACACATACGAGTACTATACAAATAATACACATATATAGTTGTGAGTTGTGAAGCAATTGAGAAGATAGAGAGAGCGCCAGAAGCGGCGTGACATGGACGGGAGCGCGTCAGCAGGGCATGAAAGAAAGAAAGTGTGGTTTTTAGACTTTGGGTTGCTCGCTCATCATCCATGTTCTAGTTTGGGTCCCGCATCACGCGTCTGACTGTACCCCGTGGGTCCCGTAATTCTCTTTAGCTGTAAACCAATTTATTTTTAAAGTTTTCAATTTTGTAATTAAAGGCTGAATCTTGAGAATTTCAAGATAATTATCAAAATCATTTGTTGAATGAGATAAGAGTTTTCCAAAAACAAAAAATTACATACAACTCATGCCACCCTCCTAAATTGATTGTTGTGGAAAACAATATTCAAAACAATTTTAAAAATTTGATAATACCTCATGTGCCATCATAATCTTTGGAGTGGCTAATTAAGGAATTTTTTTTTATGGTGACGCTAAAATATTATTAAAATAAAATAATAAATATAAAAATTTATTATTTTTAGTTTATTTGACATATGTTGGGTTGTGCCCAACATGTATTGGTGTGAAATTCAAATTCTTTGATATTTTAGTCATGCATGTTAGCACTTTCTAAATTATCATGAATGTTGTGGACAGTAGATAGTGAAGAAATAATACAGTCAATTTACTTTTCTTTCTTTTAGACTAAAAAGATTTGTGAAAGTAAGAATATATTTGTGAATGTAAGAATATATAGTGTACATTTTAAAAATTTGAGTGGGAATACGAGAATATGAAAAAGAATTAATTACCATGAATATGGGGGTGGTACAGAGGGAAAAAGAGAGACGTTATCTTTTGAATATATAAAAATCAGTAGGAGTAAGAATGTGAAGTGAAATATTTTTATAATTGAGTGTTAATGTAAATATAGGTAATAATGTACATACAAAAAAAAGAATCAGTGATTTTGTGGGTCCAGAAAAATTAGCATATAACTGGTAGTTACAAGAGTACGCAACCATATCACCAAACATTAAAGTGAGAGATAAAATGTTATTTGTGTTGAAAATAGATTGAATTATTTAATGTATGAATTAGATTGCGTCGTGATACAAAGAAACATATGGTCAAAAATAGCGACTCGGCCTATAGAATTTGATTTGAAAAAATGGGTTTGTAGATGGACAGACTTAACACACAAAGTTTTGAGAGTGGTCGATTTCTGCAGGCTTTTGTGTCTTTGTCGGCTTTACAAAACATGTGTTGTAAGTTTCGTGTAAAATGTTTTCAGTCCATTTCGTTCTCAATAGGACAAGTGAATTCTGATGGTCTTTTTTTAAATTTTAAAGGTGCCAATTTTAAATTTTAAAAATGCAAAAGTGCAAAAAATCTTGTAAACTATCATTAAAAGTAAAAAAAATCCCTCTAAATTATTGGAGTTACAAATCTAACTCCCATCTATCTGTACTAACGTTTTAAAAAGAACATTTTCAATCACCGAACTATATTTTTCGGCTCCCAGAGAGTCAAAATTACCAAAATACACCCACTTATTAATTTACATAAAAATTGTAAAATATCATAAATGTATAATATCCATAATAACATTTAGGGGCCATCTTGCAACTAACCAAACAGTTCAGGGAGTTTTTTACAATTTTGTCTAATAATAATAATAATAATAATAAAATAATAATAATAGTATAATAACAAAAATAAATTGCTTAGTTGCAAGATAAGTGAATCACTTTGACCCTTGCAAATTAACAATAAGAATAATAATAATAAGAATAAATTGCTTGATGGATCCATATACCTATAAATAATTTTTGCGAATTCATAAATTATCAATAAATAAATAAAATAATAATAATAATAATTATTATCATTATTATTTAAATAATAACAAAAAATTTGGTTGATTAGTTGCTTGGTGGATCTATATACCTACAAACAGTTTATGGAAGCCCATAAATTATAAAAAAAAAATAGTTTAAAAAATAAAATATAATAATAATAGTAGTGTGCCGGTGGTAATCATAATAATAATAATTTAAAAAAATAACAAAAATAAATTGTATAGTTCAGGGTTTGATTTGTAAGTCAAGATAGTTTAGGGGGTTATTTTTCACTTTTTTGATAGTTCAGAGTTTTTTACACTTTCTTCGGAGGTCTAATAGTCATTCAAAAGAGTAATTTGGGCATTACTTGAAAATACACTGGCGTGTGAATGAACAGACGCCAAAAAATGTGTTCCGATGATTGGGAGGGTTATTTTTGCAATGTTGGTATAGATGAGAGTTCGACTTGCAACCCCAAATAGTTTAGGGGGTATTTTTTACTTTGGTGATAGTTCAGGGGTATTTTTGCGCTTTTACCTTTAAAAAACTATTCGCATAGAAAAGTTTTACAAGGGAAGAATACTATTACAATCATTTTACATTGAACTTTTAAATAAGACATGAATTTTGGAGCCGCCAGAAATTGAAAAAAAGAAGAAGCAAAATATCACATTTGAAACAAGAAAGTTCTAATTCAAGAGAAATAACATAAATTATTTGATGTTCATTCGATCCATCCGTTATGGTTATTTTATATTGTCTTTTTCTTTTAGTGTGATTTTGCTTTACGAGAAAGACGGTAAATAAAAAGATATAAAATAAATGTTTCAAGACAAAAATAAAATCTTTTTATTGTAACCAAAATAACTCTCTAATTCTTTTCCTTCTCATTTTATAAAAAATTAAATTGTATAAATTATAACATTTCTCCCATCATATTTTCCATCAATTAAACTATGTTAGAAACTTCATATGATATTCATAGTCAAATGAAGTATATATATATATATATATATATATATATATATATATATATATGATAATAACCCTAGATTGTCTTCAACAATGAGAGCAATGAAATATTATTTATTGTTGTAATCAAGTGAACTGAATTTGGTAACTTAAGATTTTGTTCTACCTTGGCTATTTTATTCGATTAATTATGTCACTCACAATAGCCAACTGGTTCCCAGTAGACAAAACCCCTGTGGGTCCCATTTGCTTAATTTTGGCTCCTAAAGGCTAAAAACAAAAAGACCACCACAATGACTGAACTATCTTTCTACAAAACCCAACTATAAAAATCCCCCACAACCCCTTCTTTCACCAAGTACACCATTGTCTTGCCTCATTCTCACTTTTCACACTTCGCCACAAAAAGAAAAAAAAACATTTCAGATTACACCAACCATGGCCAGACCACAACAGCGTTACAGAGGCGTTAGGCAGAGGCATTGGGGCTCTTGGGTTTCTGAAATTCGCCATCCGTTGCTGTAAGTGAGCTCGAACGTTAAACTTTTTTTTTATAAAGAAGAGATTATATCATCTGAACTAATGCTCGTTTTTGTGCAGGAAGACTAGAATTTGGCTAGGGACTTTTGAAACGGCCGAGGCCGCGGCACGAGCCTATGATGAGGCAGCGAGGCTAATGTGTGGTGGGAGGGCCAGAACCAACTTCCCCTACAACCCGTCGCAGTTTTCGTCATCGTCATCGAAACTTCTCTCGGCTACTTTGACAGCCAAATTGCAGAAATGCTATATGGCTTCGCTGCAAATGATGACCAAAGCGTCAGTGCAAGAGCCACAAAGGCTGATGACTTCTCCCAATGTTGTCACTGCTAATGTCAATGGCATTGCTTGGAATGTCAACAGAAATGAAATGTGGGCACCAGAAAATAAACCAATGGTGGAAAATACCCAACAATTCAAGCCTCTTGAAGAAGACCATATCGAGCAAATGATCGAAGAATTGCTTGATTATGGGTCGATTGAGCTATGCTCTGTTGTCCCACCTCAGACCATGTGACTTACTATCAATAAACATCTCAAGCTAGATCATCCATCTCTCTCTTGCTATCCTAATTAATGTCACTTAATTTACTAATTTAACTCATTTTCTTAAGAACCTTTTCAAATGTATTAGGTGATTGAATCTTAGAATTTCAATTTCAAGTGGATGATCCATTTGAAGATGCTCTATGTAGTCTGTATAGTACTGTGCTGTAATCTTTTCTTGATCACGTCTTGGTCTTGGACCGCCAATTATGGGTAATTTAATTGATGTGATATTGATGTCATTGACCAAATTTTACTAGCAGAAGCAATTGACAATTCACATGAGTCATTTCTTGTCTGGGTAATAAATTATTAATTTACATTTCGGAACCAAATTATACCCCCAAACATGTCGTGGTTTGGTAGTGGTTGTTTGTTTGTTTTTTATTTTATAGAAAAACATGAATAAGCCGACTAGGGTAGCTCGCACAAATGGCCAAGTTGTTATAGGGTCTCAAGTAGGGATGGCAATGGAGGCGATTTTGACTGGGGCATCCTCTTCGGTCTTCACAATTATTTAGAAATTCCTGTTCCGTTTTTGTCCAAAACCGTCTAAACGGGAGACAATTCTATCCCATTTTTGTCCTGTATAACTTTTTTACCCCTGCGGGTAGCCGCCTAACCTCTTTTAGTTCCATAATTTCTCCTCTTTTTTTAATTTTTTTTTTTCCTTAAATACAATTATATTACTATTGAAAAAAATCACAAAAAATAGGCAATAAAAAATTTAATATAAAATTCAAGGATATTAACGTTCTTAATTCGTAAGGCTTTGCCGCTCATTAGAACGGTCGAGAAAGTGAGTAAATGTGACTTGAAGTTTCTAGAGCTAACTATATATATTAAAAAAATAAGAGTAATTTAGTAATTTACCTATCTAAACGGGTGGGGCGGGGCCGGGCGGGGTGACCTCCCCCGTCCCCGCCTTGAACCCGCGCGAATTTTTATTAATAAAAATTATTTCCGTCCAAATAAGCTAAATGGTCTTTCAAAATTGTTATAAACAGGAGGATACCTATCCCCGCAGGACAAATTGCCATCCCTTGTCTCAAGGGGCGTGCCATGAACTCGAACATCTAGAGTTCAACTCTTACAAGATGCAAAAATACCCGGACTTAAATGAACATATCCGAGTTTTACATTCCAGCCAAAATTTCAAAGGGTTGATGTTGGATGAATTCCCGTTTTCGGGAAAAAAGAGAGGAGGAGGATGAGGGAACATCTACATTGCTCCAATCATTGCAAATGAATTGAAAGTCCTAGGCGTTGTGGATAGATATAGACTCAAGCTTTAACATTATCTGTACAAAGTAAACTACACTGAGAAAGAGTAAGTATAGTTTTCAAAAAAGGTAAAGAAGTGTGTTCATATTTCTTGGGGTGGGTGGGGATTTATGTTAAAGGAAAACCTTTTTCAATTGTTGTGTTTGAAAGTCTTTTTGGATTCATATAAGAGAAAGTCTTTTGCTCTGAAATTGCTGCTACTAAAGAAAAGGACTGAATTAATACAAGGTGTTTTCATTATCTCCCTCCTCTCCTAATATTTTATGGGAAGGAATGTATATCTGTTTCTATATTTCATGCCATCTAAATAGGCAAGCTCACTTTCTAACTTCATGTATTTCACAATTTTCGTGATTTCGTGCCATGTAAATAGGCGAACTCACTTTCTAACTCTATGTATTTCACTATTTTGGTGCCCGATGATATTGAGAATATCCCTTTTAACATTTTTTTTTTTTTTTTCCACCACTCGAGCTTTTACCGTCCAAATTGAAAGATAGAGGAAATGTCACTGGGTTACAAAGTCTTTGGTATCTCCTCCCATCTAACGTTAAGTTGGAGATTATCTTAGATTATAATTATTTGACATAATTAATAATATAATATTTTTTTTCTTTGATAAGAAAAAGATAGGAGAATTTTTTTTTTTTTTTTTTTTTTTTCAGAGTATAAATATTTAAGTTTCAATAATCATAACGAGAAATTTATTTTCCCTGAAATTTTTGTGCTTTCAAATTTGTTCAATTACTTTTCTTATCAAGCTTCTGCTTTGTCGGGTTCAAATTTGAATTTAAGTTAAAAATGGGGTCAATCAAGTTCAGAAGTTTGATAAATTTTGATGTTCAATATCATGAGTAAGAAAAAAAAAAAACACTCTAGCAATTTATTTGTCTAGAAGTTAAAAAATTTATTATGAATTTATAATAGATAAAGAAAATATTGTAATAAAATATATATATATATTGTAATGTATGCTATCAGATGATTTAATTTACCATCTATATAGTCGTTATAAGTGAACTCCAAAGCAAATTACAACTTTCTTTCTATGATGTGGGGATTATTGATGCAGTGACTTTTACCTCTTTTTGCACTTTTATTAACTTAGTATTTCATTATTTCATTTTACCTTTTATGGGATAATTAACTTTACTCGAAGTGATATGGACAGTAAAATGAATTTTATATTCGGTTTCCACATCATTTACATTTCAAATGTCGGATCTTGATTATACAATCACAATAATTAGGCACTTTTGACACAAGGCCATGGACAATTACATGAAAAAATTAAACAAACATTTTTCATATATTTTTTTTCTTTCATCATTTTTTAGGAGAACCCTGCTAAATAATCAGTAAAGCAGTAAGGTTTGTTTGGTTAGTCATTTAGAAAACAGTTGTTAAGAACTCTGAAAATAAAAAACTATTTAAAGATAATTATAAAAGACAGTTCTCTAAAAATAAACTTTTTTAATTAATTTTTCAGAAAATAATTTTCAAATCCGTTAACTAATTAGATTTTTGTACAGTTTTTTTTTTTTTTTTTTTTTTTTTTTTTTTTTTTTTTTGTGAGTTATTAGAAAACAGAAATTTGTTAATTACAGAAAAGTATTTTCAAAAAATTAAACCAAATAAGGTCTTAATAATTTTATTTTTATTTTAAGTAGATTATGTAATATTACCTTTAATTTCTATGGTAAACCTTCCGCTTGGTTTAGTGCTTGAGTTACCTCCTTGTCATCTTTGGTATCCCTCTATAGATATATGTATGTAAGTATAGATATTATATGACAGATGTTTGTATATTGTTATGTAATGTTTTATAACTGTTGATGCTTGCTTTTAGGAGTCTTGGTGTTCAACCACTTTCAAAGAAGCTTCATGATTGCGTGTTGTTTGGGAATTGATTTTGCTCCCCACAAGCATCAAAAACTAAAGTTGTGTTGGTCTCATTATTTTGTTTCTCTTTTAATTCAGCAAAGGAGGAGGGTAAATCATGGCATTTTAGTGAGTTTACATCATTACTCGTTTGAATTTTGTGACCTTAGTTCGAGAGAGAGATGTGAAATTTCACCTGACCAACCTCTTCCCAATCAAGTGGAGACTGGAGGGACAGGATCTCGCTAAGAACTCGAAAAATTATCCAATATTTTCGGAATATTGTATAATTTACACGGTAATATTTTAGACATGATATCTCGATCAATGCACAATAATATATATATTTTTATATTATTCATTTCTCATATAATAATGCAAATTAATAGTTTTTATAATTATACATTGGGTATGATACCACGTGTAAATACCCTTACAGGAATTGCAGTTAGGGGCGGAGCCAAAAATTAAATCTAGGGGCACAACGTAAAACAAAATAAAAAAATCAATAAACATGGCAACAAATATGGTTCTTCAAATCAAGAGGCAAAAAAGAAAAAGTTATTGCAAAATAATATGAGTATAAGAAAGATAAATAATTGACATAAATTAGAAAAAAAGGAATGAAAAATAGGAGAACTTTGAAAGGAAAAAAAATTTAGAGTTTGATTCAAAAAGAAAAGTTTAACTATTTTTAAGGAAATTAAATAAATTTAAAGAATAAAAAAGAAAAGAAATAAAAACTAAGAGATAATTTTAGAAAATAAAAATTTTAGGGAGGGCATTATATGAATTTTTTTATATATGCATGGAATAAAATTATAAATATAAATTATAGTAGGCGGGCTCAGGCAGGGGCATGTGACCTGGGCATTTACTGGCTCCGCCCTACATAGAACATGATATACTTTCTTGTAGAACAGATGGTCGTGAATGCTATGTTTGGTTGGAGGGATTGATTGGGGGAGGAGGGATGGATGAATGTTTTCATGTTTTGTTTGAGGGAAGGGAAGAGAGGGAGGAAGTAAGGAGGGATGAAACATCTTCATCCGTCCTTGCTATAAATTTTCTTATCCGCCCAAATTTGGGGGAGAGTGGAGAGAGAAAATGATAACTATGAAAATTTGTAATAATTTTCATTTTTATCCTTCTTAAAAATTTGTTAAAACCCTGTTGCGTTAAACAACTATAGTGATTATTAAATAAATTTAAATTAATTAATTGGTTGGTATGTAAAAAAAAAAAAATTGTTTGGTAAGTATAAAACATTCAATTTAGACAACTTGTTAGTAGAGGTCAATATTATTAAATAATTTTAAACTAATTAATTTTATAACTTTATATACTAAGGGTATATTAGTAAAAAAAATATATACAAACTATCATTTTCTTCCTTCTAACCAAATAAAAAAAATTAACACTCCATCAATTCTTTCTCCGGTCCCTTCCATTCAACCAAACAAAAAATGAAGGAGACACTTTCCCTTCCTTGGATGACTCATCCATCTCTCCCTCTCTCTCTTTCATCCATTTTTTCATCCCTCCAACCAAACGGAGCAGAAGTCTATGCTCCATTTGAATTGTCTAAATTAAGTGGAAATAAGCATATGGATACATTGTCTTGGAACAATCATAGAGACCCAATTTGAATCGAAAACAGACCAATAATCAATACCTACAATCTTTTGGTTGTAACAAACCAAATTCTATTGCTTAAGAGTTTGTTTTCGTATTTTTCAGTGTTATAAATTTTTTTTTTTTTGGTTTTTTACTGATTTTTGTTAGATTCAACAAATGGGGTGTTCTTATTTTTTATAGTTATAATTTTGTCCCGTTGAAAACTCGAACTTTCATTATTTCATTTTGAAGAGGGTAAAATTCAAACGTGGTATATTTTGTGCAAATTTTAATTTGTGCAAGTGAAAAACTCCAGAGTCAGTCAAAGGAGAGATTTTTATTAAAAAAAAGGTAGTCAAAACTAATAATGATGTATCCGATCATGGTGTATGGGAATCTCATGAGGTGAGACAATCATATGCCCTCAAACACTTTCCACAAACCCTAAATTATACACATATATGTTGCAATTC